CCGTCCCTACCTTCTAGCACGGTACGTGGGGAAGACTTCTCTTCGCGAGGAAAGCCTGGCCGTCACGGGAAAGAATATGCAGCAAGCGAGGGGAAAGCTGATTAACAGGGTTACCCTCGCCTGGCACATCCCACACAGCGTACCTACCCCCTTCCCCTCTTCTGTTTGTGTGCTGTGGGAGACAGGAACGCGATAAAAGCGAAGGTCGCTTGATCACCGCGATAGGTTGCCTGCTCCGTGTTTGTTTTGATGTAAGACTTCCCGAAACGCTTCCATCTGTAGCGTGTGTCTAATTTGAGAGGCGCTGAGCTGCAACTACCTACAGCTCGCTGGATGCCAGACTCAGTCAGTCTAAGCGCGCATGAAGCACGTAGGATCCCTCGACTGCGCTTGCCGCTTCCAACACATACGGGTTTAGTGCTTGCCCTTAAAAAGCCCTTCTTCACACAGCTAGGCAACGAAGGAAATTCCGAGGCAACAGATGGTTGGGGAGGATCTCCAGCCCAGGTTCGAGCAGCAGCGCTAGAGCGGCTACAGCTCCGTATATATATATATAAATATATAAATATATATATATATAGATGGCTGCATTCACCAGTCCTCGGGAAAGGTGGAGCGAGCAGCAGACACTGCTCCTACGTTATTAACTGCTTGCGGCATCCCTGTGGCTGCTTCCGCAGGAGCAGCAGTCATGGTATGCTGCTGAAGCTGGAGGAAGGGAAATTTCTTGTGCAAAAGAAGAGGCCTAGAACCGCCCTGTCGGCGGCTGCGCCACAACTGCCATATATGAAAATATGTGTCTCTAACTGCGGCGCATGCTGCAAAGCTTCACGCGTGTCTCTTGTCTCCCGACGCACTGCGTGTGACTCCCCAAGAGACACCCCAAGCGCCGTGCAGGTGAGCGGTGTTGCAGCCGGAAGCACACGCAGTGGGAGCTAGCAATTCTGGATGCTCTGCTAGTTTTTCAAAAGACAGACTCAGTACAGCCATCCACTACGATCTGTCAGAGGGATGTGTAACATCATCCCTTGAAGGCTGCACACCGCAGCAGCAGCAGCTAAGGCATCTCCAACTCCTCCTCCTCTGCGTCTGCGCCTAAAGCTGCTGCTCGAGCAGCGATATCTAAGGGTTCCAACTGCGCTGCCGCCGTCCACATTCCTATTGCCCAGTTATAAAGGACGGCAGAAGGAGCTGCCAGCATGGCGACTGCGCTGTCAAGTCTGAGAGCACTCTTCTCAGTCGCATCCAGCATGTGGAAGGTGCTGCGGCATTTAGCACAGAGGCAACTGTGCGCAACCAGAAGGTTCTCGCATCCCTCAGATCCTGTGCAGAAGGGCCTCACTGCCTTTTTCCCAAACCTCCCTTCCCACGCGACTCGGTTCAAAGCGCTCCGCAGACGAAGAACCACGCGGATGAAATTTCCTTCCCCCCATGATTTCCGGATAAGATGCTTACCGCCTGGAATGTGCCGTCAGCAGGATTGGCAGGTGCGGATGAAATGCAGTCGAGACTAGGGGGCAGTCCTCTGCCCCTCCGCTGACGCTGCTGCCTCTGCAGCCGTCAGCGAGACTATGCAAGACCTCTGCTGAGAGGCACGTAGGGCAGTCGCTGCTGCCAAGGCTGCTGACAACGCCTGCATCAGGGAGGTGCAAGACTTGGCTACCGTCCCTAAGGCTAAACACACTCAACGATCCGTCCTGGTTGCCTGCATGCAAGCACCACAGCAGCGTCAACAGCAGCAGCAAGCTACATACATGCATACCAAGACACAGACAGACAGAGGCAGAGAGAGAACTCGACGGCTCACACTGCGGTCTGCAAGACTGCGTAGCAAGTAGCTATTGGAGGTGCGCAACAATGGGAACGTAAAAAACTACGCGAAGCTGTCTTCCAATGCACGAAACACATGCCAACTTTTCCATTCCTTCACACACGACCCAACGGCGCAATGCACTACCTGCAACGAGCGCTTCATCCTTGACATCAAACAGCATTTTGTTGGGACGGCATGCGCTGCGCCTGTTCAGACGGAAGAGAGGTGTCTCTAAAGCCCTCAAATCCCAGCAGCGGATGAAAGGATCTTGACGATGGCCACTCAGTAACAACTCCCCACCTGCAAACATCAGCTGCAGCCACAACAGCGCAAAGCACAAAACGCCAACACCCCGGTGCTAAGCACGCACAGGCCTAACACAAGCAAAAGGAGAACGCATGAATAGTGGTTCGTGATGGCAGCTCGAAAAAAAAGAATCGCATCCATATACATATATATATATATATATACATACCTATATACACTATATATATATACATACTGTATATATACACACTGTATGTACATATATACTATATATATACTGTATATATACTGTATATATATACTGTATATATACACACTGTATACACTATATATACTGTATATACAGATATATATACTGTATATACAGATATATATACTGTCTATACAGATATCACGTCGAAGTGGTGCGAGAAGCGCCTGCTGCTGCTGCTGCTCTGGTTGCAGTTCTTGCTGTTGTATCGCTATGTGTGTCACCTCGTGACCTTTCCACCCTTAAACCACGTAACAGCAGCAGATTACCTGCGTGACACCGCCAGAGAGCGTCTGTCCATCAACAGCTGCTGTTTTATTCCTTTTGCTTCGAAGATCGTACAAACCCACAGTGCCAGCGTGGCTGCCGCAGGCGACCAAAGTACTCTTGCTGCTGCTTGACAGCGCAGCGATCGCAGAAATGATGCCTTTCTGCGTCGCATGGCCTTTGCTGCGGCGGTTCCCCAGCAGCCATTCCTGCAAAGCACGTCAGACGGCGAGAGAATAGCTGCGTCTCTGAGGGAGCAGTTGCGAGCGTCCAGCAGCCGCAGAGAGCGGCAGCACGCCTCAGGTGCAGCAGCTCACCTCGATCGGTTTGCCAGGGCTGTACGTATCGAAGAGGAAAAACGAACTTCTCGATGTTGCCAGCAGCTGCAAATGCTGCTGCTGCGAATTGCGCTGCTGCTGGGGAAGGGTGCACAGACCGTATACCTGCCTTAACTCGTCTCCCCTGTCCACAGCCATCAAGGAGCAGAGCAATGCGCCATCCCTGAGCCGCCTTAGCTGGATCTGCAGCAGGCAGAGGAGAGAGCAAACCACGCCAGAAGGGAACGCATGCATGCGTGCATGCGTGTGCATCTATGCACCCGCGAGACTTCAGTGCTGAACGCCCCCACACCTGCTGATGCCACGAGAAACGAACACACACAAGCTGCGCTGCAGCAGAAACAATCGTGCCAAAACTACACACAACGACGAGCCATAATCGTCATCATCTCCCCTCCCCGACGAAGACGACGACCGCCTCTCAGGTGTCTTGACACTCCGCGACACCAATAAAACAGGGAGGAAGAAAGGCAGTGCCAAAGGGAGGTCAGGAAAGCAGCAAGAGCAGCGCCGAAAAACGCTGCTTCTGCAAGAAACTGAAGGAAGGTTCAATGGAAGGCGAGCAACAAAGAGCGGGGCGGGAAGGGGGGGGAAACACATATCTGAAGAAGCTTGTTGCTCACCGGATGGTCGACTGCAGCAACCGCAAAACAACACCTGTCAGCATACTCCCACTGCAATTCCTGCGAGAAGGCAACGGCTCGAATTGCTTCCCCCTCGCACACCTCCAGCCAAGGCGTCATATTGCCTGCTGTACACGGTGCTCCTTCGCGGCTCCCCTCTCCTCCTACCGTTGGTGCAAAAGCTGCATCCCCTTCAGCTTCTTGCGAGGTGCTGCCTGAGGGGGCCATACAGCAAGCAAGCGCACAGCATGCAAACCAACACACCTCACTTCGGCTTTAGCAGCGCGCAAGCAAGGCGGCTGCCTCTTTGCGCACCAACGTACAACAACAACGAAAAGTGCAACTCCAGTAACAAGGAGCAGTGCAACAAAAACACCAAGAAGCCCAACAACAACAAGTGCAACAACAACAATAACAACAAGTGCAACAACAATAACAAAAAGTGCAACAACAAGAAGAAGCGCAACAATAAAAACGAGAAGAAGTGCATCAATAACAACAAGAAGTACAATAACAACAAGAAGTACAATAACAACAACAAGTGCAACAACAATAACAAGAAGTGCAATACCAATAACAACAACAAGTGCAACAACAATAACAAGAAGTGCAACAACAATAACAACAACAAGTGCAACAACACTAAGATGAAGTGCAACAACAATAACAACAAGTGCAACAACAATAACAACAAGTGCAACAACAATAACAACAACAAGTGCAACAACAATAACAACAAGTGCAACAACAATAACAATAACAAGTGCGCACTTAGATTCTCAGGTGTCGCGTAGAAGCGCATGAGTCCTCCCTCAAATACAGAGCAGACGCCGCTGCCGTCTGGCAGCCACTCTGCCCACTGCAAAGCTCCTGCCTCTGCTGTTGCTGCTGGCAATGCTGCAAGAAGAGAAGGGGGGAGGATATCTGTAACCTCACACCCCTTCCCGGAAGCGGCAGCCTGCAAGACGAGGCTTTTTTCGAATAGCGCAAAGCAGCTGTGGCGCATGCACGAGGCTCGCAAGCCCACCTCTGCTCCACAAGGCACGTGCCATTGCAGAGCGGCTGCTGCCCCCACCATTGCAATCTCCAACTCTCTGTTTGCTGTTGCAAAACTTGCGCTGCTAGCAAGCGAGATCCCCTCTCCCACCGTTGTGTAGGTAGCAGTCGCCCCCTACCCGTGTTCACTGCTCTCTTCCTCCACAAGCATGCAGCAGCAAAAGGCAGTCCTCTCGCACTGCTGCAAGTGGACGAACAGCCCGTCCCCTCCCCGCTCCGACGCTCCACTAGACGCCCTTTCACGCCAACAAACTCCGACAAAACTCCTACACGCGTCTCGCAAGTTCTCCTCCCTCCTGCCAAGCGCCTTGGTGCCGCGTAACCAGCGTCGTGACAGCGCAACGACGTGCAGCAGCAGCAGCAGCAGCAGCACAGCCGCTGTGCGGCTAACAGTCTGTTATCGCAGGGGAACCTGCAGCGCAGGAAAGGGAGGAAGGCCGCTGTTTCTTAACTGAGGGAGGCGCAATGGATGCTGCTGCAGTAGCACCCCCTGTAGGCGCTTGCTCCGCTGCTGCGGCAAGACAGAAAGCCACTGACGCCGCCGTTTGTGCCGCAGCTGCTGCTGCACTTGCTGCCTGCAAGGCAGCAGCTGCTGCAGATTCCGCAGCAGTGGCTGCTGCTTCTGCTGCCGTTGCTGCAGTCGCTGCAGCCTGCAAAGCAGCTTCTGCAGCCTCCGCGTCGACCCCTCCGAAAAACTGCTGCCCGTCCTGCTGCTGCTGCAACAGCTGCACCTGCTGCTGCAACTGCTGCTGCTGCTGCTGTTGCTGCTCCAGCGCTGCTCCGCCGCTGCTTCCTCCTCCAGCGCCGCTCCGCTGCCGCTTCGCCCGCTGCGGAGAATTGCAGCTGCCCTCTGCCGTCTGACCTCCAGCAGCAGCCGCTGCTGCTGCTGCTGCTGCTGCTGCTGCTGCTGCTGCGGTCCCCGCGGAGGAGGGGGGGACTGCTGCCGCTGCACCGACACAGAGAGAAGCGAGCGAAACAGGAGCTGCTGCTGCTGCTGCTGCTGCGGCTGCTGCCGTTGCTGCCGAGGATGCCAGTGCCGCCTCCCCGCTGCTGCAGCGCAAGGCAGCTGCAGCGTTCTGAATTGCGTCTGCCGCTGCTGCTGCTGCTGCTGCTGCTGCTGCTCCGTCCTGCGCGCGTACTGCCGCTGCTGCAGCCTCCGCCCCCTGCGCTAAGGCCGCTGCTGCGGCGTCTCCTGCCTCTGCGGCTGCTGCTGCTGCTGCTGCTGCTGCTGCGGCTTCTTCCAACTTTGGCGCGAGCAGAAAGCCACCCTTCTCGTTCGCCACTGCCGAGCGCGTCACAGCGAGGGAATGCAGCAGCTGTAAAACTTGGGAATTGCTGCTCGAGATATCCAGCGGATTGAAGGCAGCGCTCGTCGTGCCCGCTTGTGGAGGCGGGTAACCTGCTGCTGCTGCTGCTGCTGCTGCCGCTGCTGCCTGACCCTTCGCGAGCTGCTGCTGCTGCTGGATGCCCTCTCCTACTGTTGCCAGACAGCCTTGTTGTTGAGCCTCCCGCCTCTGCACCCTCTTCGAACGCGACGCAGGAGTGGCAGTGGCAGCAGTCCCCGAGGGAGCTGCTGCTGCTCCTGCTGCTCCTGCTGCTGCTGCTGCTGCTGCTGCTGCTGCTGCTGCTCCTGGAAGCGGCGGAACTGCCCCGCCAAGCGGCAGCGCAGCGAGCAGCGCAGCAGCAGCCGCCGCAGCAGCAGCGTTTTCTCCTCCTCCGCACTGCGCGGCAGACTGCTGCTGCTGCTGCGAAGGAAGCCACCCCGCTGTCACTCCCGCAGCAGCCGCACGAGGAGGCGAAGATCCTGGAGAAGCAGCGTTGCTGCAGCAGGAAATAGCTAAACTTGATGGCAAGACGCCGTATCCCCCGAGCGAGCAGCGCTGCTGATGAGACTGCGCCTGCTGATGAGACTGCGCCTGCTGATGCTGAGACTGGTGAGACTGAGAGGGCTGCTGCCGCGCGCCGTCTCCCCCTTCTCCTAACTCGGCAGCTGCCGTTGCAGCAGCCAGCAGTCGCTGTCGTCTGGCGAGCTCCTCTCGAAGACGGCGCTCAACTCGCTTCTGATGACCACTTTTCCAGCGTTTCTTTGCACCTGCTGGCTGCCCTTTCGAAGTCGCCGACGTCGTAGCCGTCACAGAAGACGCCCCCGCAGCGGAAGCTGCACAGACAGCTGCTTGCGCTTGTGCTGCTTGAACTTGTGCTTGCGCTTGTGCTACTGATTGTTGGAGATCTAAGGGTGCGGCGTTGCTGTGATTGCTGCCAAGGGGAGCAAACGCCACACACGAGGCTCCCTTTTGCACAGCACTGGGCGAAACTGTTGTAGTTGACACTGGGGCAGCTGCTACTGCTTGTGCCGAGTGTTGCTGCTGCTGCTGCTGCTTGCTGCCGTTCGCCAGATCTAGAGAGCCTCCGTAAGCCAGCAGCAGCACGTCTGCTGCTGCGCCTGTTGAGGCAGTGGCAGTCGCAGCGGGAGAAGCGCCTGTTGCGCAAGCAGAAGGAAATCCAGACTCTGACGGTGGTTCTGAGGAATCTGCTGCTAAGGGGCACTCGACAGGCGACAGCGTCGTTGCTGCTGCTGGTGTTGTTGCTGCTGCTGGCGTTGTTGCTGCTGCTGGCGTCGTTCCTGCTGCTCCAGAGGCCCCTAAGGAAGCAACTGCGCCGCAGACTCCCGCTGCAGGAGTGGCTGTTGACTGCCCTGCTGCTGCTGCTGCTGCTGTCGCCGTCTTCTCCTGCTGCACGACCCCACACGTCGCAGCGGGGAGAGAGGGGATGAACGGCGCGTGCAGCGGCTGCCGTGCCATTAGCCGGCTGCTGCTGCTGCTGCTGCTGCTGCTGTTGCTGCTGCTGTTGCTGCTGCTTCTGAGCGCTTGCAGCGCCTCTGCCGGTGCTGTGGAAGCGCTGCTGCCTCGGAAATCGCGGCAGCCGAGCAGCAAGCCACGTTCAAAGGACGCAACTCTCGTCGGCAGCAAGGCTGCAGCTGCGGCTCGCCCTCGTGGCAGCAGCAGCTAGAGAGGCAGCTCTCAAAGGAACGTGAGCCACCACGATCAAAGGCGAGCGTTTCCTGCGTCGTACTGCTGCTGCGGGGAGACGCCTGTGGGGGTGGGGACCCTCCTTTTGCTGCGCTCAAGTTGCCTGGCAGCTTGCGGGTAGTTGAACCGCTGCGAATGCCGCTGCAGCAAGAGCACTTGATGGTGGGGGGGAAAAAAGAGTTTCGCGTTTGCAGCGTGGGCGAAAACAGCAGTCCCTGGTATGTGGGCAATAGTACTGCGAAGGGAGCTCTCTCTCGAGCGACACCCACCCCCGCGGGTATGTGTGATGGATGGCGTTGGACGGCTGCTGCGACCAGGCAAGCCTTGCGCGGAGGAACTGCCGAGAGGAAAGTCGCTAAAGGCAGTTTTTTTGTGAAAGGAGGCGAATTTGGAGGTGGAAGAGCCCAGGTGGCGCAAAGAAGACACTGCAGCTGTCGCGGCTGGTGCTGCTGCAGCGGTAGGGGGCCTCCTGTGCTGCAGTGGGGAACGAGGCTGCAGCGCACCAAGGCAGAGGGCTAGAGCTCTCTGCTTGAACAAAGGCGAAAGAAGTGGTGCTGCGAGTGGAAGAGGCAGAAAATCGGAAGGCTGAAGGCTCTTGCTGCTGCGATGCGCCTGCGGGAGCTTGCGCTGCTGCTGCTGCTGCTATGGCCATAGCGGAGGGGGCCCTTGGTGGTTTGCTGCTGCTGCCTCGGTGCAGCCGCGGCTGCTGCTGCCCCTGCTGTTGCTGCAGCAGCGGCTGTACCTGCCGCCTCCACAAACATATGCTGCCGATGGAACGTGCTGCGGTGTCATTTCGCAACTACCAAAATACCCATTTTCTTAATTTCCTCCCGAAGGGGCCCCTCGAGGGGCCCCTTTAGGGCCCCCCTACGCTAGGGGGCCCCACCCCGCCTTCTATCAGAGCGAGCGAGGGGCACAGTGCAGCTAGCGGCGCGTCGGGAAAGGGTTTCGTCCGTCGCTGCTGCGGATAACACGCCTCCTCATACTGCTGCAATTGTAGCACGGCCACACGAGAAGGCACCAATGACGCAAGAAACGCTCTCCATCTCTCCCCGACCAGGGGATTCTCCCAGGAATCCTTGCAGCTGAGAAGCCGCCGCGAATTGTGGGGTGTCAGAGCCATCACGGGGCGGCTTTTCTCGCTGAACTGAGTTGCGCATCCACACGATCCGTAGAACCGCTTCTCGTAATTCTTCCGATATTGGGAACTCGCCTTTACATGGGAGCTTCCCCCCAAAGACTGAGCTCTCTTGCCCTGTCGACGCTTCTTTGGCGTTGATGTTTTCGCGTGCTACGCGAAACAGCGGGCAGGACCGCCGCATAAAACTGTAAATCGCAGTAGAAGGGCTGATAGAACTGCTTCCTCTAGGCGGCTCTTGCGGAGCTTCATTCGCGCGTGGCTCCCTGTCTGTCACACCGAGAGTGCGCGACAGAGAAGAAAGCAAGGCAGACACACGTAGACAAAGAGCGCCTACATGAGGGCAAGCGCAGAGCGAAGTTGTGTGGAAAGGGAGGGGGGAGGGAGGCTCAGCTACATTCAAACACTGTCTGCTACACTACTCATACTCCACTGTGCAACAGTGGAGAATCAATCATTTGGTCTGAGTGTTCGCGCATTCTGCACCTTGCTGAATTATAGTTAACTCGCTAAAACAAAGCGCACATCTAGAGTCCTTGCGAGCGAAGTGCAGAGTACAACTAGCTCTGAAAATGGTGGAAGTCTTGGGAGACTGCAGCTACGCGCACCCTGGCAGTTGGTCTCCCCCGAGTCGGATGTCTTAGGAGGGCTGCTGTGGGAAGGCGCAAGTGCCTCTGGAATACACTCCCTAACTTTCCATTTTAGTTTGCATCGAGTATTTTATGGTAATTGGCTCCCGACGGATGAGACCCTTCATGAAGCGGTGCAGAAGACCTTCAAGCTCCAGCCTTCATAGGAGGACAGTTGACGCACTCTCTGAACGTCGTGATGCTAGAAGCATTGCGGAGCTGGGTGCGGCAGTGATTCGCGTACGCAGCAAGCAAGCGGCTACTGCAATTGCAACACACTTAACAGGGGCATTGGATTAACGGAGCATAAGGTCGTGTCACGTGCTGCTATAATTGAGGTTATTATGTTGCGATCATCTCAGCCACATTGCTTGTTTAAAAAGATTTGTCTCCCTAGGCAAAGGGCATGATAAGCTCTGTCCGTTGAAGATCTCCGTAGCGCGACACGTGGAAATCCAGACCCTAGCAAAACTTCATAGAAGGCTAATGAGCGTGTGTGACGTGCTGCTACCATTGAGGCTATTATGTTGCGATCATCTCAGCCACATTGCTTGTTTAATAAGATTTGTCTCCCTAGGCAAAGGGTATGGTAAGTCCGGTTGAAGATCTCCGTAGCGCGACACGTGGAAATCCAGACCCTAGCAAAACTTCATAGAAAGCCAATGAGCAGAATCAAGAAAACTCGCGTCCTCCCGTGCGACGGCCCCTTAAAATGCCGATTTAATGTGGAGAAAGGCGACTGTATAACTCGTTGCTGCACCCTCGTTGCACCCCTGCACAGCATCTACTGCAAATCCACGCAACAGTGGGTCTTGTTGCATAGCACTAACAGTTCTATGCAATTATCGAGGTTTGCGAAAAGACAAAACAGTAGGTCAATTCTCTAGTGCTCCTTAGCAAGATTTACCTAGAAAATGTTGACTCATGAGGTTGAAGTGTTCCTTCATTTTACAGCACGTGTAGTGGTTCCGAGCTGTTTCAGCACGTTGCTTAGTCCTCTAGGGTTTGACTGGAGGGAGGGACGCTCTCAGTGAAAATTTCATCGCAAAAAAGGAAATTGGCTGTCATGTGACCAAGGAGCTTGCGGGCATTGGCCGCTACCTTTGACAATGTTGTTGCCCGTAAAAGGCTGAGAGGGGTCTGTGCGGCATTGGAGAGGTCTCTTAAAGTGCATTTTGTTCATCGCCATGCGGGGGATTTACACGTCTCACGAGCCTCGCGGGTAGACACAACACCAGAGTGAGCGCAAGCACGCCAACCCGCTGCCCACCCTAGAAAAATTCAATCAGCCTATAAACCAGTGTCTATGAATTTTACAGTAAGCTCTGAAAAATCAGCAACAAAATTACTCGGCGACACGAAAATATTGAAGTAAAATTAATGCAAACAATGGCGCTTTTCGCTGCAGCCTGTCGAATCACCTCGAATAGTACGCTGTACTACATATCGTAGATACTTATTATATCAGCGTGTGTGTATGCATACTAATAGAGCACTTCCTTCTGAAACATTGATGCGGCAAACTGATTCAATGCGCATTTTCAGATATTCTAGCTTCGTTTAAAACAATATAGATGCGCCTGAGTATTGGATAAGGCGAGACTAGCGGTGGAATGCTCGTCGAATTTGGAATCAGGAGCTTCTTGCTCTTCGCCACCGTGATGACAGAAATTTGCGGGGACAGCATTGTTTGTTCAAAGTTGTGGGCGTTGAGAATCATCGGGCAAGATCGGACAAATACAGGTGAATGTAGCGGACAACCCTGTCTAGCGGAAGAGACGCATTTGCCAGCTCTTCCAGGTGTAAAATAACGTCTCGCATAGACACGGAAAGGCTCTCAATCGGGATGAAGCGAGCCGCGTGTTCTCAGGGTGCATACGTAGTTAAGTAGAAGTTCCTCTTCAAGAAACACAGAGCATACACCAGGGGGGGCTGGCACTGGAGAGATGAACGGATGCGTCCTAGCCTTATACAAGCGGTGCGAACTTGAACGGCGCATGCATGTATGAGGAAGGACCAAAATGGTGGAAAGTTGGCTCCGAGACTTCCCAATAAACCGTGCATTACACGCATTCACACGAATAAACTTACATTCATGCACGTACATACACACAAAACACATAGGACCCCATAACCAGCTTGAGCTCCGTATAGGACCCAAGCATGATGGAAAGCACGCAAGTCTTTCTCTACTCCACAGGCTCGCGTTGTTCATATAAATACCTCGCTTTGTTGCTTCATTGTCTGAGCACGTTCGGGTGTCTATACGCGCGTCTGGTGCATGTATGTCGACTGGTATTTGTTGCTTGGCTAAAAGCCCGGCCAGGCTCTTCTTTTGCGTGTGCTACTTGTCGTCGCCATCATGGATATGTTTCGGCCCTAGCGGTCTCATCCTGGGTGCCTCGTGAGGCATACAAAGCGGGGGAATGGGATGCAGCTATCGTAATAGCCAGCAAATTGAATTTTCTTCGTGGCTCCTCTTGATGGTGCATCCAAGGTACTGTGCGCTCCTCGCTACTAATGACGCCCGTTTCCTTTCTACACTCCATAAACGTATGTCCACCTAGTTGTTTGTACGACGTCCGTGTTATCGGCACCCGTACACGGGCTTATGCAGTCCCTGAGTCTGAACCTGAGGATAGCTATCTTCCTGTGTAGCTGCAAAAAGGGTGTTGCGCTCAAATATGCGTCCTCCATGTTACGCGTATCCACAAATGGGTTCGCGCATACACCTATGGAGAGATGTAGTGTAAATGTGTAAATATGGACAGAGGTGTCCATATTTTACAATGCCGGCTTACGCATGAAACACATGGCGGCACGTCTACCTATGTGTGTGTCTGCCGCTTCATATACATAGAGCAGTCCACGAAATTGAAAATGCTGCATTGATATGCACAAAAGTATGCCGATAGTCAGTGAAGGCGCCAACGAAGAACCAGCTTCATAAATAGCCGTTCCGTCTCTGGCCTCCAATGTGCAGGATTATTAGCTGCCTGCCTTTACTACCCAGCATTCCCATCATCGCGTTGCTGCTGCCACACCTGCTTGGACTGCTGCTGCTGCTTTTGCCGCTGCTTTCGCTGCTGTCGCCATGGTGTGAAAGCTTTGCAAGAAATGATTTGTTCATGCGCGGCGCGGGTGATGAGCTCCTACTGCCACATCGAACTGCTCAGTCAGACTCGTATCGCTGCAAAGCGTGCAGCTACTAGTAGTACCACTACTGTTGGCGTCGGTCTCAGCAGTATTCGGTGCTGCTGCTGTCTGATTCGTTCGCTCGACTGCTGCTGCCGCTACTGCTTTTGCTGTAACTACTGCTTTTGCTGCTACTACTGCACCTGCACCTGCACCTGCTCCTGTTGCTGCCAGGGTTACTTCCAGTGCCATATGTAGCCGAATGTGCAGCACGTGACAAAACGATCTCATCCCTGTATGTGCTGCTGTCTCGTCGAAATGCAGCCGCTGCTTCACTCTCCTAGCTGCGTGCCGTCCGTGACACCTGAAGCGGCGGGTGAGGGGTCGCTAGAAACCTCCAGCCGAAGCATTTCAGGAGGGAGAGTCGTGTTCCTTGCACTGTCCGATCCATCTTGAGATTCCCCGGAGGCAGCGCTCGCTTCTCCTGCAGGAGGCTCTACCGCCTTCGCATGCATTCGCCAGCCGCAAAGCACCGCGTCTTTACGCAGCAAAAACAGCGCCTTTTCTCCCATGGCAAAGGCCTGCAAGGCCATCCACAAACACCGCAGTGCATCGCCAACCCCTCGAGCTTTCCTTTCTGCCGCCAGCTCCTGCAGTAACACCATCTGCTGCTCCCGCCGCTGCACTGCCCCTGTGTCTGCCGACTGCTGCTGCATCTGCTGCTGCTGTTGGGAAGCGTGAGCACACACTGTCAATACAGCAGCAGCTGCGGAGGACGCGGCTGCAGTCTCCGCGAGCAGCCAGCGGCATGCATGCTGCAACGCACTGCCAAGAGTGGCGAGAGTAGCCTTTGGAGGGATCGTGGTATTGTAAGCGTTATGCCCAGGCAGATGCTGATGGGCAGCATCACCAGCAGCAAGATCAGCTGCCGGAGCTGCTGCGAGGTGTGGTTCTGCTGCAGTACTTTTAGGGTGGTCCTGGTGGAAGCGGGGAAGCTGCTGCCTACTTGCATCGAGCGCTGACTCCTCAGCAGCAAGTTGCTGCTGTAACAACCGCAGCACGTCTGCAGCCTGCAACGGCTGTCGCTGCTGCGGCTGCTGTTGTTGTTGCGAGTGCTGCTGCGGCTGCTGTTGTTGTTGCGAGTGCTGCTGCGGCTGCTGTTGTTGTTGCGAGTGCTGCTGCGGCTGCTGTTGTTGTTGCGAGTGCTGCTGCGGACCGCTATCAGCAACTTGCGCAGGCTGAAGCGGCTGCAAATCGCGAACTCCCTCTTGATGGAGCTCCTGAACGTCCGCCTGCTGCATCGTCTCCTGCTGCATCGTCTCCTGCTGTTGTTGCTCTTCTCCCGCCTGCGATTCTTCTGCCTGCTGCTCCTGCTGTCGCTGCCCTGGCTGTTGCTGCCCCTCCTCCTGCAGTGTTTGTTGTTGTTGCACATCTTCCTGCTGCTGCTTTTGCTCCTGTGGCTCCTGCTGCTGTGGCTCCTGCTGCTCCTGCTGCTCCTCTTGTCGCTGCCCTTGCTGCTTCTGCTGCAGCTGCTGTGAGCTCCCCCCTCTGGCCGCTACTTCATCCTGCTTGCCAGCACTTTTGGGGTCGATTGGCAGAGCTGCTTCCTGCTCGATTGCCTCTTGCAACTTCGATTTCGGCTCCTCCTCCTGTGCTGCAGTTATGCGGCCTTTCAGCCTTACACGCAGCTGCTGCAGTAAAGCAGCTTCTGTGGCCCCCAAACATCGCACACGCGAGGAAGCAGTGCACACAGCTATCGCCACAAGTCGCTAGATGGTTACAACACCTACAGCAGCAGTGATGTTGCAGCAGCAACATACTCCGCGGCAGTATTTATGTTGTAAGAACAACAAAATTAGCAGCAGTACTTATGCTGCAAGAACAACAAAATTAGCAGCAGTATTTATGTTGCAAGAACCACGAAATGAGCAGCAGTACTTATGCTGCAAGAACCACGAAATCAGCAGCAGTATTTGTGTTGCAAGAACCACGAAATGAGCAGCAGTATTTATGTTGCAAGAACCACGAAATGAGCAGCAGTATTTATGTTGCAAGAACCACGAAATGAGCAGCAGTATTTATGTTGCAAGAACAACAAAATCAGCAGCAGTATTTATGCTGCAAGAACAACAAAATTAGCAGCAGTATTTATGTCGCAAGAACAACAAAATCAGCAGCAGCGGCAGCACACCTCCATTGGCAAGACCGCTGTTCGTTGCATACTGCAGCAGCAGGTCGTCTAGCATAAGAAGCTGCTGCAAGCGAGTTTGGTGGGAAGCTTCAGGTGTCTCCTCGCGAGCAGATGCTCTCTGCTGCTGAGGCGTGTTGAGGCTTGCCGCAGCCGCTGCAGCCGCAACATCGCTGCCGCTTGCGCTGCCCCAAGCACCTAGCCTGTAGCGTCACACACACACACACACACACACACACACACACACACACACACACAGCCAAGCAGCAGCATCTCTCTCTCCTCCTTCCGTCTCTAGCAGTGTGCAACCCGTGGAAGAAGCGCAGACAAAGGCGAGCCGCAAGGCGTTCTTGTGCTGCTAGCGTTGCTGCCTGCGGTGTTGCTGCCCTTCCTTCTCCGCTTGTTGCCAACTTACCAACGCAACTGCAGAACGGATTTGAATACTTGCCACAGCAGTTGCTTTGCATAGTCCTGCAATTCAGGATCTTTTAGCACCTGCAGCAGCAAACGGCACATGCATGAACACGACGCCTCCTGAGATAACGCGTGAACGCTAGGCTTCCGGGTTGGCACTTGATTGGAGGCTTTCATTTGGAAAAAGACACGCGTCGAGAGACAGCAGCAGCAGCGCATGCACACTACCTGCATGACGAGATCTTTTGACAAGGTGCTGGTGGCTTCCATTTGCAAGACGTCCCATGCAGATCGCGCGAGCTGAGACAAGACAGCATGCTGGCCTCAAAACGCACATGGTCTTCACCTCGTCAAAACCAGAGACGGAGGGTTGTTGTTGGAGGCAGCACACGAGACTCCTTGCGAGAGGAGCAAAGGGGGGAAGAGAGGGAGGAAAGGGAAGAATGTGAAAAGGCTGATGCTGCAAGCATTCGGCTGCGGGGATTTCGCGCTTTGCAGCGAGGAGGACAGACACTTGCCAGCTTGCGCGACAGCTGGCAAGTGCTCCACCCTTTTCCCCACACCCGCTAATGCGACATCCAGCGAAATACAGAAGTGCACAGCAGCACTCTTGAGGTTGGACTTCTCAGAAAATGAGCAGAAGCATGAACGGCAACCTGTTCTACACGGCGGCAGCACACGAAACTCCTGGCGAGAGGAGGAAAGAAAGAGAGAGATAGACAGAGAGAGAGATAGACAGAGAGAGAGATATAGACAGAGATAGATAGACAGAGAGAGAGATATATAGACAGAGAGAGAGATAGACAGAGAGATAGATAGACAGAGAGATAGACAGAGAGAGAAATAGAGAGAGACATAGACAGGGAGATAGATAGACAGAGAGATAGAGAGAGACAGAGAGAGAGATAGACAGAAAGAGAGATAGACAGAGAGAGAGATAGACAGAGAGAGATATATAGACAGAGAGAGAGATAGACAGAGAGAGAGATAGACGGAAAGAGAGATAGACAGAGAGATAGACAGAGAGAGATAGACAGAGAGAGATAGACAGAGAGAAATAGACAGAGAGATATAGACAGATAGAAAGATATAGACACAGAGAGAGAGATAGACAGAGAGAGAGAGATAGACAGAGAGAGAGAGACATACAGATACAGACAGACAGACATACAGACACAGAGAGACAGAGTGAGGGGTTACGACAAAGAGACTGAGGCGAACTTACGGCAAGGCAGAAAGCGTCGTACACCCAGGAACTGTTGAATATTTCGTTCACTCTGCAGGTAGCCGCAAGCAAGAAGTCCCCTTAGAGGCAATTGGAGAACTTTGCGTCCTGACACGAAAGGCTTTCCCCCAGAGCCAGCAGCATCCTCGCGCGTATGCCTCCTGTTCTCTTGAAGCAACAGCAAGCTTGCACATCGCTAGGTGTGAAGGAAACACAAAACAGCTTACACAAAGCTGCGAGCCGCAGCAGCGACATCAGGACGACTCAAGATCTCTGCCACCCACCAACCAGCGGAGTCTTTTGCTGCTGGCCTGTGTAGAATGACATGTCCAAAGAAATAGTCGCCAACACGCATGCAAAAAACGATGCATGCAAAACATACACACAAAACACACAAATAACACAAAACACACAAAACACACAAATAACACAAAACACCCAAATAACGCAAAACACACAAAACACACAAATCACGCAAAACACACAAAACACACAAATCACACAAAACGCATAAAACGCATTAAACACACAAAACGCATAAAACACACAAAACGCATAAAACACACAAAACACACAAAACACACAAATCACACAAATCACACAAAACACACAAAACACACAAAACATACACTTTAGGCTATGAGTATTCAATAGAATCCACAATTTTGGCACTGCGGCGCCTACGCAAGGGAGGCCTCCTGTCCGTTAACCCTCTGTGGTAACATGACGTGAAGGGCGAATTAGAGACGGAAGGGCAAGAAGCTGCAGGGAAGTCTAAGAAGGGAGTTCTACACGCCTCTTTGAGTGCTCGTTGCGGCCTTAAGAGCAGATGCCACAGCAGCGACAGAAACAGCAGCAACAGAGGAGAAGCCTCACAGGTAGATAGCGTAGACAAGGAGGTCAGAAATGCTCTTTTGAGCAGCCGGGTTGGTTGAAAGGTAGCTACAGGCACACGCGGCAGGCAAAAAACAGCAACGGCAACTGCAGAGTCAAAGACGCCACAGAGATAAACACGCCCTCATTCAACAGTGTAGAGAGGGGCGAATGCTGCACAAGAGAGCAGGCTGCCTAGAGGCACCCAGTAAAAGGCAAATCATGGGGAGAATGTGGTGGAGAGGAAGCAAATAGCGGAAGATGACAGGCAGCACAGAAAGAGCAGCGAAGGCAAACAACGGAAGAAGCGCAGAAAGCCTCTTGTCCAAGAGCTAGACAAAAAAGCTGATGGGAAGCTATCCGGAGGCGACATCGAAGCAGACAAGACGAATAAGCAAGAAGAGACGCATACTCCAGAAGCTGCATGGCTAAGGCGTAGAGGGACTTATGCAACGCCTCTGTCTGCAACAAGCCTCCAAGAGCAACAGCAAGTGACTCTCTGTTGTCTTCCAGGAACGTCAGCAGCCAACGCCCTGCTTGTTGTTGTAGCTGCGAAGAAAAAAAACTCAAAAAAAGGCAGACACGCCGTAGAAAGGAGGCTTGCGGCCCACAGAAAAGCAATGTACCGAGTGTACATACACCTCAGCGTCTGCAGAGGCAGCAGACGCAGGCCACGAGGAGGGCGAAAGCCACTACGATCACGAAAAAAAAAACGCAACTGCTGCCGCTGCACAGGCAGCGGCAGGCTCCGCTTCTGCGTGTCTTGCTGCTTGCACTAAAATGCATGTCTCTATATTTGCATGTACATTCTTGTCTGCAAGGATGTCGTCAAGGAGCTGCTTTGAAAACTCGGCAGCTGCAAAGGTCAGTAGAACCACACACATATACACATCCACATACGCATCCATATGCACACACAAATACACACCCATATACACACATCCATATACACACATCCATATACACACATCCATATACACACATCCATATACACACATCCATATACACATCCATATACACATACAGATACACACCACAGCGGTCAAAGCCCTAACAGCCTGACTTTGTGGAAACATGCAGCAACATGTGCATCACCACTAAAAAAAATAAAGACAGCAGCAGCCGTACCAAGGTCGAAGGTTCAACAAAGTTGTAGCCGAAGGAACAACGAGGGTTACACCCACACCACAGAGACAGTCCGCGAAGTGGGGGCACATCAGAAGCCTCTAAAGAGACAACTGAATACAGCCTTACCGGTGAATTGCAGCTGTTGGCTCTTCATGCCTTCCTTCAGAACCTCAGCCCCCTCAAGGCCTACACGGCGTCTAACAGTTTCCCACCGACCAATCAACAGTATGAGCACTACGCCTGCTGCAGAGATAGCCGCACATCAACAGAGCATATCAGTGCAATCACGAGCAGGGAAGGGGGGGCGGGGAGCAATCCGACGGCAACAGCAGCAGCAGCAGCGACATCGCAAGCTGCATGCAATACTAGAAGGCACTAAACAAAGCGGATGCACTAAATCCTTCAGCCGGAAGCGAAACGCACAAGTAACCCCCTAGCCCCCTCACTGCGCATGCACTACCAGGATTATAATACCAGCTAGTCAGTGGACTTTGCTTTCTGCCGTTTTATTGCTACATACACGACCAGCCTCAACGAGAGCAGCAGAGCAGCAGCCGCTGCGAAGGAGCTACCTGCGCCTCCTAGCAGCAGCACAAGCGGCTTCTTTCGGTTGTTGGGAATGCCTTGCTGAATTGCTGCTGCACGCTGCAGCACATGCGTCAGCTCGTGGTGCAGCTGCTGCAGCTGCCTCCAAGCCACAGCAGCTGCATGGGGTGCTGCTTCAGCTGATACTGCCGAAGGAAACACTGCCTGCGTCTCGTGATTTCCATAAGATGCACACTGCTCCCCACCCACAGAGCTTCCATGCGCAGCTTTTGCTGCTGCTGCTGTATCTGCTGCTGCTTCTGCTGCTGCATCTGCTGCTGCTGCTGTATCTGCTGCTGCTGCTTCTTGCGCGCCAGGGGCTGCTGCAGCAGATCGCCTTGGACGCGGCAGAACGGCCGCCAGCGCATTTAGCCAACGGTGTCTTCTGCTGCTGTTTGGGGTGTATGCGCATGAAGTGCTCTTATCTGGCTGTCCTACGGAGCGCTGAACAGCACATGCAGCAGCATCAGGTTCTATAGGCAGAGAAACACTTGCAGCAGGAGCAGATTTGCAGCCTGCAGAGTTGACGCTCTCCGCTGGTATTTCCTGAAGAGGATTTGAGGGGGTAGACTGCTGCGAAGGAGGCTGCAGCTCTTGCTGATTCTGCAGCTCATGGCCACCACTCCATCGAAAGAGAGAAACGCTGCGTGTATGTTTTAAGGCTGCTGCAGCGATGCGCATGGTTGGCACTCCTGTAGCTGCCAATGCAGCGGGTGGAGCAGCAAATGGCTGCTGCTGCTGCTGCTGCAGGATCGGCCCCCCAACAGCAAGTCGTCTCCTCATAGCACAGATTGTGCTGGCAACTCGAAGTGCTGGCTGCTGCAGCCGCTGCTGTTGTTCTTGTTGTTGCTGCTGCTGATTGGGCTGTCTGCTGCTACGAGCAGCGGCCAAGGCGGAAGACTCGTGGGGTTGCTGCCTCATAGAGGTCGCAGATGCGAGTGTTGTACCGCCTCGAGTTGCTGCTCTGCATGATGTCACCAGCCGACTCATCGTTGAGCTTCCAGTTACTGCTGCCGCGGGGGCAGCAATTGCAGATGAGCGCCGCATGGAGGATTGGATAGGGGGAAGCCACGGGAGGGACTGGCTCGACAGTTGGGTAGCGGCGGCAGCTGCCGCTGCTACTGAAATTCTGCTGCGCTGCTGCTCTTGCTGGTCGTCTACAAGAGCATGATGAAGACTTCCTGCTGCTGCGCATTCGTGAGGAAATTACATCCCCCACCCACGCCTGCTCGCCTCGTTCGGCTCGAGGCACAGGTGTACCAGTGCCTATATGCGCGAGAGCTTCTGCAGCTACGACCGCCGCACAGAACTCTTCATCACATTAACGCACTCATACCTACAAAGTAACACATTAACGGAAGGAACCGCATCTTGCTGCTGGTCTAGTCGCTGTGGGGAGGCAGCACCCCCCGGAGGCGCGAGCTGCAGCCGATGGTGCCGCTGCTGGATGTCCATACACTGCGCTGCGTCGTGTCGTTGCAGCGGCAGCATCGGCTGCAGCAACAACACATGCTAGGAACACCCTTGTGCCGTAACAACTTCCGCGAATTCTCTTTTAGAATTCACTTGTCTGTGCTTCCACAAACCCCCCACCGCCGCTTTGTTAGCGCAGCAGCTTCCACAGAGTGAGCACTACCTGGCACAGGGCCGAGCGCTTGCTGCCAGGGAGGCGAACACTGCATCGTCTTTCTGCGTCTGTCCACAGTGCTAGGACCTGCAGCGGCTGTGCCTGCCGTCGTTTTTTGATGCGTGTTCTTCGTAACTCCTCAAGCACCGAGCGTGACTGTGCAGACACCGCACCAGGCGCCTCTCTCTGCAACACCCCCGGCAACGACTCCGAGCGTGGAATGTCTGGCATCGGCTGCAAGGGGACCCCCTACACACCAGCAGCATCTGCAGCTCCTCAGCAGTGCCACAGGCAGCAAAGCTGTCTTCGCAGACGAAGCGCAGCGGCAGTCGTGCGAGAGGCGTCTTCGGCAGGAGGCAACTTGCCTCCCTCTCCTTCCGTAGACCATCAGAGACATTGGCGGCTCCCAACGCCGTTCCCCCTTGCGATCTGCGCATGCAGAAGCAGCACATGCAGCACATGCAGCACATCGCATGCAGCAGGAGCACAGCGCATGCCACCCGCATCGAGCGGCCGCTTTGCACTTCAGTAGGAATCACGCGCCCACGATACGCAACAATTTGAGATCCTCTGCCTCCTTCTCCCCCCCCTCCTGGCCTCATTGCACTGTCTGTCTGCCTGCCTGCCTGCACTGGCAGCTGCCACTGCTGTTGTAGCGGCAAGCAGTGGCGACAGCAGCAGCAACAGCAGCCTTTGCAAATGGAGCCCAGATCCTCTCATGCCCGCTATCCCTGCGCAGCAGCACCGCCGACGTTTTTGACAGACACGGAGGACGAAGTGTGCTGCAGAAGCAGACGAAGCGTCTCTACAGCTGCAGCATCTCCAGGCAGTCTCCGCTTCTGGCATCGATTTGCTGCGCTGTGGAAGTCTCCGCTTCACCTCCACAGCGAGGATTTATGTGGCAGCAGCGGCCCAGCAGCAGCAGCTGCTGCTGCTGCTGGCGAAGGGGCCTTATCCAGCAGACACTCCAGCACCCCACAGCGTGCACTCAGCAGCAGCAGCAGCGAGGAGGAGGACTGTAAACCTTGTTACCACAGCGCTTCAAAGCAGCTTCGCCTCAGGGGCAGACGCGACAACGAATCCTTGCGCACCCACAGAGGGGTCCTTAGAAGTCAAAGCAGCAGCATCAGGAGCAGGAGCAGCAGCAGAGGATGTCGTAAGGGGTCGTTTAGACGGCTACTGCATAAGTTCGCATGGCGACGTGGCGTCTTGCTGGCAGCGGCAAGAGCAGCGTTAGCCGGCAGCGGCAGCAGAAGGGGAGGTCAAAGCGAAAAGCGATCGCAGTATTTCAAAGGGCGGCGCAGCAGCAGCGCTGCAGAGTTGCCCATTTCCTCCGCCTGGCTCAGCTTTGGCAGCAGCAGCAGCCGCAGCAGCAGCAGCAACTGCAGCAGCAGCAGCCGCAGCAGCAGTAGCTGCTGCACTAGCATCGGCAGCAGCTGCTGCAGCAGCGTGTGTGGCGTTGCCAAGGAGCTTGACGGCAGCACAAGTTGCTCCTCGAGAGCGGCTGCAACTAGTGGACAGCAGCAAGAGCACCAGCTGCAGCGATCCCCTCATCAGTCGTGGCATCTGTGCTCTCTGCTGCGAGGCTTCTACCCAGCAGCGGGAGTGCTTCGAAGTAGCGTGTCTTGTCGCGCTGGTTCTGAGTCACCAAGAGCACCAGGAACGGAGAGCAGGGGCAGAAACTCCGCCTCCGGTGCGAGGTGTATGATGAACTCGTTGTCGGAAAAAAGGCCTCAAGAGGCGGAGGCAGGCGCAGCAAGCCGTGTCGTGGGCTGCGATGAAACAACAACAACAACCCCCCCCCCCCTCCCCTTCGTGCCGCTGAATTCTGCATGTAAGGAGACGTTCGTGTGGGCGCAGCAGAGGCGGCCAGCGAGGCGGTGTGGCGCTGTGAAAGCCGCCACAGCAGTTGCGACAGCAGTTGCGACAGCAGTAGCGACAGCAGTAGCAGCCGCCATCCCAGCACTCGCCAGGAGGCTACCTCCGCATCTATGGGGTTTGCTGTGTTTTGGAATTCTCACAGCGCTAGCACCTGTGGTACTGCTCAAGTCGCTCTCCGGATGTTTGTGTCTCGCGTTGGTGGCATGCATTTGCTGCTTCGTGGTTTCGTTGGGGCAGCAGCAGCTCGAGCTGCTGCAGCAGGAGGGGTTGCGGAGGTGGGTGCCTCCATCCTGGAGGGTGTTCTTGGAAGAGCGACGGCTGCTCGATGGCGTTCGGGAGGCACTTATGTCTGGCGCAGCCTCGTTTTACCTTTCTCGAATACTCTGTCTCTCTCTAGGCGAGCCGACCGAGGAGGAGGCTCTTGCCCTCCTGGAAGGCATGAATCCTTCGGTGTATGCTGTGCTCGCGCAAAGAGGACCCCTCAAGGCACTCCCTCCGGCAGTGCGAGAGGTCTACTATGGCGGCAGTCAGAGACAGCTGCTGCAGCGCGAGTCGCGGATCGCTGCGCAAAGTCGGCACCAACAAAGTCAGACAGCGGCGGAACAAGACGGGCTGCTGTTACCTCTGGAGCCTCATGCTCCTCTCGAAGAAATGTCGACTGCGTCGGTTTCCTTTTCTGCAACTGATCCTCCCTGGGCACGCCTGGCCGTCCCCACGCCGCCTTCGCCTGCTGCGGCGGCAGCGGCAGCAGCAACAGTTGCCTTCTACGAGCAGGAGAGAGACAGAACGGAGGTCGAGAGGAAAACAGCCGCCATTGTTACCTCCGTCAGTCGTAGGGTTGGTAAGGCCTGCCGCTATTCTTGACGGAAGAAACAGCCGCCCGCGCTGCTCAGCTTTCCTATTCGTCGCAATGAGACTATGTGCTGTCGCACGTCGCAAGGAGTTCAAATCAGCGTTTTGTGTGTGTGTGTGTGTGTGTGTGTGTGTGTGTGTGTGTGTGTGTGTGTGTGTGTGTGTGTGTGTGTGTGCTTTTTTTGCGCTGAACGCTGCCACAGGATCTCGTAAACTTTTGTATCCTGCGGCGATGCCCTTAGTGCTGCACATGCTTCTGGCACGCTTTTTGTTCGGCAGCAAAATGGATGACTGCATGCGATCGCTCAAAAAGGTCGCCGAGGGAGCAGTGGCCACGGGCTTTGTTGCCAGCGTCTTGGTGTGCCTCGTTTCGCCTGTACGTAGTTCACCGCTGCCGCTGTTGCTGCTTGCAAATGCATCTCTGTTTGTGTCGTCGATCCTCATGCAAGTGGCTTCCTTGATAGAGGGATGGCCTCCCCGTACGGCCCCGATGTACGCCTTCTCTTGCTGCCATGCTTTTCTCAGAACCGCCGCCGTCGCGCTGGCCGTTTCTATGCGATCCCCGCTGTCTTGCTGCTGGTCCTGGTGTACATACACCTTCTGCAACCAGAAACGACGACGCGGCTACAGCGTCTGATTTCTCTGCTAGTGGTGCAGAAGAAGCCGCAGCCGCCGGTGTTAACAGGCAGCAGCAGCAGCAACAGCGACAACGGCTCCAGGCCAGATCGGAGGCACTTGGCGCTTCGGGGATCACTAGAGAGTAATAATCGGCGTGCTGTTGTTGCGGCTCCTTCCGGTGGCATCCGCCAAACAGATCCTCATTTGAGGGCGTGCGTCGAGTTGCTGCGTCTGTTTCTTCGGCGGCACTTTGTGCCGCGCATTGCTTCTACGGAGTAAGCGCTGTGCACTTCAGCCTTGGTAGTAGGAAGCAAGTCCGTTGGAGTTGCCGCAAAAACCTTTTGCGCGAAAGCCCGAGCGATCGAGCAGGGTTCCGCTTGAAAGCAGCTGCAGCGAGGGGTATTCAGATCGTAGAGCAACAGACGGTACTGCCAAGTCGGCATCCGTTTGGCAGTAAAATCATGCCGCGTAAGACTTGATGCTTGTCGCCCTCGTAGGGTATAGGATTTAGGGTTCGCTTTGCTGGCCGACATGTCGCAACGCAATATTTACATGGCTCTTTGAAAAGCGTTTGAATGCGTGCATTTGAAATTGCGAAACTACACTATATATGGCACTCGCGGACCACAATTTGACGGCCCAGTGCAGCCAACTGAGTCTAGCGAGGAGTTGCACGCAGTTTCCACTCACATGGATCAGCTGCCTCTGCGACTGTCGTGCTGGGGAAGCAGCTGGACGGGCTCTCGTGTCTCTCTAGAACCCTTGGCGGAGAGGTATTACCTGCTTCTTTTTTTGGCAAATAGCCCTCAGTGGGCAGCGGGGACTGCGCGTGCATGATGGCGCAGCCCGCATCACTTTCCGGCAACAAGGCGTGGGGGAGCGGGGGCTAGGTGTATGTACACTCTGGTGTCTTAGCACGTGTCGCCGAGGCAGCCTCATTTTGCACTAGTCGCCTTGGGCCGATGCATGGGGGTTCTCTCACCGACATGCCGCATGAACGGGATTCGCGTCTTTTGTTCAGATCTTGCACATAATGCGTTTTTGCTCGAAAGCATCACTGTAATGTGCATGTACACGCATCCAGAATCACAGGGGTATACTCTGCAGCCGCTGTTTTCGTTCGCAAAACGCCGGCGAATGCGTCCACCGTTCGTAGAGCTACAGGAAAACTGCAGGATGTCTGAGAGCATGTATCTGCTATCCATGTCATGATGTTTGTCTAGAGGCTTTAATCGGTTTAGGCTGTGCCTTGCATAAAACTCCTTTGCATGGCTTCTTGGATAGAAAGCACCCGTTCATGCAGTGTAGCACCAGCTGCCATGAAACGGGAGGAGCAACCGAGTACCGCCACGCGTGCCACTGTGTCAGGTCCTGTGGCTCTCTCCCTTCATTTCTTAGCGCAAAGTAGAAGAAATGCACATTCCAAGATGTATTTTGCAAGGGCTTGAAAATTGAAATCGATCTGCCGTCCACCAAAGTGACCTGGGAAGCCCTTCGCCACTGGCCAACCCGCGCATACCACACGGATCGGGGGTGGGGCCCCCAATATGTTTGAGCTTCAAACCAAAGTATCCCCGAATATTCCATAGTGTATGCTTTCCAAGCCACCCTAGGAGCTGCTGATCCAGTGCCCTTTGTTAGCAGCTATGCCATATCCAATACGCCCTCCTCCCCAAGTCCAGCGGTAGCAAGTCTCTGCCGCCCCCCCTCGGACGGTCCTCTTGATGAAACCCACGCGGCGATGGCACTCGACAAGGCGCAGTCCTCCCCTCGTGCGCCGACACTGCACGGCAAACAGCAACAACAACAGCAACAACAACGACAGCAGCAGCAACAAGTTGGGGGCCCCACCATCCCGGAGCCGCTCAAGTCCCTAATCGAGCGGGAGAGTCGCCCTGGCTGTTTCTGGGTGCGCCGGATATTCTGTAATGCGAATAAGGTCATTGCCTCTACGGTGTACAGACACCTCGAATCCTCGACGTAGGGCCATTACAAGAAAACCCTCAGCCCCATCATGAGAAATGCCTCTCTTTTTCTCTACAGGGCCGCCTGACAGTAAATCGTAAGCTTCCGGATGATGCCTTCGTCTCCTCGAATGATGGGCTTCCTGATGTCATCATCAAAGGTATGGCTCAGCGGTTCCTACGTCTGCTGGTGGCGCGATGAATAACTAGCGGTCCTGCGGCTGCCCTTCTTCTCGTTGAATTCAACAGCGAGTTTGCGTGTTTCTTGCAGGCCGAAACAACCGCGGACGTGCAATACACGGGGAACTCGTGCAAATCGAGGCGAGGCTGAGCTGCATGCCCCTGCCGTATCCCCTCAAGGCGTGCTTCCTTTCGAACAGCTGCGGCAGAGACTTCCGCTGGCTCCGGCAATACTTCACACTGCTCACACTGTATCAGCAGCGTAGAAAACGAACCTTGCTGGTCGATGTTGAGCAGTTTCAAAAGACGCAAGACAAGATAACCCGCTGCGTTCTGTCTCGGTGCTGCCCCTTCCTGCTGCTACTGCAGGTGCTCCCAGAGGATCAGTGGCTTTCTCTAGAATCCTGTGCAGACGCTTCTACTGGCCTCCTGTCGGACGAGGAAGATGACGCCACCAAACCTGGTAAGCGGCAGGCTGCTGCTCACCAGCTGCTGTTGCTGCGAGGGGCGTTGGGGTGTCTCTCTGCGCACAAAGATGCGCTAATCACGGGGAGTCGCTGCTACCGAAGATGGCGCTGAGAGACGGGCTGTCTGCAGTCGTGACGGCAGCCGCCACTGCTTTTAGAGGCACTGCTGCGGCATCTAGTCTTAGAGAGATCTGTCTGCACGCCCCTCGAATCGTCTTCCCTGCTGCTGCTGTATCTCCCACTGCAGGCATTACACGGAGGCGCACTGGCCGTGTGGTGGCAGTCGCAGCGGAGTATCTGTCACCAAAGGACAAGGCACTGCTGTTGCTGGCATTGAGGCAAGGTGCAGCAGCAAGCCCTGATGCACAGACGCAGGAGAAGAAAGAAGACCAACAACAGCAACAGCAGCAGCAGCAGATGATTCAGCAGCAAGAAGAGCGCCTTGTCGAAAAAATGGGAAGCCTCAGAGCTCACAGACAATTTGTTTGTCGCCTTCGGAGGAACACGGGGGCAAGCTGCCACGCCTAATGTTGCTGTTTCGCTTCCTCCTTGCTAGCCATTCGTGCTCCAGCTTGTACTGCTCTCGCTGAGTGGCAGAAAAACGAGGCTGTCTTGTACCTGCCTTGTATGCGTATATGGGTATATGTGTGTGTTTCTGTGTTTGTGTGTTTTTGTATGTGTATTGGTGTATGTATGTATCTGTCTGTGTATTTGTGTATGTATGTATCTGTATGTGTATTTGTGTATGTATGTATCTGTATGTGTATTTGTGTATGTATGTATCTGTATGTGTATTGGTGTATGTATGTATCTGTATGTGTATTGGTGTATGTATGTATCTGTATGTTTATCTGTATGGGCGTGTGCGTATCTCTCTATCTGCATGTGTTTGTTTATGTGTTTGTGTTTTTGTGTATGTCTGTACAATATATGCATATATATATGTGTGTATGTCTGTACAATGCATTCATATATACATATGCATATATGTATGCACATATGTATGCGCATATGTGTGCATGCATGCATGTATGTATGTATGTTTCTCTGTGTGGGGATGTACCTCTGTGTTGTCTTTGCTGCAGAGAGGCGCAGCGGAGGGCTATGTTCGTGCTGAGCCAATCGGTGAGGAGGCATGCATTGAATTTTCGTGTTTATTGCCCACTCCTTCTGCTCGTATTTTTCCCTCGTTTCAAGATATCTTGCATGCTTTCTTTCTGCTGCTGGCTCATGCTTGCGCGTTAGAAGCCAACAACACCCTGCATCATGCATTCCCTCCATGCGTCACACCCCATGCATACCTCCCCAACAGTTCCCCATTTACCGTAATTTTACTTGCGCGCCTGGTAGTCTTGCATTTGAACGCGTGTGCTCCTCCCTTCCTTCTTTCCCTCCCTTCATAACGAAGAGGCTTTTAGCGATTGAATTTCGATTCACTGAGGCATGCGCCTATGCGTCTGCCAGACCGCTGCAAGCCGTGGGTATTGGTGCCTCGTGAGGAGGCAGAGAAATGGATCGACAACGCAGCGCTTGACAGCTGCGCCTCCCTCTTCATCATAAATGTAGTCTACTGGGGGCCTTTTCAGCCTCTCCCCAAAGGTGTGCAAAGAGAAAAGAATCCCTGCCTTCTAGCTTCGCATGCAACTTCTGCGCATGCTCGCCACTGCTCGCGCGCAGAGATCCTGAGGGTGCAGCTGCTGTGCGTGAGTGGACTGCGCTGTTTGCTGTTTTCGTTGCTGGCGTTGTTTCGACGATCTCGCTTTCCTGCAGGCGAGATACTAGGTCTCGTGGGAAACAGCGGAGAGCTGGAAACAGAGCTGAAGGTGCGTCCAAGCGGCTGCAGACGGAAGCTGCCTGTCGGCAGATAGCGGCGTTTCTAAGAAAGGGGGGAGAAAGGAGCGCTTCAGCGAGATTATTATCGGGGAAAGGGGAAATCTGCTTTTGCGCGCAGTGTGTGCTGATTGCGGAGGACCTATTGGGGCATGCACAGGCACAGTCCTCAGAGGCAGAGGCAGAAGCCGCTGCCGTGGTAGCTGCAACAAAACATTCCTTGGGTATGCTGTATGCTGCTGCTTTTGCTGCTGCTGCGAAGACAACGACAACGATGCGCCTCATGGGGTGATACATGCTGCTGCTAAAAAGACAGCGCCAACGATGCACCATCTGCTGCTGCGAAGACAACGGCAACAATGCACACCATCTATTGCTGTTGTTGCTGCTCCGACTGCTCTGAATGCTCTTTGAGCACGCAAGAAATAATAGAGGCCGGTGTTTGCGTGGTCACTTTATATGCGCAGACGAGGAAATCCTTCGACGGGTTGATCTAAGAGGTCTGGCACTCTACGATTTCGCATTTGTTTTTCTATGCCTGCCCCGGGAAACAGCCTTACAGCGCGCTGTATGTACATGTGTGTATGTGTGCATTTGTTACGAAACGGATGCTACGGATATATACCTCTATCTCTTTCTTTCTCGGTATTTCTTTCTCTCTGTATTTCTATGCATTAGGGCACATTCTCATGCCCCTCTTTGTGTGGGCTTGGTGAATTTACTACGTGTGCCTTGTTTTGGATGTCTTGTCTGCGAAATATTTTTGCGGTGCTGTTCGCGACTGCTCCTGTTTGCGTTGCTGCTGCAGGCGTGCGTCGTGTATTTACGATTGATCCACCCTCTGCGCGTGATCTAGACGACGCCGTCCACATCCATCGCGTGGTGCACGCAGACGGGTGCCCCCTGGCAACTGGACTAGAGGAGTATGAAGTGGGGATTCACATTGCAGACGTCTCGCATTTTATCGCACAAGATGGAGAAATGGATAAGGAGGCAAAGACGCGCTGTGCCACTCTGTACGGACCGATGAAAGCTGTATATAAATAAATATGCATAGAGAGAGAGAGAGCTTTGCCTATAAAATTCAAAATATAGCTTTGCTTGCCTATGAAGTTCAAAAAAAACGTCGTTTACGTTTTCTGTGGTTGGCATCTGCCTCTCAAATCACGCCCTAACAGCCCTTCCCCTGCTCCGCATTTTCTGAGTTTCCCCACCTCTTTGCGCTTCTCCCCTCGCCGCATGCATTCTCGATCTTATTCTGTCTGTCTGTGTTTCTGTACGGTGACTCTTTCTGCTCCTCTCTGCTGCACTGAGCGCATCGCCTCTGACTGGCGTTGCCCCTCCTTACGCTTTCACCTCCCTACAGAGCTTCCTGGCAGTGCGCTGTGCAATGTTCTCTCTGTCTCTCTGTGAGTCTCTCTGTGTGGTGTCTCTCTCCCGCTCTCTCTCTGTCTCTCTCTTTCGCATACGCGAGCACTTTCTCTGCGTAATTCGAAGTTTCTGCTTGTCTCTCTGCGCCGCCTTCTTTCGAAAAAGAATTATTCCCACCGCAACGGCCGTGATGCGCGTGGCGTCTGGGCTGCCTGTCTTTATGGCTGTGTGTTTTTGACACGACGCAGCTATCTGCCCCACATGTGCTACCCTATGCTGCCTCGAGCCCTCGCCGACAATGTTTGCAGGTGTTTAAAATTGCATGTTCTACCTCTACGTCCTAGCCACCAGTCTCCACAGCCAGTCCCCTTTTCCCCCCAATCCTGAGCAGTTTAGGGCTGTCAAATCGTCACACACATACATACATACACACACACACACAATGATCCATGGGAACACAGAGGAAAGCCATGATTTTTTGCGTAAAAAGAGACATCATTTTTGAGCTCCTGCGATGCATTTGCACAGTCTGCATCCGGGAGGCCCCAAGTTGACGTTTTCTGTCATTGCGCGATTCTTCGCGGATGGCACTCCTAACAAACGCTTTTGCCCATATTTTTTCAAGTCTGTGAGTCTTCGTGAATAAATTATAAAAAGCCTTTTTTCTGACGTGGGGACTGCACCTGAATACACATGGCGTCACGCTACCCTGCTGCATCAGACAAGACACGTCGGAGCAGTCGTCGCCTTGTTCATGGTGGGCAGCCGTCTGCCTGCGCTGCTTCCAAGGCTGTGCATTTACAGCCTACTCCCTTTGCTCCTCGCGTTGCTGTGCAGGTAATTGAGTCCTGCTGTCGCTTTTCATACGACGAGGTAAGAAGGAATTTTTAATTTTTTTCGTTTTCTTCTCCGGAGGCGTGGACACTGAGCTGTGCAGCTGGTGGTAGTAGACTAGCAGCAGCCCGTCTTCTCCTTCTTTTCCTAGATCGACGCATGCGTCGTCTGCGCCCTTCTCGTGCTGCAGCTGTCTTGCTTTTTGCCGCTGCTCGCTGCTCTGTTTAAGGCGACAGCCTGTCCTGCATGCGACTAATACGCTACTCCCATGACTGTATGTATGTGCTTGCCCCTTCCCTCCCCCCGTATCGCTCTTCCTCACTGCAGGTGCAAGAGCTCATTGACGGAAACGAAATTGCGGAGCAGCAGCAGCCGACAGTGGCGCCAGAGATCAAAGGAACGGCCTCATGGGGAAACACAATCCTGCGGTGTAGCTGCTGCACAGGCAAGACTAACCGCAGCAAGCAGCAGCAACAAGACGAAGAGCAGCTCCAAGGGACGTGGGAGGAACACGCGGCAGCAGACACTTGGGGAGACTCGCTCAAGAGATCTGCCGATGCAGATTTCGACGCACTTCCAAACAGCAGTCCTGCTCACCACGAGCAGCAGAAGCAGCAGCAGCAAAGGCCACAGCTGTGGGGAAGCTGCTGCTGCTGCGAGAGGCGGGCAATGCAAGACGCCAGTGAAGCGTTTACACTGCCGTGCACCACACAGACTTGGGATACCCTTGTTGCTGACTTAAGACTCCTCGACAGGCTCACCGCTAACATGAGAAGCAAGCGCTTCAAGGTTCGGAGTAGGCTAGGGTGTATTAGGGCATTTAGCTTGGTCCGTGACGCTGCTGACGATCGCAGCGGCTTGCGACACACTGCTTGAGGAGTTGACAGGGGGCTAGTTCTCGAATTTCCGAGCAGCGCAGCGCGGGATTTGGCGCAACACTTGTTTTCATCAGGCGGGTGTTTTAGCAGTCTCTGCGCATGCGTTTGCTATACCGCTTCTAAGGCCTCATTGGCACGATGTTGAAGCGGTTTGGGGTGTCCCTACCGCTGCTGCTGGTGAATTTTTTTTTCTCTCTCTCTCTCGGTGCTGCTTCTTGCGCAATACCTATCGACAAGGCTACATTTGTTTATTTGTTTGTACTCAGGATTCCTCACCGTTTGAAGTCCACAGTGCAGAGTTGCGCTTTTCTTTCGACGCGCTGCAAAGGCCTATGGGCTGGGAACTTGAAACTGTGCGGCACGATTTGATATGCTTCTGCCTGTTCTGGCTCTTGATTGCTGCCTTCCTCGCCAGAACGTATTTGCTGCCTGTCCAGTACTGCAGGTGCCTCTGCCTGGATTCCATAGACTCTCCCACGCGCGTTCCGGCGTGACTCGGAAGATGGGTGGGGCCTGTGCATGGTTTGCATGCAGCAATCTCGCTCGCATCAAATGATTGAGGAAATGATGCTGCTCGCCAACAGGCTCGTCGCACGTCACCTCCGCCGCAGCAGATTCCACGGTAGGATGCAGGATAAACACTGCTCAAGGGGAAGCCCTCATGGCGATCACTGCAGAAGCATCCTGGCAACATAAGTCGGGGGGTAGTTGTGTGGCATGCAGTCAAGCACACGTCTGTACCACCAGTCTACCTGGCCTTCAAGGCCTTTTCGTGTTTCCTGCGATCGTGGATCCGAGACTGATTGCAGATTCAGCAGTCATGCGGACTCACCCTCCATTCAAACAGGACGAACGCCTAAGTTCTTTCATCAAGTCGCTCAAGTAAGCATGATCTGCATCTTACACGCGTGCTGCTTGCCGCTGCGTATCCTCTATTGCGCTTTTATTCTTTCGAGTGTGTGTCTGCTACATATGTTGAAGACGTCTGGATTCTTGCAAAACGCATGAAGAATCCAGCGGAAAACCGGCTTTGCACAGTTGTTTTGTGTGGATGCTTCTGCATGTGCATACAGTGTATTATGGGGGGTTCGGGGAGACGACAATCTCTTCTGGATTCTTTCGAATGTGTGTCTACTACACCTGCATCTTCTGGCCGCTGTGCTGTCGAAGTCGGGCTGGTGTTTGTGCCTGTGTGCGCACAATATATACGTACATATATGAATATATCGTATATGATAATGCACCAAAGTTTGTATTTATGCTTACTCATCTCCATGCCGTAGATCACTGCGAGCGCGCACTGCAAATACATGCCTGGCTGTCAATGGCTGGACTTTCTAAGGTCTGCAAAAGCCTCTAAGCACAGCCTCATGTGTATATATATATATATATATGTGTATGTGTGATTGTCGTTGACGCTGTCACCCCAAGCTCCGTGTGGCGATGGGGAGCTACACTCCTTTGTGAATTTCCGTATGAGCCTTATCTGTCTGTACACTCAGGCATGTACAAACGGGTATACGCTTGTGCTGTATCTCGATTCTTGTGCCGCTGCGTTTCCGGAGTGCTTGCTCTTGCAGATGTGTGCCTGTTTCGGGAGGCTTCTGAGGCCTCCCTGTGTGTGGCTGAAAGCAACCGATATCACCGTTTGTAGCTGCTCTCTATGAGTGTTTGTGTGTGTTTGCCTGTGTGTGTGTGTCTTTCTTTGTTTGTTTCGACGCACATAGGCACTTGGGTGTGCCCTTGAGCTTCACGTCCTCTGCCGCAGCTCGGCAAACCCTGCAGAGGATTCGACAGGCTCATGGGGAGGCGGCTGTGGTAGCCGTGGAAGCTCAGCTCAGAGCTTTCCTCGCTCTTGCCAAGTACAGAACCGCGAGTTCCTTGGGAGCCAACGAAAAGTGCCACTTTGCCCTAGATTTCATGGACTACACACACTTCACATCCCCCATCAGGTGAGACAGACGGACAGGAAGAAGGGAAATGCCGCATGCAGACTCGTGTAGTAGGCAAGCAGGGAGGCAGCTAGTTGAGCGTCTTGACACAGATACTTGAGTGACAGGTCCAGAGACGAGCAAAACGTGGTACTCAGCGAGCCTGCGTGGTATATATTAAGGTTGCTTCGCACCTAGGTGAGCCTGCCACGCCAATCCGCAAACTGCCTCTCTACATTCCTGCATGTCAACTGCGCTATGCGCCCTTCGGGGCATGTACTTATTTCAGGAGGTATCCGGACTTGATGGTGCATCGGTGCCTTGCAGCACTCATCAACGGCGATCCAAAGCCTCCCTTGACGCCAGTGAGTCTTGCTGTACATTTCTCTATTTCGCCTGCCCATGTCTGTCTCCCCAAGTACTTCTCGCTTTTCCGATGCACTCTAGTACGCAGTCTTGTTTTGGCATGGCCCTTGTGTGGTGAGTACACCCTGCGCCTCTTCTTTTCGCCGCCTTCTTTTTCCTCGAGACAAACCGATGTAGAAGCGGCACTGGGGTGCACTGCATTCCGGAAAGCGGGTCCTAAAGTCTTGGCATGCATGCCAAGCGGGAGTGTAGTCTAAGAGGATGCAGTGTCTCTGTTTTCTCGCTCGCGCTCTCTCTTTCTCTGTAGCATGCGCTGACAGACCGTTGAGTTTTGCTGTGGACCCTGTCACCTAGAGCTTTTTGACGTTACTGCTCCTTTGCCTCGACAGGAAGCCGTTGAAGAAATCTGCAACGCCTGCAATGATGTTAACAAGCACATGCGGGAAGCTGACAAGGCCTGCAGCTTGGTAGGTGCTCGGGGCGTAAAAAGTTCGGCAGTTGCAGCCATCAGGATTGGTGTTTTTTGAGGCCAGAGGCTGCCGAGGGGAGTGGTGTACAGCAGACACGTGGCTCGAGACACACGATTCAAGGGCTTAGAGTTCTGAATTGAGGATTCGTGGTGTGTCGTGGGCTGCAGGCAATGCTGAACATTTACCTCTGCCAACGCAAGGAACTGTTTCCGACAATCGGTAGGCAGCGATACACCTTACAAAGCCAATGAGCAGCAAGCGTGTGTGGCGCAAATCCCCTTTGATAATTCGCCCAAATGCGTCATTTTAGCTATGCCTGCATGCGCAACTGAGTGCCATACCTCTACATGCATGCAAATCACGCCACAGGTAGTGGCACCCTGTGCATCAACTAGGTGCAACTCTGGCTGTGTGCTGAATGGCGGTAAAGACCCAAGGCCTTTACATACGCGGCTGTCCCTTATGGAAAATCTTTGACTCCTCTTGCTGTTAGCATCGATATGCAGACGTAGCGAGGGGTTATTCGTCCTTTTGGCAGCTATGGGGATGAGTCTGCACGTACCGCTGCTGTGTTTGCCCTTGACCTGCCGCAGGGATCGTGCTCACACTCAAAAAGAGCTCTATGGCTGTCTTTCTGCCGGAGATTGACGCAGAAAATGTGCGTTAATGTGCTTTGGATTAGGATCGCGGATCCAAACTTTGTCTCTTTTGCTAGCTTTCCGTAACTATCGCTACTGCCACCGATACCCTCTCACCAAATTCGACACAACTGCATTTATATCTCTTTCTAGGTCTTCGTTTGGCGCGACAAGGAGAAAGCAGTCTTTTGCGTGCATTCAGCCGGCATGTGGACCGATTCTCTCGTTGTGTGCTTGTCTGTGCCAGTCTATGCACCCTTGACCTCCAGCAAAAGTGAACTAAAATTCTCTTGCCTCTACTGCGGCCTTACCTGCGTGTTTTTTCGTTGGTGTAAAGCCACCTTTTTTTGCCTGTTTTTTGTCATCGCGGACTCCAGTGCGTATGGTTTCCCTTCTCTGGATTGCTGTGCCCTTTGCAGAAAGTGTACTTTAGAGGAATCGACTCTAAAAGAATTCCCGACACGCTGCGAGTAAGCAGGGGATCGAGGTGCAGCGGCATTTGTTTTAAGTGTTTGCCATACACGCATGCATGTATCAGCCATCTTGTAGATCATGTTGAGGTCTGCTTAGGAGCGGATCAACGCATTTTGTAGAGCCCTTGCGGTTTGTACATGGAAAAATGCATGCGTACTGTGGAATACATCTCCTTGTACAAATGCGCTGCCTATTCCTTTCTATGCATGCCACATTCTATCTCCACATGCCTACGGCACATTGGGTGTAACACGGTTCCGCCTGCTTTCCATTCATTGTCTATTGCAGCGAGAACTTCTCCAGCCGCAAGGGATGCAGAATAGTGATTTAGAGGTAAAATCAATGAACATGTGTTAAGAGGGGTCTGTCCTGAATGCAGACCCATTTAGCAGCCTTTAGCAGGTTTCCTGACGCGAAAGCACATGTGTATCCCTGATATGCCCTACGTCTTGGGTTATTAGGTATAGAAGACACGGTTACAGACCAAATGCATACTTTGGTGCATTTTTTCTCTCTCCATCATAACAAGTCACAAGGTGTATAGAGCATTTTGCGTATGCTCTAGCATGTATGCCTCTTTTCAGCGCACGTGTTTAGACACTTCCAATAGAAGAAAAAATCCTTTTTCCCATGGTCGTGCTTGCACTGCCTCGAAATGCTGCCTTTCAGGCCACCTTTGTATGGCCACCTCAGCCGGATTGCCCAGAAATTACCCAGACCGTTGTGGTGAGACTCGTGCAACAGTTTGTGGTGTATGCACATATGCATAACGCTCACAGATTTGGTTTCGTTGCAGGATTTGGGGGGCGGGACTGTTTTTTGTGTGCATATGTGAGTTTATACAATGCTACGAGTTCAAAGGGGCGGACAGGTGTACTCAGTTTCATATCACATGGCTGTTTGTGCATATTTGCGCGTAGACATGTTTACCTGAGCATAGAAGCACCAAACTGTGTACATCGAGATGCGCACACTAACGAAATGAACACACATGCATGCACTCATGTAATCATACAGACCGTGTAACAAGTGTCCACCCATTCATACGACATGAAGCCTAGGCGCTCTGTTGCTTCTTTTCTGCTGCTTGCAGATAAATGAAGTAGTGCCTCTGCTGCTAGTCCCTCTGGCGGAGATTCCCGCCACATTCGGTGCCGTTTTGATCCACCCCAAATCCCTGCAGGCGACTGAGCTGCTTGCTAAGGCTGCCGCCAGTGAGATAGACACCATGCGTGCATACACCTGAATCCCAGAGGACGTGTAGACCTGGGAATGCGTCGATCACCCTTTGTTCCATCTAAAATCTATCTCTACCTTTTGCCCATAACAGTGTGCATACATGCATGCGTGGCTGTGCACTGAGCCACCCGGGCGGATATACACTCAGTTGCGTTTCTTCCTGTGCATATACAGAAACACGTATGCATACATGTAGTTACAGGAAATATGTGCTCGTGTGCATGAATGGAAGAAGCTTTAATTTGCAACAGCTGTGACGTTCGTGTGTGCGCAGTCATGGACAAATTCCTCGCATAGCCTCGGCCCTAAACATGAAATTGGCTGGTTCAGGGCTCCAGTGTGCAAAGCCCGTCCCAGGGTTGCTGCGATGTCCTGGTGTAGCTGGATTGCTTCTCCCCTACAAATTATCAAATACTTAGTTTTTTCCTTGGAAAACAGACGTAGGCTTGTGTGTGATGAAAAACGCGCAGTGGCTTGGTGTGGCACATGTCTAGCCGCATGCGTGTATAGGTGCACGCTTGCCTGTGCATATGTACCTAAAAGTGCACATACACTTAAACCTACCTAGGTACATGGTACAGACGAATCTGTGGTTGCCCCCCACTGCATGCAGTCTATATAGGCATATGCGGGCGGCTGCCAATTCACATATACCCCGCATCAACAAAAAATGAGCTCACATACAGCAGAAGAATACATCTGTATGTACATGCACATGCATTAATGCATATTCATACACCTTCGGTGTTTACATACTCGTGAACCATTTGTGCAGACACAATTTTTGTGCATGCATGCTTGTATACTGCTGTAACTTTTGCTTGTCTGTTCCCCTATATATTATAATTACAACGAAACTTGCCCTAACACACAGCGTGTATGTTGCAATATGCATAGACGTTCTGTGCTCGAGTTACGGACGAAGGGGAGGAGTGAAGAACGTAGTCGTCTAGTCTCTCTCTGCGGACACAGAGTCCCCTTTTTGATTAAAACATTTTTAGAAACTAAATGCTTTTCAAACCTAGGTTGATCTGTGTAATGCATATGTGGCAAATTTTGACAATTTATGTGTTTTCTTGCACTCGGAGAAAGCCAAAGCCCAGGTTGGCCGCTACCCGTTCCCCAGTGCATAGCCATCCAGTCCCGAGGTCCTCGAGGGCCCCCAGAGTTCCTTCAATCTGTGTTGCATACGCATGTAGGTAGGTGCATGTGACACGTGTAGGGGTGCAATTATTCCTAGATGGCAATGCTTGTGGATATGTGCCCGTTCCATATAGATATGTACACCTCATGCATGCATTTAGACGTTCAAATACGTTTTACACAGAGCCTCTACAGTTCATGTCTTCCACATCCGTAATAGCTGAAAGATAGGCACGGCGTCCTTGCGATGATATTTCGGTCAACCTACCTAGGAGGACACTAGGGCAGATGCGATCCGGTGGTCGCATCCCTGTTTAGCATGAATGTACTGTGCGAATGCATCAACGCAGGGGCATATACATGTATCTAACATAACACCCAGTTGTCATGTACTCACATGTAATGTACATGCCTACACAAAGCACACTTGGTCCACACTTTCTACATCAAAAACATCTCAGAGAGGCCCCCCACAGCCAGACCGCATACCCGCGGTCAGACATGAACATCCTAGTATTTGCCTTTAAAATATAACTACCTGTCTGTACACTTCGAAATAGGGTAACTAACCCAGCCAAATACAGGACTCGAGCCATGAGTCGACAAGTGCACAAGCGCCACGGCTGTTTCCTTGTGGAACATAAACATAAGCGTCTGTACCCATACTCATGCGCGTATATACGGAGTCACACGTGTTTGGTCCCAACAAAACATGTAAATAGTGTACAGGTATGCGCATATGCAAACATATAAATTCTTCCCCATATCAACACACTGTTCTGTACTTCATAAACAGCCATCCATGAGCGCACGTAGGCCAATATCAATCCCTAATTTCCAGAGGCGCATGTTCTGCAGAGGAACAGATGCGCCTGATTTCAAGCCCACATAAGATAATCATGAGGAAATGCAACAGCAAGCGCACAAGATACTGGGGTCCTCTACGCTGATGAAAGCCCACATGTTCCCTTTGAAGAATCTCCTTCCGAAGCGCGGTGGAGTTCCTTTGCCATGTTCCATGTATTATTCTAGCCAGTAAGGCAACACAGGGCCCCTGCGTCATGTTGCCTCTGGATAGTTCAACTTGTGTCTCGTCTAGTTTCGGCGACTATACAGGCGTTGCCTCTAGGCCTCTTCAGCTGCTGTTTTGTGGCGCCCACACTTTGACGGTCGCTTCATGTTCCGACTTTGCTGGTTCCGCTGAGCTTTGCTATTCCTGGGAGCTGCAAGCATCTGCCTCCTGTCCATGCACTGTAGGACCGTCAGGAAGCAACCCGCCAAAATGGACAGGCCCACGGCTGTTGCACACATTGCGGTAAAGCCGTTTTTAAGCGCGTGGTTCCTCATAGAATTTGCCGAGAGCGAGATAAATCCAGCGAGGCAGAAGGCAGTGCCCATCAACTTTCCCATATTCCGCTGCGACCAGTAGCGGCTACCATAACAATACAACTGCGAACTCATAAATGAGACCTGAGACCACAGAAAGCAGAGAAGAACCAACATAAACCCAAAGCTTCGACCAGAGAGAAAAGATACAGATATAAACCCACTACCCGACAGGCCCCAACACACAGATCCCAACGAAATGAGCGACAGCTCGGGCAGATATCCATGCAGATGCGAGGAGCGAGAAACCGGAAAAAACCCCTAGTGGCGGAGGTACCAGCCGCAAGAATGACTACAATGCGCGCTGTTCCCTTCGACTCCCCCACCATCTACCCACCTAACGATTGCACATATATACACACACCCTCATGTGCGGCCCCGCCCCTTCCCGCTTGGCTTGCATTTGCCTCTATTGCACAGCGGCATGGCCCGCACATTGAAAACACCTACCTGTAGAGCGCAGCAGATTGCAGCAAGGTATTGCATGGGGACGTAGGTTGGGATACGGGGAACAAGAACGAAGAAGTACGAGAGAAAACCGCAAAAGTTTATAAATTGCATCACCCAGAGAATGCCCACTTTGTCTGCCATGTAGCCCAGCAAGGGGCAAGGGACAAATGAGAATACTTGCAATATTTGATTCGCCGCATAAGCGTCGGGGATGATGTGGAGGGTTGCAGGAACAAAGAACATGAGATCAACGATGACACAAATGTACGCGGCAGCCATCAAGCTAAATGTCCAGCTACACATTTCGCGCAGATATGTACCCTCTCCGAAGAATGAGGCGCAAAAAGCAGCATAGAAGCCTTTCGCTGGTGTATTGGCGCAACAATTCGATCCATGTCTGCTTCCCTCCTTCTCGCCTGTTTGCGCGAGACTCCCCATCCCCTCCGACCCATTGATGACCCCACTACCTCCTTTTGAAAGCTGGTGAGGAGCCTCTGCAGTGTCGTCTTTGCCCTCCGTCTTGTCATGGAGCGCATACACTCTGATTGTTGCTGGATGGGCCGCATTCTCTGTCTCCTGTTCCCACAGTCTCTCTTGCGAAGCCGCCTTGGGTCCGTCTTCGGAGGCCGTTTCTTGCACTGCCGTGTGCCTCGGCCAAGCATTTGTGGGAATTAAGAGCAGCGCCACAAGAAAGCAGCCAGCAGTACACACGCATGCAAAGCCAATCACCACTTCCTTGAATGTGGCAGCATCCGCTTGCACGTGCACCGCTCGCATTACAAGAGGAATCGAAAAGGAGAGACTCCTGAAGGTTCCGAAAACTGCCATTATCGTGCTCTCTCTCCCGGGAAAGAGATCTGCAGCAGGCAGTAAAGGATAAAAGCACATTTCAGAGCTGCCTCCGAGCAGCAGAGATGCAACGATAAAGGTGTTTAGCCGTTCATGGCCAACGGCTAACAACACCCAACCACATAGAGCCATCAAGGTTCCGCCGACAGCAGTTACCTTAGGCCCCAAACTATCGAGCAGGAACCCCGCAAATGCAGCGAACGCGAACTCGCTAGTACTCATTGCAGAAAAAAGCCGGCTTAAAGCCAGTTCCTGCTCGAGACAGCGAGGCCTTGTTGAGGACTCCCCAGATGCCTGGAATCGCTCCAATTCTTCTGCTGTACACTTCCATTCATACGTCCCGTCTTTGTACAACATATCAGCCATGGGAGTCCAATTAAAATACGCAGCCCCTGTGAGTAGGGAGTACACCGAATACACCACAATAATCAGACCTCGGGGAGCACCGCAGGGGATCTTTGGAGATGCTGCAGATGCCCCCTTCTGCGTAACACACATGCGACACACCACAAATCCGTTCCGCGCTCGTAGATCGCATCGTGCAAGCCGTGGTGTAGAGGGGTGAATTCGGGAAGTTGCGCTAAGGTCGCATATATGCAGGCCTCAGAACTGCAAAAGGCTGCGCTACTTTTAGACATAAGATGAGGGCCAATATCCTTGGAAACGCTACCTGGGCAAGAGTAGCCCGAGACAACAGAAAGCAGTACATTCTGCAAGCGCACACGACCAGCTTACTCCAGGCGTCATCACAGTGGCGAGAGCGTCGACAGAGAGGCAACCTTCAGAATGGGGGGCTGCCCCTCCGTTCGACATTTCTAAGGGGGTCATAGGCACATGGCAATGTGGTGCCTGCGCTACAGAAGGAAGTCCCCTTGGACCCTGCTCCGGCAGAGGCGATACGGAAGAGGAGCAGACCATTGGGGTGAAAATCCCAAGGAAGCCGACGAAGCGATAAAACGCGCGGAATCCACCTCAGACAGATTTTGGTTGCCCTAACCGAAAATTACTGGCTCGGATCAACGGGTCTCGGTTTCGCACATGTTCCATGCGAACAACTGCGGAAAGCGTGCGCAGCAGCTTCCCCTGTAAAAAAGGGATTTTGGTATTATGGATTAAAAGCAAGCGAAGTCATCTAGAAAAGCCAAACCTATGAAGAAGCAGCACTTCCTGCAGTTTCCCGAAGGCGGAAAATATAGGAATTGGTCTTCCACAGGCTTTCGTTGCACGGCCTCGCATTGCCGCAGAGAACCCAATGGACCCACGGACGAGCCCTGTGGACGCCAGTGGTGAAATCCTAGATGCTAATTGTTCGTCAATTAATAAATGTATATTCCTGCGATTCCAGTTTGCATTTCTCCAGTGTGCTCTCCCACTAGCACATCGAGTTACAAAAGCCGGCTTCTCTTTTGGTTCTTCTTTCTCACCTTCCGCTCCTGTAGAGAACTTGGTAAGAGCGGCTCGGAAGACGCGATCACCTTCTCTAGAGTGTGCCCTGAGATTGGATGGATTACTCATGAGGGTATCTTTCAGCTTTCTCATATCGTGAGACCTCCACGATTTCGCTTCTCCCACTTCAGTACCCTTCATAGCAGGTGGAGGGGGCCCCGTATATGCCCTAGAGGCTTTCGACGATTCAAAAGGCCTCCACACGCACAAAAGGCCTCTCTCGCGTGGATTCGCAATTCCCCCGTGTCCGAACACGCTCCACTGAGCACTCCGGGGGGAAGAAGAAGGCAGGAGACTCGCGATCTGTATGGGGCTTTCTGTTGCCCGTGGACCCTTGCGCCTGCCTGCCCTTCTCTATCCGCTCATAAAGGGCCTTTAAGGGTCTCCAGCTTATCCTCGCTGGGATGTCTCGTTTTGTCAAGGCCTATCTGAAGGCGAAGCGCCTCAACCAGAGGCAAACGCCATTGCCATGGACTCCTCGGTTCTTAGAGCTGAGCAAAGAACCCTCCATCCCTCCCCCCCTGAGAGAGCGAGTAAGATCTAAGCCCTGCGATGTTTGCCAACTGGCCAGTGAATCGGGCCCTGAAATGGACTTGGACTGCGGCGTGCTAGAGGGGTTGGGAGGCGGGGGTGTATTACGGGTTCGCTTCTAAGGTTTCACAGGTTTTTTTTTGTGAACATACAGCAACAACCGCAACGCGTAGACCTCGCCAAGCATCTGAACATTAAGGAAGGCGATCTAGTTCGGGTGAGTGCCTGCTGCCTCAATCCGTCATTCCCTGTTCGCCACTCTGCTGTTAGTTCGCTGTGCCCTTAGGGCTCTTCCCGCCTCTTTCTTCTGTTGATCGACTCGTGAGGAGCACTTTCCTAGTCCTTCGTCTGGGTCTCTTGCGTCTTCTTGCCTGTGGAAGTCACAATGCATACAGCGCACCAAAATGGCAACGTTTAACCTGATCATGCACTCTCCCTTATCTGTATGTTTGACTACCTTCGCGGTGAACCACGCGCCTCGAGATACACTGCGTGTTTGGGTTGCTTCTCCTTTTCCTCGAACATTTTCCTCCGGGTGATCCTGGCTTCCACAGGTGCTGCACGGCCGCGATCAGAACCGCTCTGGCATCGTTCTCAAGATTGACTCCAGGAAAAACACAGTCATCGTCGAGGGATGCAATCTGGTGTGACTGTCCCCTCTTGTTCTCAGCCTGTTACTGCCGTTGTTGTTGCCAACGTTTACTTGCCTCCTATGCGTGGCTCCAAGTCTCCCCCGTATTTGCCCCTTTTTCAAGTCAACCCGGGGTCGACTTCCGGCTGACGCATATATCTATATATATATGTATATATATGTATCTATGTGCCGTGGTTTGTGTCTGTCTACGGCATGCTGCTTGCAGAAGCCGTTGCTAGCATGCCGCTGTACTCATCGCAGCAGCAGTCCGGTGACCTCCTCTGCCCTTGGCTCATGGTTTTTGCCTGATGGTTTGACGCTACGGCCTTATGGTGTGGCTTGGTGTGTCCATACAGAAGAGAAGTTTTTGGAGCCCTCGGTCAGCTGGCCCGTCTATCCTCACGGAAGAGATGCCGATTCACATCACCAATGTCTCCCTTCTTGACCCTATCACAAAGTATGCTGCCCCTTATCCGCACTCTTTGTACTCGCAGCACTACATTTGCATCATGAATGCAGGATCCTCATTTTTCTCCACATGGGTGTACCTCTCTTAGACCCTCACGCAGAGGCCCCGTTTGTGAGCACCTTCGAAAAGCCACAGCGACTGCCGCTGCTGCTGGCGCGGCTAAGCTTAATGGTACAGAAAACGGAGATAGATCAGTTAACTTGAACACTTTCAGTCTCTTCTCAGCGCTACACACACTGTCAATTGGGCAAATGCCTTTCGTCTACCCATCACTTCTGTCCAATGTGGCTTAGATGGACTTAACGCGTTTTCTGTTTTTGTATCGATCGTGGGTCTCTTCTCCCGATGTCTGTATGTATGTAGAGTCTGTATGCATGTAGAGCGAAGTTTCCATGGGCTAATGTGTGCAGATATATTTGTATCTGCACTTTGCATTTTTACTGAAGCATGGCTTTACGTGCTCATGTGCCCATGAAAGTAATTCTCGATGTATTCTCAATAAAGAATAGGGGGACCTGGTTATGAAAGTTTGAGACGCATACGCTTTACACAGTATGTTTGTCCCGTTATTTGTTGCGCCTGAATTTCCTGCGGCTCGCCTCAGGCGCCCGACGCGAGTTAAGCGGCGATACACGATGCAGGGGGAGTGTGTTCGTATCTCGAAGATTTCCGGTCGGTCCTCTTCTGTAGCCGCAGGGCCCCGTGTTTCTCCCTTTCCTCTCATGCTGGCTCTATATATATATATATATATATATATATATATATATTTATATTTATATATACGTGCGTGCGGACAAGTGCTATCTGCAGTGTGCTTTGCCATCGTATGCTGCGGGCTAAATCTAGAATGTGTGTTGTCGTCATCTGTGCCTCCTGTGTCTTCCATCTCCGACTGGGTGCCCTCCCTTTGCGGACTCTTTTTTTTAAACAGGCTGCGCCATGCCAGAACCGTTGTCTCCTATCCCTCGCCCCCCAAATGCATACCAGGAGTTCCTTGCTGAGAAGGCTAAGGGGCCCCCCATAAAGGTACCTCCTTTATTTCCTGGTGTTCCCAGCACGCACCCACAGCACCCACGAGAGAGCGACACTGCAGCTTAGTATATAATGTTTCGGATGTTTATTGCGGCTTATATTAGAACTCCAAAGTGGCGCTTGGCTCGTTTTCCGACCTAGACAACAGAAACAGCAATTATTCGCTTTCTGGCGAGAACGCCGATTGGGTACTGACTCGGCCGATTGGTTAAGGGCATTGGGTGGTGCGCTTTGTTGTAGGAGAAGTATGCTAACCCGGATCCGTTGCATTTGCAAATGCTAACTCAACTAGCATTTTCTTTTCTTAGCAGCCGGGGCTCCAGTTCCAATGCAGCTGTGCAGCGGCCGCGAGAGACATAGCCACAGAGCTCACCAGCGCTGCTAATCGCAGACGCAGTGTATCCGCACCAAAACAGAACGGCAAGAAATCTGTTCTTTGAACAAAGAATCTCAATGGTACAGGTTTTTCGCCTCGCCCATAGGGCAGAGATGGTTGCGTTTCTGACTCTCTGCGTATGCATCCATTGTCCCCTAACACTTGGGCGTCGTATGCAGCTGTAAGTATTGGCAAGACAGTTGACCTGCTCGCTGTGGAGGCAAATAGATCTTTTCCTCTTGCGAATACAGAGGAATACCTGTTACAGGATGCTTTCACTGAAAATGCAGAACGTCCCCACAGAGGATTTGTTGTGATTCTGCATTTTCATCGTATATCTCGTAAACCTTAGGGCTGGTGTCAGTTTTCACGGCATTCTAGGTGAGTCAAGTACGACTCACCTGCCGCTTGTCGTCGGCATCTTTCTGCCCAGCCGAATAGGGAGGATAGTCAATTCTGTGGGTGAGTGGATGACGCGGATCGGAGACAAAATGCGTCTTTCCGGGTCACATGAAATGATTTTGAGAGGATACCTTAAATGTTAGAACATTAGGTGCAGGAAAACTCCCTAATTTCCCTAGTGCTAATGCATTTTGAATCGTAATATGTTAGCAACTGTGCAGGAAGCCCGAGTTTTTGACGATATGCGATTTAATGGATAAAGGCGTCTGTTTGTGGTGCATGCCCGCTTGCTTGTCGAAGTGAAATCATATTGAGAGGGGCGCGCGGGGGGCGTTGGAGACACAGGATCTTTAGCTTGAAAAGAAATGCAACTCGGCCTTTTTCTTCCTTACCTTCAGCCCCATTCCCTCCAGCGGTGTGTAAGATCTAAGCGATAGAGTTGACCGTCAGCCTCTTGAACTGCCCTGCTGTAGTGAGTGGGTGGGTGGAGTACACTGCGTTGCGTTGTCTCCTTGCCCTTAAGGATCTTCGAAACGGATGTTTATTAAACTTTACCGTACCATTTCGAGGAGTATCATTTGAAAAGCTGTGTTGTCCCTCTTCCAAAGGAGTGGAGACATGGAGTGACCCTCGTCGCCCTGACTCTCTGGTTCTGCTGTTCTGCTACCTGTGTCCCTCGGACTCTTTCTTTTTTGCTGCTTCTCAATATTTAGATTCTTTACACAAAGTTGTTGAGAAACGGACTTGAATGAGCAAGCTGAATGAGACAAAGAGAGGGCCCGTCCTCTGTTTCAGCATAATATCGATACGCCCTCGAAACAGGAACTCATCTACATTCCTTACGTCTGACGGCAAAAAGAATTTAATACGTGGAAACAACAAAGTAGAACTTAGTCAGATCGTCCTGATTGGTTCTCCTCCAGTTGGAGAACCCGTGAATCTCAGCGCCAACAAGTACCACAGCTCTGTTGTCTTTTTCCGGTTTCCGCCGCCAGATCCTCTTGCCCTGAAATGGGAGAAGAGCCTACGGCAGCAGCAGGTGAATATGCTGCTGCTGGGCCTACTGCTTTGCCATGCAAAACTGCAGCAGGAACGCTGGTCGGTCCTGCCAGGGCAGCAGCGAGGCATCGCCATGCCTATCTCCACGAGTGGCTCTTCTTCTTCTGCATTCTAAGTAAGCCGCACACTAAGAAAATGATGCCATAGTACATAGATTAGCCAGCTCATTGATGTTTACACGGGTTGAAGCGTCTCTGTACACCAACCTGCCTTCGGATATAGAATCTAGAACGTTTTACCTCTATTGTCCTTCCTGCAGTGTTGCATCAAAGGCTTTTTAATGCCTACGCGTACGGCAATTCTTTATTCAATGAAACGTGAATCTGCCTCTGTCTGTTGCAGTGAGTTGTGCTGGGGGAACCCTCGGAACTCCTCTTGCACCGGAAAGCCATGTTGAGGATCACGAAGCATACCTGCCGAACAAAGAGATACTGTTCCTCTTTGGAATACCCGAATGCAAAGAGTAACTATCCGATTATATCATCATGCCACCACTAAATTCGTGAAAAAGACATTTCTTTCACATGCGTCATGCTTCACGAGGGCAGGAAAGCGAACATGACAGCATCTACAGCTGGCTGTGGGGTTGGCACTGGCCAAAATCATGTTCTTGCCTTGCACTTGAGCATAATGCGCCCCTTATCGGAAATGCTTTTACTCAGAAAGCTCAGACTACTCTTGTTCCTACGTTCTAATGTTCTGGCTGTTAAAACACATTTGTTTTTATGCAAACGAGTCCATCATGTACAGCTTTAGGTTCGGTTTGTTCTGCTATACAACCGGCTCAGGAAGCTGACCTCAGTGGTTGAGTCAGTGATAGCACAGGCCGCGATTTTGACCGAAGCGCGCAAAAGGAGGCAGGGCGAAGGTGGAGAGGTGCAGCAGCGGTTTGAGGAGTCCGTACAGCTGAATGTGTCTGCCGGACCTCCCGAATCGGCAACAACCGGCACAGCGCGCTCCCATAAAGTTTACAAGCTCAGGCATAGAACGGTATCCACATTCCGCGAGGAATCCTCTCCACCACTTTGCGAACTTGACGGAGTTGTTTTGCACCATTTGAACTGCAAAATGATCTTCCTCAAGAGCTGCGCATCGTTTATTGACCCCGAAATCTTTAAGGTAACTTTAATGTAACCACGTGAACGCAGACAATGAGAGACAGAGAGAGTTACAGGGAGAGACACACAGAAATGTATACGCAGACCCAAGAGCATCTCGAGAAACAACTGGGACAATAGGGAACTCTAGATGGAGAAGAAGATATCCGCTCAGAAAAAAGGCATTTTAGGGCATATTATGCTGAGGCAATTCCCTCTTAATAGATAATCATAGGGTGACTGTAGACAAAAGCCAGCTGAGGAATGGCTTCTCGGAGATTTTCTTGAGCTTGTGTCAATAAGGTAATTATTAAATTGTTTCAATCATCTAGTGCGTCAAACACTGCCTCGCAACTAGATATATATGGTGGATGCTTGATCCGATCACCTTATTGTCTACGGGGTCAAACCAAGTGTAGATTTTTTACTGCGCTACATGCATGGGACTACTTTTGGCTTAAGGTTGTCGGTGCGTATATTTGCATCATTGCACAACATGGGGCTGCCTCATATTTGCCTTTGAAGGCATATATTTTTCATCAGCTGCCAGTCATATTGCTCGCAAGTGTCTCCCTTATCCGCGTCGCTTTCTCCCTATCTATTCAGGATGTTGCTTCGCGAAATGAATGCCTGGGTATTGTTGACTTCGACTACAAAGCCCGGCCGATCGAAGAGCTGACCGAGCCGTACGAGTTCGCTAGAACTTTCGCCAATCGCCGGATGCCTCGAACAAAGGAAGAACACGATTACACCGTTCCTGAGAAAACATTGACAGAGTGGCCCAACGACCCTTACCTTCGGTTTGGCGCGCAGTGGGAACTCCTGGACGAAGCCGGGGTGCAGGCAAAAGCAGCATGGAAGACATCCAGAGGTAAGTAGAGGACCAAATACCGTTTTGAAAGCAAACCGGTGTAAAATAATTTTTGTCGTCTTCGTATACGATTCGCTGCGCTAGTAGAAAGCGCAGTACGAATCATATCTCTTCACTTCATAGTCTTAGTTCAGCGAATGCATGTATCATAATGTCTTGGTCAGCTACCACGCACGGTAGCTTAGTGCGTACTCGTTAGCAGCCTGCTGCTCTTGAGTTCCACGACCTGAACTGTCGACGTTCCATTGTATGCTGGACCGTACACTCTAGCCCTCTTGCATATTGCACATTTGCGGATGATGCTTAGGTATTTGTTCTGTAATACTGTTGAGCACTTTTCTGCATTTTGAATGCTTGTTCATGATCTACTTAGCCTCCTTTTTATATTCAAGAGACTTATCATGTGCACAATCATGTGCATGGGTACACGTATGTGCGTGCTTCTAGGCAAATTCAAATACCTATGGTATGCATGTGCACATGTAGGTGCAAATACCTATATCTGTCACTGATAATCATTGCGCAGATTTTTACGTGAAACCTCCTTTGTTTGTATGTTGGTAACAGTCAAGCGCACAATGGTTGCTTTTCTCTCGTTTATTAGTAGTTCTCGTGTGTGTTCGGCTGCGTTGTAGGGGGTGGGGGCACCGTGGCGGAACAGCCACTGAATACCGTGGCCATAATTGACTTCGGCTTCAATATGGGTATGCTTTTGCACAACAGAGGCACTTTGGTCCAAAAACGTCAATTGAAGATCAGCGTATAACTGCAATCAAAAAACGGTATATGGCTTATGGCAGAGAACAATGCGTCAATAGAACCGTTATTCTTACAGTGCTCGAGAATAGCCACCCGGGTTCTGTAGGACAAATACCGAACGCTGCTAAAGCACAGCAAAGAACGCATAATAGATGAGTCCACATCAAACTAGACGACGGCGCGTTAGTTGGCCTGTAGGGCCACATGTAATACGTCAACTGCTCCACAAATTTTAATGATGCGGCCCGTTCATCAAGGATCACACCAAATAATGTTTTGTCACCTCGGGAATAGGTTTGAGTGAAGCAGTAAGGATAGCTATTGCATAGCACTTGCTGGATCCAAGTGATGTGATTTGGGGATGTCTGTACAGCACACGAAGACATGCTTGACAGCTGGTGGCGAAATGCTGTTTTGGAGACACCGGAGTTATCAGAATGGCCTGACAACTGCTCCGACGGAATCGACAATGATGGCAACGGCTATGTGGATGACTGTATGGGCTACGTAAGCCATAAGCAGAGAGATATGCTTAGACTATGTGCGTGTGGAAAAAGTTAGACCTCAGCTACAGCTTTTATTTATCAGTACATACTTACTCACATGCTCGTGGTAATCAACGAATAGCTAAACATCCTTTGTATCGCTGTGCTATAACAACCCTCATTTCAAAACGCTGCTAATTTTGAGACCTATGTGCGCCACGAGATGCTGTTCGAGGCAGTCACGACAGTATGAACACTACCGGTAGCGATCGACGTCTGAGCCAGTATCTACATAAAAGTCCCTGCACCTCCAGTCCAGAACATGAGCCAGGGACTGATGAAAGTGCCTGGTTTGAGCAGCTTCACGTCCCATGTGCATGAGCCTGAAGCTAGCAGTTTTAAATTTTGACTGGATAGCCTAAATGTCATTAGTCGAGTTCTTCCTAAGTATATTTCTGGTACATGTCCTTGTGAGTGGATTTAGAGCTTTGCCGACCGAAGCGCGGATATGGCCTCTTTCCAAGGAGTTCATGGAACAGCAGTGGCCAGTATTTGCTGCGCCACCACTAACAACGGACAGGGCATTGCTTCTCTGGGGTGGAACCTGAGACCCATGGCACTGAAAGTAGACGTAAGGCGGGTCTCCCTCAGCATTATAGAGTCTAAAAATCGTATTTCACTCTAAGTGACTAGATTTGGTGCTATCTAATTCACAGCGTAGCCAGAGCAACCAACCTGGCAAGGGTTGCTAGATTATTTATCCCTCTGCGTCGGCATCTCGCACAGTAACCAGTCCTGCTGTGGGAAGTAAGAAGTGTCAATACTCTGCCTCTCGTTCGTAGGCTTTCTAGAAGATTCCCGATTTTCTTCGAAAGCAAGCCCATACCAAATGACGGAATCGCATACTGTGCCACAAATACCTAACTTTTCGCGTGCATGTTTGTATCGGCTTTGTTAGGGCTCCTATTCGCAAATTGCCGAAGCGCTCAATTACGCAGCAGACAAAATGGTGCAGGTGGTTAATATGAGTTTTGGAGGCCCTCCGTAAGTAGATGGCAAATAGCTGCCCTGACTGCTGGTGTAACTTTTAGTTGACCACTTGAGAAGCATTTTTGTTATTCAGATTTACTTTAACAAACGTGTTTTCTACCGTCAGTGCAGTCGATATAGATGGTTCTGTCGTTATACTCCTTTAATTCTTGACAAGGGCACCACAAGCCCCAAATGAAGTACAACCACATATAGTGCTTCTTGAAGCTCCCTGTCACTCCTTTAATTCTTGACAAGAGTACCACAAGCCCCAAATGAAGTACAACCACACATTTTGATTCTTGAAGCTCCCTGTCACATACGCTTATACTTAATCGACACCATAAAGCATTTTCAGCTCCCCGCTTTGTTGCCTGGCGTTTTGTTTAAGCTCTTCAGCCCTTCGCATGGCCTTGGAGATGGCTGCTTTGCGCGACATAAGTTTGATTGTCGCCGCGGGTAACCACGGGTGCGACCTGTCCACTGTTAGTTCCAAGGGCTGCTTTTCCCAGAAAGGATTTGTCAAGGGTTATCCCGCTGCATATGGAGATCTGCTGCCCAACATGGTAGCAGTGGCAGCTGTCTCAGCCGACGGGAAGCCATCGAAATTTAGCAACTTCGATTCGTCCAAAAAATCCAAAATACACGTCCTAGCACCAGGACAAGCCATCACCACATGCAGCGACTTGGATCCTAAAGGCAAGTTAACTGGGCTAATACACATACAGGCGCGTTCCGTTTTCGCAACAAGAGATCGAATTCACATGACTGCAGCTGCTGCAAACCATAAATGCTGTCTTGATTGCATCCCATCGAAGGCAAGACCGCTATTGGGAATGCATTGCATGCTGCTGTAACTACTCGGGAGGTTGGGCGAGCTGCTTTGCTTGTGCAAACTTCTGGATTGTTTAGGTTACTTGAAAGCGAGTGGAACCTCATTTGCAACACCAATAGTGTCAGCCCTTGCGGCTTTGCTTCGCTTCGAACTTCCTGATTTGACCGCAGAGGATGTCAAGGAGGTTCTTATCCGCTCCTGTTATAGAGTACCGAACACTCAACTGGATAGAATAGCTAAATGTGGTGGAATTATCAGTGCCACTAAGGCTTTCATAACAGCTGGAGTGGTGCCTTCGCCCAAGCGCTCTACATAAAAGAAGAAATGCCCATTTCAAACCGTCCTTTATTCGCAACAATCAATTTATTCTCGGCTTTAAATAATCGCTTGTTGATAGTGAGAGCCGCAGCCTCTGCCTGAGAGGGCACCATTTCGGTCTGCCAGGCACGATTTCTTGGTGACGTTTAGGGGGATTGCGAGTCACAGTAGACTAATTCTTGTGGACGATGGAGGGGAAAGATAAATAGGTGAAATGTGAGGCTTGCCATGCCCAGTGCTAGGTAAATGAGCCTCGTAATGCCTGCAAAAAATACGAAGTTCAATCAAGACCACGCCTACCACAATGTTGTGGTCGATTTCACGCAGGAAATGCTATGTGTCCACTTTCAGTTGTTTTAAATAGCAGAAATGTATGTAGCGCTTTTATAATACAAAACTGTAGATTTGAGAGCATTAAAGCCCAGAGGAACACATCACTACGTCAAATGAAAGAGCAATATTTTTATAACTCTATCACCTACTTCCATCAAAACAGTGCCATTTTACTCACAAATGTAGAATTCTTGAATTGCTTTTAATAATGAACAGGAGCCCTATTGATGTTTCTTTAAGATTGTGCTCGCTTTGCAGTAGGGTAGGAAAGGACTCACCGTTACACTAATTATCTACCAGAGAGCTAGGTTTCGGATTGCTTGCTGCCTCCCTTGCAAGACTTGCTTATATGTTTCTTTTCTATGCATTGGCGTGTTCAAGGTGCAAGCTGCAGGTCACAGGTGCTCTACTAACAGCGCCCTTTCCGCTTTTCTGCCTTGCTGATGCGCAGTGAGCACAGCCATGCCTACTTCTGGATTTTACATTACGAACCTGCGCTCCCACACCCATACCATAGCAGTGGCATTTTAATACACCAATGGCTAACCCAGTGAGAATTTCAGAAAATAAGGACGCAAGCAGAACGATGCAGACTAATCTCAATAACTTGAGGCGTGATGGACCGATTACATCGTATTCAGTCAGCCCCATCAACAAGTACGCAAGAAACATGTTCATCTCACCGGCACTCACAAACTGCCGCCCTAGGCCCTCAGATGCTTCATTCGAATCCGTGTGAATCACCTGGTAAGTACGCCCAGACAATGCCACAGCTACTAGCTTCCCAGGCAGCACAGCGATTCTCTCACGCTCACACTGAAGCAGAACCATCATGGTTGTTTCTTTGCTTCTCATTACCAGAATACAAAGCGCGGCTACCAGATATAGGTAAGAGGCAACCCGTGAGATGATTCGTAGCTTTCTTCAACAAAACCACCACTTTCAACAATTCATCTTGATTATCTTAGTGGCCTTGTTGCTAGCACCAATCGCGATTATTGTACACTACGCATACCCTAGATGTAGCGCCACGCCTATCAGTATCTGTTCTAATTCTTTGGCGCGGGCGTTCGCCACCGTATTGGGGCGGCTGCCATGTAGAATAGTGATTTTGAATAATATCTTCCCTAACCAAGCTGACGCATTTTGTCCAAGTAACTTCACAGCATGGCCCTTCCTCAAAATTGTATAATAAGGCGTTGGCTCTAGTGCAAAACTAAAACTACGAGTAACTGCTACAGTGCAGAACTTCATTGGTTTCACTACTAGTGTAACGCTCCACGCAGGCCGTGCATAAGAAGACACCTGGTCTTCAGCCCAAGAAAATTTTGTTAAAAGCTTCTGGATATTGTTGGACAAGCTATTTTTCCCATCCTTGCCCTCACCCCTTAGTATTTCGGCACGACGTGACAGCCACGGCTGGGGAGAGCGTTGCTGCGCAAGCATTCACAGCAAGCTGCACAGTGCACCTACCGCACAGGCATACAAATTTTATTTACATCATATTTTGCTAATGCTACTCTGCAGTAAATAGCGTGTACCCATAGCCAAACCAAGAGCCAATACTTTCACTTTTACTTTATCATATGTAACTGGTGCACTAAAAAGTACCAAGATGTAGCCTAGCCCCCCACGGCTTGTCTCCAAGGGGTCTAGGTATTTCTGCCTAGCTGGCCTGGAGGTGTTCTGTAAATGTAGATCTTCTGCTGATGGCAACTTGCTAGATCTTCCGGTTAGAACTTTTCATCGTTTTGTCCAATAAGCCCTTTGCCGCCCTCTACTTGCACGTGCTCTGCGGTGCGTTGCTCCCCAAAAGCTGAAGCTGCAGACAGATTGGCTCATGGAGGAGAGGAGGAAGAAAAGTGAAGGAGAATATAAGATGCGCGGAAAAATACTTTTGTGTCCTTACGCTAAACTATTGCTGAATGGAACAATTCATTCAGTCTTGTTTTTTGGTATACAGCTTCGGAGTTTGTTTTCTTGCAGTTCTCGACCCAAGTATTACTGGAATTTGGATGAGTCTGCACACTTTGACTTTATATGATTATTCATTGCCACATGTAAGGTTTTTATGTACTGTGGATACCCGTAATTTTGGTGTGGTCGTGCATGCTATCGTTTGCAAGGGCGCAATAGACATATATGAGCTTCAGCCCAAGCCACTGTCAGTCGTGAAAGAGTGTATCTTAAGACGAGAAATGTGTGTGGCACTATTGATGCGTTGTTCCTCTTGTGAACTCACGCCAGGTACTATAAGCAGATTACACAGGCCTTATTGAATGTGGTCTTTAAAACAAGAACTTGCCGTTCAGTGTGTTTGGAGCGAGGTGGTTCCACGCACTACAGATGGTAGAGAACGTGCCAGAACAGCAAAAGCAGCAAATTTCCGGGGTAGAAGATAATCAGAACACTGGATTTGAAGGCAATTGTGATGACTTTGGCGGCACGCCAGCTACACGCAACCGTAGACGCACTATTGCGCTCTGAGAGCCTCCCACAGGAACGTTGTTTCGGGCGCCTGCAGGACCCTTCTGCGAGATTGGGAGACCTCTGAAACTCTTGCCGATGTCTGCGTCATATCTATCCAGATTCTCATTTAGCGCTAGGTTGTGCATACGCATTCCAATGACGGTACAAAAGTACTACTTGCAGTCCCCAGAAAAAACTAATCGATTTTCCGGTGACTAGCGCAAGGCCGCAATCAGGACTGTCTCTATTCAATGCAAGATATGGCAGGATTCACAGCAAGGAAGATAATGTGGTATCGGATATCCGTGTAGCTGTTCTCGTCTTTTCTCCATACGTACCGCACTTGGGCATGCTTCGAGTGATTCGAAGCCGAATCGTGTAAATTTGTACCCGTTCAACCCGAAAGGCATAGTTACCTCTAGTATTCCATAAACATGATATTTGGCGAGTGCTGCATTTGTACACTTTTCGCCTGTGCAGCAATAATAGAGCAGCCTGGTATTGGTAATACGAAAGTCACGAGGGAGGTCATTCAGTACACAGTGAGTGGCGTCCTTCACATAACCAGGTGCAATGCCATAGGTTAAATGCTGAACTTGTCAAGTCCACTGCTCTATTGTTGCTTGGCGTCATCATCCACGTCTTTGTGTTAAATTCTCGCCAACTCCGATTTTGTAATTTCCTGTCGCCGTATTTCCAGGAGCAGAAGCCACACTTGAGCATCTTATCGTCTGCAAGAGTAAATTTTAGAGCTTGTTTGAGCGTTAAGTTGTCTGGATAGCTCGTGTACCTCTGGAAAGTCTAAACTGTTAATAGTCCTTTCCCTTCTCGTTCTACGTGAGCACTGGGCGCTTGCTTACTGGAAACCGACCTTATGGGCGCACATGGTATCATTTTTGGCACTGTGTCTACAAATTGTTAGATAATATCAAGAATTTCAGCTAAATATGGCATTCTAGGACTCTGTCCTATGAGGCATGCGGTGGAACCAGCGTGGCTTCATTGCTCCCCTGAACTAAAACGAATACCAAGCCTCGTATGAAGCACGCAGGAATAGAAGTGATTATGAGAGATTAAAGCAGCCAGCATGTCTGAATTATTTCAATCTTTTGGTTATATGTTTTCACAGACAAGCACTCGGGAGCCGCTGCTCACGGAAAGTTGTCAGCGGCACTGGACTCACCGGTCAGCTTGGGAAATACCCCTGCAGCACAAAGGATCTGGGGGATGCATGCCGAGCATTGTCCGCAGAGAGCTGCAAGCTAAAAATATCTTCTCCAATATCAGCTAATATCCCATGCATAGCAAAAACCCTCATTACCACCGCAACATACACGTTGGCTATCAGTCGGTCCCACCAAATATCCAGACTTTATGCACGCCAGCTCAGGAAAGGTCGTAGCAAAAACAGGAGAAACAAGAAGACGCTCAACAGGCATTCAACTGAGTGGCACGCTAGAGCGACTCCAGATTCGACTCTGGACCTGCCCCAGATGGGGCATCGGGGACTGGCTTCACTGAGGCCCCAGGCTGAAACTATGCACAGTGGCTAGAACAAATGGCGTTTTCAATAAGTTTTCATCCGTTTTTTTTCCTGATCGGGTCGGTGCTGCAGCTCAGACCCTCTTTTGCATTGTGGCCTTCACCGAGTCCCAGACAAGCCGGGCCGTTGCCTTCGCTTTCCCTCGGACAACTTTTACTACTTGGGTCTACTGCTACGGAAAGGGCCACAAACGTGATCCAGCAGAATAGCGCCCTTGAAAGTAAGGAGCGGAGACTGCGGTCACATGTTGACAACAGCGAGTTCTCTCATAATGATGTCGATGGTAATCTTGAGAATGGACGCAGCGCCATGTTGCCACTGTCTGATACAGCAGTAGAATTCTCCAATATGGAGCTTGGGGTGACACAGGTAGGCACACACAGCTCCGGTGGTGGGCTTACATCATCAGAGTCCCTCACGGGTAACCTGCTCCTGCAGCCCACACATGGAACCCCCATCATGCTTCCTTCGGACTACAACCCGAACTACTATATGCGCAAAAAAGAGTGCGCTCTTATGGGAGAGTTTTCGGTCTCCTGCAGTCTCACTAGGCTGGAACTGGGCTTCATTATATGTGCCGCAGCTCTGCTGCTGCTTTGTTTAGCAATCGGGACCTATTTTGCCATACGTTTCATTACTGAACGCACTCCTGGTCATCTAGGAGATATGCATAAGGCCGAAGGCCAACAAAAACTGCTTCGACTGAGGTCAAACACCCCAGGATGAAACCGTTACTGACGGGACTCCCAGGTTTTTTTAGACGCCAACGATCGCTCTCGCGTAAGACCGAAAGGCATCGCGATTTGATTTTTTTATAGCGTGATCGCGCAAAAGTCACATTAGACACACCACGTGGTGTAGCAGACATACTCGTGGTTACGTCTGGCAAATAAACACTGGGAAGCTAGCTCGCCTTAAAGCCTCAAAGCCAATACTCAGCAAGGCTTCACGCATGTCCACTTCTGATTTTCGCAATTCCAGCAAGCACTCAGAAGAAGGGCGAAGGCGTCTGCATATCTACACATTATGCTCATTCATTGCAGATAAACACCACGGGCACCTGCTGAAGTGCCGAGTGTAGAGCGCTAGATCAGACGAAGCTGCGGGACTGTCGCACTCATTACAGAAGCTCCTGTGGCCTTTGGGAATCGGAAAGCCAGTGACGATGCAAGGCTCGTGTTCCTTGCTACATGCCACGCAGGTGACAGCCCAGCTACAAACCGAGGCACCGCATCCATCGCAAATACTGCAGTAGCAGCACGAAAAACACTTTGAACCCTTCACTGACAACAAAAGAATAGCCAAATGGACCAAAATGATTGTCGCAGGCTACAGCTGGTATCATTTTTAAAAAAACAAAGTGGGTTTTTTAAATAAAAGGAAATAGGGCTGCTGCCTGCGGCGTCCGCTACAGTACGCACCTAGTTGGTATTTCTGGTTTAACTGCAGGGTTAACACTCCATCCCAGCACGAGGTCTCTTGCTTGTTCCTGCTGGACGCTTGGCCTGAGGAGTATATCTAATTTGCCATATTTTAAAGCATGCATGAATGTCGCCGAGCCAAAAAAGGTTGTTTCGAAATGATGCTGGGAGATAGGGATTGTTTCACCTAATTTGTTTGCACACCGGAATTCGATGAGGCATCATCAGTGAAACACTTTTTCTAGATCAGGAGCCAGAACCCACAGATCGATTGCGTAAGGAAGACGTACACGGAATGGTCCTTTGGAAGAGTGTCGGTTTTGGGTATTGGCAATCCCATTTCTCTAAAGGGCCGACCGTCGAAACTTGCCAGTTCTCTCTCATCGATAAAGTCAGCCAAATCCAGATATCTGCAATGAAGCACAATCCTAATGGAGACAACTAAAGCCCAAGTAGCTTCTCAAAACCAAAAGTAGAAATAATCGAAGATAGCAGACACGAAACCCAAGGAAAACAAAAACGGGAAAGTGGAGGAATGCAGTGTATACTCTAAGGGCCAACAATAAGTACTGCACCTGTTAAGCAGCCAAAACGCAGCAGACCCCCAGCCAGCCTGATTAGACTTGACGCCAGCACGGTAATAAAGCCAATCTAAGCATGGGTCGCCCTCAGAAAACCTGTATGATAGTACATGTCATGCCAGTAGAGCAGGGAATGCCCCAACCCTTTATGTGGGTTTTCCAAAAGAACTCAGGCAGTCAACGAGCTGATGTGTTACGTTGAAGTGCACTAGCGGGAGCGCCTTTCAGCTGTTCTACATATACCAGCAAAAAACTAACCGCAAGACCGATATAGCGGCTTTTGCTGCCAACTCCTTTAGTTCTGGCTGTCCTTCGCAATCACTGATAAGGCATTCAAAATGAGCACGGAGTAGCTTCCGGGTAGCCTTGTGCCTTTCTTCACCATGTACTGAACAAGGACGAGGAAATGTGCCTTTATTTGTAGCCGTTTCACCTTTCCCTAGCAACCTGAGCATGTTAGTTTCCTCACCAACAGCTGAACGGCTGATTAGTTTTCTGTCGAAGAATGAAGCTCTCTAGACTTTCGATGACAGTATTATTAGCTGATAGTAAACTGAAAGACAGCTCTTACTTGGAGTACATCTGTTTGATGACAGCAAAAGGATTGCTTGCTGCTGTGGTGCCTTCAGAGGCATCGTCCATTTGTCCTTCTTCCTGATGTGTACTTTTACTAAAACTATGCCTTTCCAGTTGCTGTTTTAGGTGGCAGACCTCAAGAGTTGACGTGACACGCTCGCAAAGAGGCCAAACATGCTCTACAACCAATCCTCCGAATTTCCCCAGTGTTTCAGCTGCCTCCACGGCAGACCCCAATTCCATCAGAGTCTAAGAACGCACAAATAATTGAGCGCCGCAACTAGCTTAGTTTCTTTTTCGGATAGAGGCTGCCTGGTAGCCATGAAATATCTGGTACTAGGCAAAAGACAGGGAGGCGAAGCTGAGGGACATTTTAGACTGCGTTCCAATACCTCTGTACTTGCTTATATATCTCACGCACTTGTACACGGGTTTTAAGCAGCTGGCTGAGTAGGGGGTGTTGCTGTTCGCTGGCTATGTCCAAACACCTGGCCCACTCATTAGCTTCAGCCAGCAACATCAGAGCACTCTCTGTGTCGCCTGACTTCAGCAGGCCGTCTATGTCCCCCCGTGTCTTCAGCTGCATACTCCGGCATCGTGCCAATTCTGCCTCTGCATCGACTCCAAGAGAGCTCGCCACTGCACTAGCTCGCTCCCATTCCTCCGCCGAGATGTAGCACTGCATCGAGAATAAACAGCAGACGTCTTGCGAATAACATTCCGTGCATGTCATCTATATCCATGCATGCAAAAAGTAGATACTCTACTTTGGTAGGCGCGCTCATTTGCTGCAGCTTGAATTAAAACCCGTATTCTACTTCAGGATCCTGATTGTTCCCTGCCTTTAAAGCCTCTTTCCCACGGCTAGCTGCCATGTAAAGCTCCCCGGCAGAGGCAAGATCGCCGGCAAGCCGTAGCTTCTGCGCTACTGCAGATGCTACAGCCGCATGCCGCGAGGGTCCGAGTGCCCGGGCAAGCGTCACCTACGGCATTAGCAGAAGCAAACAAAACAACTCGTTGTCTCTGGTCCTCTTGCCGTACTCCTTGAGACCCTTCTGGTGCTACAAGACTTACGTGCGGTGATGTTCCCGGAATGAAACTGACTATTCTACATTTAAACTTTAGCATATTGAAAGGGTGTGGAAGTACTGCGGTCATCCAAAAAGGGCGCAACTCCTGGAGATCGGCAGTGAGTACTTCGCCCGTTGAGAGGCAGACATCTATTGCGTTTTCAGTTGCTCCGACTCCTTCTAACGCCTGATTAACGGATTTGGACACCCGCTTAGAGCCTTTAAGTTTTTTTTGAATGAATATCCGCGGTAAGGGTATTAGGTTGCCAGTCGAACGGCAGAACACGGGTTTCTCTCTGCAGTTTTGTGGGAGACAGCCGTGCGACTGGTCTGAATGGCGTACTTTGCAGAACTCTCGAAGTTCCTGTATCGATTCGAACTGCGGCTTCTTATTGTTATACTGCTGAAGCACCCACGGTAACATCTCCTTTGCCTTCTCCCCACACAGGCGAACCGCGGCGGCCCACTGCTCCTTCCGCAAGAGGAGCTGAACTACTAGATCGGCTCTCCCTGCTTCTAACAAGGCCGCCTGAGCTCCCTGGAAGGCAGCAGAGGACAGGTACTATGAGCGGTGAAAGCCTTCTACTCTGGGGTCATCCGAAAATTCTCGCTGTTCGGTAACGAGGTATTGTGATGAATGCTGAGCTATCAGGAACACGAGTCTCTGGGAAACGAGGCACATGCTACTTGCGCCTTTTGGTACTGGGAAGGCATGGACCTCGAGATCCTCAGAAAGTACACAAGTCTTAGCCTGCTCCATCAATAGTTGCTGCAAGGCTGCTGGCCGAAATTGTCTCGAAAGTCGCACGGCTTCCGTCCACTTGCCCTGAGTTTTGGATAGCCAGCCAGGAGCACGTCTCTCTATGAATGTGCATCTAATCGTCGTGGCTGTCACACAATCTCTTGGGACTACACCAGTGGCAGACATGGGGTTAATGTCCATTTGCATGTACGGACACGTTTCTTGTAGAGTGCGATGGCCGCTTCAGGAGCTTGTGCCTTCAAGTATGCGTTTTCAGCCTCAGACGTGTCTCCAGAAGCCTCTTTATGCCTTCCTAGCTGCATATAAACCTCCTTTGTCTTTTCTAAACAATGCTTCCTTGCAGTCTCTATCGCCAGAGGGAATTCTCGGTTTTCTACCGCCAACTCTACTGCAGCGCCACACTCCCCCCGCTGAGCCAATTCGCACAAGGCAGGAAGGCAATAAGGCAAGCCAATGCAAATCTACTTGAGTGTTGGTATGGCGCTAATCATCCCACCAAACAGCTCCTGCAGGTAGTACGATGCACATTGATCGGCTTTTGGTAGTATCTGTCTTACTCTGCTCCCTGCCTGGTGTTGATGCTATTACTGTTGCCAGTCTCCAGCGTACCTCAACCAACATTTGTACAGCAGCTTTTGGGCCCCGTAAACGTAGGAGCTTTTGGGCGTGACGCAGGCACATGCGCCGACTAGCAGCGGCTCCCCCTTCAGACGCCGCCACGCGGCAAGCAGCAGCCCAGTCTTCAACGTCAGCGTACATGTCGGCCGCTTGTTGCCATGCCCCACAAGCTGAAACCACAAAATCCATCCAACATGAAGCCGGCAGCTTACCAAAGTCTGCTACGACTTTGTGTGGCGGTCTTCTCTTGCGTCGTTCCCCCTTCACGGATCTAGTAAGCTGCTACAATGCAAATCCTTGAGCGTGAACTAGAAGCCAGCATTCCATGTATAAAATAGGGACACAGCATGGACCCTAATGTGTCGGCTTACCTAGAAAAAAGCGTTCGGCATCGGAATAGCTACCGATGTCAGCGAGTCGCGAGGCTAGCCGCATACAGATAGCATCGCGCTCGGCAGGGCTGCAGCGCACGGAAGCAATAAAACAGCGAGAGAAGAGGCGTTAATCACAACTACAGACCTCCTGTAGTGGCTCAGCAGCTCATAGGAAACTCTGACGAGAAGGGATGAGAAAAAGCCGCTTTGCACACAACACAAGGCTTTTGTGAAGCGAAAGTGAACTATTGGTGGACCAATACGCAAAATTGCTCAGGTCCTGATTTAGGCCACTTAAAATGCGTGCGTCCGTTCGTGGAACGCAATGAAAACTGCCGAAAATTGCTTACAGTGCCGTATGGCCTAGTTAGCAAATGGGCTTGCGTGTTTCTTCTGTCAGGAAGTTGCTTACCACTGAGTGTCAATAAGAAGTATGAGCCGGTCAAACTGGCTGTGCGTTTGCAGCAATTGGAGAGCTCCCTGGACGTCACCTATGGCCAGCAGCACTGCTTCAGCGTCCTAAGAGAGTGCTCGATGAGCAAGGACCCATCAAGGCAAGGCAGGAAACAGAATAGCAACACATCTGTGGCACGCGTTGGAGAAACATTTCTCTACATATTCATTGTTCGTCCCGATATTGACTTCTTGTAGTCTCTTGTTATATTGTTCTTTTAGATGGAGTACAATAGTTTCAAGGGTTTCTGATAAGAAACGGATGCGGAGGCTTCAAGTCATACCTCGAATTTTTTTCCGGCCGCCAACTGCTGCGCAAGCTGCTGCATAAAAGGGCGTAACTTTTCTCTTGATGGGGCGTTTCTAACAATCTGTGTCACAGAAATCACGAGATACAAAGCACAGATGAGCCAGTTTTGCCATTGGGAACGCCACACTGCAGCAGCTGCATTCTTACGATATTGCTAGCCAGTCCCATATGCCGTTTGAGGTCATGAAGCCCTCTCGCAGAATAATCATTATCTGTGTCAGCCAGGGCCACAGCTTGCCTTAAGCGCTATTGCTAATTGTCCACGTTCTAGACGCATCCTAACAGCTCTTTCCACGGCATCTGCCTACACGATGGCAGCCATATCAAATTGCTGAGCCTTACCATTGAAGATGAAGCAAGCGTCTAAGGCACAGGCCTTTGAACGCCCCAGCCCGACGAGCAGGTGGCGTTTTCTTTTCAGTCAAAGTAGGTAGTACAACAAAAAATAAGCTTCTACAAGGTGTTAGCATTTTTTGAAGTGCCGTTGGGACAGGCACTTGGAAGACATGGACTTATCAAGTGTTGTGCATCAATGTATCAGATAGTATAAACCACTACTGACCTCAAGATACGCTTGCTCAGCCTCAGACATGTCTCCTTGATCTTCAAGTTTTCGGGCCACTGCTAGCAACTTCTGGACAGACGCTTCATCTCTTTGTCCTTTTAACAGCTGCCGGGCCTTCTGCCAAAGTCCGCCGCTTAGGCAAGCCTCAACAGCGTTATCCTTGCATCCCGCTTTGATAAAATGTGCCACTGCTTCTTCAACCTAAACACACAGCTAGGTCTGTTTCCTATTGAAAAGCTGTACACGGACAGGTAGAAGGATCTCGGAGCCCATTGGCTCAACAACCTGTTAAAGAAACGTTGCCCGTATCATGCTTCTGGACGTACGCTTGTACCATCATGGGCACGTATCACTATCGATTCCGTATCTTTAGCCACTAATAAAAGCTTTAGCAAGTGTACAAGAATTTTCCAAATAAACTTAAGCATTGCCAAGCTTACTTTCCCTTCTTCCAAATTAGCTTCTGCCCAGCTTTTGTACAGACTGGGCAACGCATCACGTGCCACCGCCTCGGCAATCGCCACTGCCTTCGGAAAGTTTCGGCACTTTCTGCAATTTTTGAACACCACACTCCTCTAAGCGTTGGGATGGAAGCTGCTGTGTGCGTGTGAATAAGCAGGCCACCTCTGGCGGATTGGCGGTGCTTCAAGAGCAAACCATGGGAACTGCAGGGGCTTGCATCTTACTGGTGCAAAGACAAGGCTTTTCTCCAATGCCCTAAGTGTGCCAACAAATCTGCTGCCACCTCATGAAGGTCGATCCTTTTTAGTTCTTCGACAGTGCTCTCAATAAGCTTGGGAGAGAACATCCCGACTGGTACGAATCCTCTAAGGTCATCCACTTTCCCTTGTGCATTCTGAATCCCCAAAGGCTGGCCAGGAGAAGTTTCTGCGGGAGGCAAAGACTTGCAAATGAGAGCAGCTGCCTTGGCAGGAACTCGGCCTTTGAGAAACAGCTCTGCTGCCTCTTTCACTTGTCCCTCTCTAGCGAAAATGCCAGCTGCCTCTTCGAACTGCACGGAAGACGAAGCAGGAACCAAACTCAAAGCTGTGTATACATTGGCAGCCTCAGGCAATCAGTTTGTTTCCCAAAACCTTTATCACGGCAGCTGACATACGCAAGCATGCAATACGGTTTAAGATCCACTAGCTAGCCGGGTTGCTTCTGCGTTCGTAAACAATGAAACAGCATACTCTCTGTTCCTTGAGCAGCCATTCTTTGTATTGATGCTTTATGTTCTCTGCTTGTGATGCATCGTGCTGCTCCAGCACTCGTATACAGTCGGTCCATCTGCAAATAAAGTGCAAACATCTACGAAAAAGCCTTGATACCTCGTGTTGTCCGTAGTTTATTTTGATCATTAGCAGCTCCGAATGTTCATTTGCTGCGAAGAATAAGAACTTCAATCGGCAGCAAGCAGTACCGGGAGAGGTTAACGCGACTCATGGAGCCACTGCCTTCAAAGCAGCTGCTGTGTGCAAGCGGTTTGTGAGCGTAGAAATAAAGCACACAAGAATTAATGGAGTGGACGACACCTATGTAGTTGCAGGTACATCTTCACAACTTCAGTAGTGTTTCCTTGCTGAAGAAGTAGTTTTTCTGCTTGCGAGAATTCGCCTTTGAAGGCCGCGATGCTAAAAAATTGATCAAGGAGATGTATGAGTGAAAAAAGCAAAAAACATGTTCTCAAGTAGGTGGGGTAAGGACATTTCATCCAGATACTTTCGTGCTTGTGAGTCTCGCGTCTGCATCTTCCGTGGAGCTGTCAAGCTATTTGCCTAATAAGATCTTGAGTATATCAGAACTGCGAGTGAGCCCGTTGTTGCTAGTTGCCTCTGGTGCTTAGAAGACCCATAAACATGGTACACACATAGACGTGGATCCAACTTTCCACTAAATGCGAAACCTGCTTGCAATAAGCCTACGACGTATGTTTCGCCGCTGACCCTGCTTTTTGCCGTATTATTCTCGCCTCTATACTCTTCTCAGTGTTTCCCAAGCCACGGTCTTCAAGCAAGCCCTCCAGGAACTGCGCATCTGCTATATCTCCTGCGGCTGCCGCTGCCCGGGCTGCGAGGGTTATCCGCTGCTGAAGGGCCTCCAGCATTCTACTGTCTACTTGTTCTCGCTCAGCAAGCAACATCTCAAGTGAGGTGTTGTCGAGCAAGGAAGCCCTTAAGCGGCGCCACCGCTCGCGTGTAGCCGCTGACTCCGGCAAATTTGAAAGTAAAGACAGTGCCTATTGTATTCATGCGCAAAGAGCTCAGCATCAAGGCCAACAATGCATCGGAATCACTTTGATCGAGTATCTACCGACGGTATTGGAGAGCTTTAAACATTGAATGCTAAGGATTCAGGGGACTCTTGCGATGCCTCGCAGTATTGCTTCTTCCATGTGTACACACCTCTTCATATTGACGAAGGCCAAGGCAGCGCTCGTACTTCATCTTCAAGGGACAAAGACAATGGCGCTCTTCTGTTCCATTCCGAGTCTTTACCACTAGTACTACTTCCTCCTGCCCATCTGAAGAGTTATTTAGTATGTCGCCATGGCAGGCTTCAAGACCAATTAAAGAGCCATTGGCCTGAATCACGTCGATGCTTCTGAAATTTTCAACGTTATACCTGTGAATACAAATAATTTCACAAACATGGCTACTGTCAAGCCTTTTACTTCTCAAACAGGCCCTCCTTGTCTTTTAGGGTGCGGATCTAGCAGCGACAAACGTGGAGACCTCCCTGGCAAGGACAAAAAAACCTCTCAATAATTATATCAAACTGGCACAGGAGAGCCATTTCATGCCGGTTGTGCCACTGCGTGGTAGCGGCCAACGGATTACATAAGCTACAGCGTCAACAACGTGCACGCCGTAATCTTAATAGTCTCGCTTGATACCAAATAAAGATGTCGTGATTCTTCTGGGCAACAAGTAGACCCTTGTCGCTCAGCATAGCTGCTTTCGAGCAGTTGGTAAGAAGCACGTGACGCCGCAACGACTGTTCTGTCTTTCCTTCATCATCCAGAGGAGCTATCATTAGTTGCCCTTCTCCTGTTACGAAGACTATGCTTCTGGCAATACCACACCATGCATGTAAACCCCAAGCAAGGTACTTCTTCTGTGCAGCAGCCTCATTACCATCCCTTCCTTGGGAGTTTTGCCGATTGCATGCGGTATCGTTTAAGTGCATGTGCTTGAGGAGTACCTTTCTGCAAGGCCCAGCCATCTGAGTGGGAAGTCAGCATGAAGGCTCGTCACGTGCTGTCCTGACGAAATGTTTGTAACCCTACTCATTCAGATAAAGCGAAGGAGCTAGAAAATCGTACCTATCGTTGTTTCGGAAAACGTACTAATAACGTATGGATGCAGCCAGGTGATTATTTTCTTGCTGGACGCAAGGGGAATTACGATGGGTCACCTTATCGTCTGCCTGTCCACCAGATGAGCTAGAATCAAACCATTAAGCTGCATACGCTCAAGCCAAACAAGTTATGATTGAGTTATAGCGGAAGGAAAACAGTTGCTGGTTAGCGTACACTGGCCCCTCTGATAGAGTGGCAGCCTATGAATCACTGTTGATCAAGGAAGTTCGCAAACACTTGTACCACAAGGTAACCTACTCGGCAGTGCCTGAGACAAATTAAATCTGGGGAGGCGCGTGAAGCAATATGGTATCGCACTGCAGCGTGCATACACGTAGCAGCAGCTCCAAGAATGCCATCATACCTTGAGAGCAACCTTCTCCAGGAACCCGTGAGTAAGCGCTATATACCAGGTAATTGAAGAGCCAAGGAATTGAGGCTCTGGACTTATGCCCTACCTGTCTCCCCTGTCTTATCTCGAATTATGTATATCTGTCCAACGTGTTCGCTAGCAGAGGCTGCCTGCATAACAATAGACATTGGGATTCTATGGTTAAGCTTACAATTATACTTTTAATACGTATTTAAATCATTTCGCGTTTTGCCCCTGATTACTCTAAAGGTTAGGGCAATAGTTCACGCAGCTTGAACAACAACGATATTTCCACCGCTGCATATCTTTTAGATTAAACGAAACGGAAGCTCTCCCGTATCCATGAGGGGCTGTCATTACTGTAACTACAAGGAGCAAACGATTACAATTTATGTATTGAGTCCGAACATGTAGAACCCACAGTGTCCCGTGCCTATGAATGGCGCACCTCATGAAAGAGGCAAAATCCGTTCCTTTCAGCTAACCACTTAAGTTCCTTTTTTGGCATCACTGATAATTTGTAGACTTTCCTCGAGGTCAGGGCAATTCCCAACGCATACTGCTTCGTGAAAGCAAGCACTAGGTGCTCCTGTGGGCCTGGACTCTGCAAAACTGGCCGTTGCATATCGACCCATTCAAATTCATCGTGATCCCGGTGTAAAATAAGCCATGGACCCGATTTGGAGGTTCGCTCCACCAACTGGGAACAAACATAGCATAAGGCTGTTGGCTTTGATTATAGCAAGGTAAAAATTGAGATGCAAGCTTCTAATTGCAGACTCTATGGGGGCTCGAGGCTCTAGACATAAGCTATGCGCTTGTTGCCTCCCCCACAACTGCGAAAATTCAAGTACGCGAATAGAGGGTGAAATCCATCTCAATTTTTGTTTCTCCGGCTTACTGTATTGCAGAGCGTGAGCACAATTTCCACCCTGTTGTCCGTAAGCTTTTTATGAAACGCACATAACTTTTCTATGGACCCTCGGGCAGTCCCAACGCAAAGCGTAACACCATCTGCTTCCCAGGCCATTGCAGTTACGGCAACTATGCCTGGGCAAGATATCCTTGCTATATGATGTCGTTCATTCGGTTCAGGCTTCTTTACAACGGTAAGTAATGGCTTCTTGAGCAATGTTACTTCCTCTCCGGACGCCACTGCCAGCCACGGTCCATGTGGATGCCACGAAATCAATGCAGAGGAAACTGCCGTGCCGATCTGTTTGAGCTAAACGAAAATAGAGTCCAATGAACAACAATTTATCGTAAATAATCCCTCAGTCCTCACTAGTACCCCCACAACGTGAACTTTATCGTATCAGGTGGCTGCAGAGGTATTCTCCGAATGCAAAAAGGACAAAGATGTAATTTTTTTGATTTATAGCCAGATTTGGTGAAATTGGGGGCACCGCCTTGCTACAGGCTATACATTATGCTGACTAGCCTCTTTCACGCGATTCTTTGAGCTCAACAGTGCACATTACTAACCTACCATGGTTCCATCCAGTCCAATGAAACTTATCGTATTACCGGCAGCGCATGCCAGAATATCATTTTGTATGTGCGCCGAAGTAACTGGCGCTCGAAGCCTAAAAGTGTTCAGCGCATTGCTCTGGGGGGAATAATTTGGGGGCGTGTCGATCGACTGATCACTTACCGAACAATTTCTAATTCCCCTTTTAAACATACACAGATTATTAAGCGCAGTTGCTCTCTTCTCCTTATTGGTTATCAATACGATGCTCTAATGCACCGAATTGGTAATAAGCCAACATTTAAGTATTGAAATGGTCTTGTATAGTGGGGAAACAGCTGGAAGAGGCGTGTTGCAGTGAAGGAATGCACTTTGCGACAGTACGCAGCCCTGTTGAAGAGGATCCTCGAAGAAGATTATGCAAGAGCACCTGGCCATTGCGGTGACCGGAAATAACTAAAGTGCCGTCCGTGGTGCAGGTCAAGCATGTTACTGGGCTGAAAACAGAAAAGAATGCTTGCAGGGAGCCGTGGTATCAAAGTCCCACAGCCTGGGGCTGAAGTAAGTCTGGGCTCAGGTCACAGCGAAAGTCTTTTCTTGAGTGCATCAGGCGCTCAGTTTTGTGCCTATCATGCTCCAAAGAGTCACAAAAAAAAGCATTGAAGCGCATTACGAGAGGGAAGAGCTGACGTGCAATTGTTCTGGATGGACTCACCTGTGTGCCTCGTGAAGAGCTCCTAATTTATTTGCTGGTACATCTGCAACACGAACTTTGCCATTCTGAAGCCCAATAAAGAGGAGCCGGCTACCACCTATGGCCCAAGCCACGCAAGTGGCGGGGCACTCCACAGGCAGACGACAGCAGATACACCTTCTTCCTTCCGTATTGACCCCGTACACGTGTGCTACGCCATCGCTTTGTGTGACAGCCAGCTGCGAACCGTCATGATTGAATGCAATCCCTGAAGGCATCCAAAGCTACTTTACATATCATAGTGTATTAAATATGCTATGGCTGCTCAATTAAACAGTGTCTATCTACGCTGTTCATGGAGGAACGTCGAGGAACGTAGACTGTATGCGTTGAGGGTCCTACCAGTTACAAGATGTAGTGCCTTGCCTTTATCTGCTGCCCTTGCAAGAAAAGCTTCATCGGTGCCTGGGGGCCCACCCAGAAACCTTAAAAATCTGTCGTTTGTTGCAGCACATATCCGAGTCCCTTGCGGACTGCAGGCTAAGGCTGTTACGCTATGAAGCCCAGAGGGCGCTTTCTGCAGGCTACACTCATAAAGAAGGTGTGTCCACCTCATGGCTGCGGTCTTATCTGATGGGCAAGCGGCATCTAGCTTATGCATCTTGGGAGAAGACGAATCTACGGGACTGCTGCTAGAGAGATCAACAAAATTTTCCCTCTCAACACAAGGATCAGCTGCCTGAGTAATGGCCGCCATCATTGCGCATTTTTAAGGCTGCAGGAAATGCTTAGTCAATCGCAGCTTCCTATTACTTCTATCAAGCAATGCCTCTCGTCTTGCTCTTCTGTTCCTTCAACGGGCCAACGAGGGTCTTAAACTGGAAGTTCCGATGCCTACAAGCCTACATTGAGGCTAATGCGGTATACAAGCGCAGTCAGTAAAAAGTTTTGTTGCCAAACGCGGCAGATGAACGTAAATATACCCTGGGAACGGGGTTGGCTTTCTTGCATGGTGTTTGTTTGTTTGTGCAGAGAGCCCTTTACCTAAAGCGGCGCGTAATCCCAATGTCAGCAATAGCACTCCCACAAACAGCATTAAAATTCCAAAATTTATCTTATAGGAAGGAGTGTACCATGAACAAGAGAGAAATAAGGGCAGCGGTCCTTAGGATTTCCAGGGTCACTCAATGCTAGATCCCCAGTGTCCTCTTGGCCGTTTACAAAAGATGTCCCATGGGAAAATTGGCGTGAAACAGCAATAGACCTAAATCATTGAATTAAGGAAGGTGTATATCACACAGTAACATTGAATCTGGGCTTTAACCCCAAAGACGAATGGCTTTTGACATTATATAGCGCAGCGCTGCCGCCAAGCGCGCGAGCGCCTGGTCGTTTGTCATATTATTCCATCTGTCACCCCACACTAATTGGAAAGGTAACTGATCTATGAAAGCCTATTACACTTCAAAATCAAGAGAAACACACATATAGCGAGGGTATTATTCCGTGTTTCGGTTGACGATTGGGCAGCCTAAGGGGCCACTGCTGGTTCCTTGCGCGGCGCATTGAAGACAAATTCTGGCAAATACAAAATACATCGCACTTAACAACAACCAATATTTACTGTTTTCAAAACCTTACTCTTTTCTCGCATTTTGGCTGCAACAAAGCAACGCACAGCCAGCACCTTTTCATGCTGCTCAGCCCCTGAAGTACTGCGCTATTCCCGAAGAAACAGATAAAGAAAATCACAGGTATAAGCTTTCAGTGAACTTAAAAGAGAATTAACAAGAGCTTTGTGGACGCTGGGACACTGTTGAACCGAGTTTTTCCAGACAAGGCATTACGATTCGGCAGCAGCCATAGCGATGGAGGAAGCCCAGGAATTGAGCACCCGTAGGGGCACTCTGCTGGCCGTTACCGAGCAAGGAACACATGCGGACTCTGCGAACCATGTGACGCTGGGAATTGATGGGTCTCACAGTGCCCATCAAGATGCAGACGATGTATTGCCGTCTGAAGCTGCTGGCTCAGTGGAGGACGCACAACGCCTGCTACTGTGGTCTGCTGAACCCAGTGATCTTATGGTTCCACCGACGGCAAAATCCACTGAAGACAAGATATCAGTATCCCCTCCTACTTCGCCGTCAGACGCTCTGTTTTACTCATTAGGCGATATCGGGCTGCGCAGTGCCATGCGCCCGCCTGAATTTCTACCTCAGCGCGACTGGTTGCGCCACTTGCTACTGCAGGCCATTGAAGAAGCTCAGCTGCTTTTTTCTTCCTTGTGGGAGGCGTGCAGCTGTCCATCACTAGGCCTCCCCGCAGCATCCTGCATGCAGCACCGGGGAGACACTGGATTCTTGGATCCTGCAATCGCCTTTGCTGCAGCTGCGCCAAGTGCCCCAAAGAGGAGATTGATGCCGGTGCAAAGACACACAACGCCAACAGATGGTGATGCACAAGTGATTATGGCTACAGACAGTAAAACAACCAAAATAGCGGAAGAGCACCAAGATGCGCACGGAGCAAACGAAGCAACGGACAATCCAGTTGGAGTCACCAAACGCACAAGAGTTCATGCAGGCTCAGAAACAGGCACGCGCATTGTCCCCACTGCACGCGAATATATCTCAGCCACTATGTCGTGGGCAGTTCGACAACTGGACGATCCGCATGTGTTCCCTCCTTCCCCTATAGCTATCGGCTCCGCAGAAGATGACACGCAGGTGGAGGAGGAGGACGACGCCCTTCGAGGAGCGGCCTCTCTGATTGTTCGTCGGTTATTGCGCTGCTACGCTCATGTATACCTCTGTCACTTGCCCCTTTTGCAGCAACACGGCGCTGTAGGTCATACGAACCGCTGTCTGAAACGCCTGATGTTCCTCGCAGTGGACGCCCAGCTGCTAGAGGGGAGTGAGGCCACATTGGAGCCCGTCAGTTCACTTGCCGACGCTTGGTTGAGCCACAGCCAACTGCGTTGTTCTAGGAGTTCACCCCACACTGGAAAGGGCGTGGCAGAGAGTCACCCTGAAAAAGCCGACACTATTAGTCCCCCAGACGACTGGCTTGTCCCTGCTCTACACAAGGCTGAGGAATGCCTAGGTCTCTTGGACCGAGAAGAGTATCCCCATTTTGGAAGGAATGAAGAGACGTAACGCGAAGGACCAGCCAGTCTACCTTAAGATGAAAGTTTTCCATACATTTGACAGCACTTGGCCAAACTATCCAAACCCACAGCTGCGATACCTCTTCCAAGATAGCAGTTTTGGCTCCTATAAAATGTCTTCTCTTCTTTGGAATCGCAGATGGCGTAACAAAACCGCTGCGGCCTCTGGCGTTAAATTGAACTGTGGGAGCTTTGTCCTTTCTAGTGTACATGACTGCAGTCTATAGTGGCACAGTGGAGCCGCTAGACTCTTTTATTGGCTACTTAATCTTGCTAATGAGCAGAAACGCATTGTTAACATAAACAACGCTATTAATAATGTGGGTTGCCGCGAGCCGCTTTTTGTCTCAACCTCAGGACTCCCAGGATCGGGAAATCGCATTTGGAGTGCCTCCACAGAGAATCGCGTTGTCTCCTGCTTTGTACTTCAGTCACTTAGGCTACTCAACAGGAGTCTGCCGATGTAAAGGCCCACTCACTTAGAGTCCTGGAGAGGGGAGTGCAAGGCAAGGGTAGGGGAAGACGAGAGGAGGGAAGCTGTGCTAAACATTGAGAGTAAAAATTTCTCACGTGACAAGGAACAAAATCCTGCGAAGTTTGCGCTGCAGAGGATCTGCGACGTCCTTGTCTTCGCATTTGCCTTGACAAAAAAGCACTCGCCAGTACAAATGCGTTGACCAACAAAAACAAACACCGTGCCATTAACTTCCTTTTTCCTCCTCAAGCGGCAGCAACTCCTTCATCTCCTTCTTTCTCCTCGACCTCGTCTTGAGGTACGTCGCCCTCCACTCTCCCCATCCCTTCGTCTTCCTCGCTGCTGACATCGGATTCCTCAGAGTCCGATTCGTCAAGCAACAACTCCTCCAAGCGCCGCTCCTCCTCGGTGCCCATAACCATAATCTACGAAAAAAGGGTAACAAGTACAACAGGAAAAGATTTAAAAGGCACAAAAAGCGTGGGGGATGGGAATGAAGCGTTTACGGCGAGCATAGGAATACATTCAGCAAGTATCCGAATGCAGAAAATAAAGGTATATACTGTCATGGAGTCATTCAGGTAGGAGCAGCAAGGCATGAAGCCTAGTGAAGCACGGCCCATTTGTGTCGGAAAAAACTCAGGAAGCCGCCGTGTTGGAACGATGGTACGGGCGGCAGACAGGTTTCCCTCTTCGTTTCCAATTGTTGATCACTCAACCAACAAACTGCTATTGAAGGCAGCAGTACAGAGCGTGCCAAGTGCCAAGAAACCGATGACAGGCGCTTAATACCAAAGGGGACCACAATGAACGTGCTTATAGTTGCATGCATCAAAAAGTTTTCGAAACGCCTTCCCCACGACCTCCGTACCTCTCCCTGCTGCTTGAAATCGCCGCCTCGATATCCTTTAATTGTCTGGCTGATCCGGTTAATAGCCTAAGCATGAGAACCACACAACCACCAGAAGCACTGTTTCTTCAAAACGTAAATGTGTCAACGTAAAGCGAAGGCGCTCAAGTTTTCACCAATAGCCACAAATCAAAAATTTTATGAAAATAATCATGTAATAAAATTGATCTCCCCAGCCACATAGTCCCGGAGCTCCATTCTTTTGCCGTCGATGCAGAACCAGACAATTTTGTGATAACTACAAGGGACACAGCTACGATTATCGAAGACAAACAAGATGCTGTCAATTAACAGCAGTCTGCTAGTAAAAGCAGCAACCCGTTTATGGCTGCTTGAATATGAAAGTTCTTAGATTAACCATTGAGTGTAACACTAACAAAAGATAGTACTATGTGTCACTTGAGCTGCTTGGCCTGTAGGACCCTCTCAGGACGCGCCCACGTCGGAACTAATGTAGGAGCGGCAGACAGATGTCCCTCTTTGCTTCCGCTTGTTTACCCCTCATATTGACACGCGACTATTAAGGGTAGCAGCACAGGGCAAGGCGAGTGCCAGCACACCGGACAGACGCGTAACACGTAAGGGGAATAATCTTCCCGAAGCAAAACATCACAGGTACTAACATTAAATGCCACACAGCTGCCTATCTGCAGAGTACTATAACAGCAATACACGTGATACTAGCGGGTGGGTCACTCCTGAAGTACCCTCATCTCTCCGCAAGAACCAAAGGTGAAATGGAATAAATCAAAAATTTCCACGCCAAACCATCCGTACATATACACATACCATTAAAACAATACGAACATACGGTATATTAGCTAAGTGCAGTGGAATTGAGGGACAGCATCACCTGACGATACAGTTACATGTGTGAAAATGCAAGTCTAAAAGGTCTGAGAAAGTATCATTTATCCCGTGTATCCACCAGAAGCGTGCACAAGCCGTACACATTCCTCATCTAAAAGTATGAAAGACACTTTGCCAGTGAATATGAACCCACCATGAAATGTTCGACCTCAGGCTCACACGCATTTCGCAGCTTTCATGCTCGGTACGAAGCCTCATTACACCAGTTCTCTTGCATTGGGTATAGAGTCAACGCTGGATGATAATACAGAATGCCAAACAGAAGCATTTAATGACTTGCCTCTTGTATCTTTTGCATGCCCATTTCCTTGTCAAAGCACGAGGTGACGACCACGTACTGCGGCGGCGCAATCAACTTGACTATTATTTCAACCTTTTCATCGCTAACTTCTTTCCCGGCGCTAAGAGCAGCTCTCACTGCGTCTATACCGTCTTTGCCAAAGCACCATACGTCCACTCGGGCCCTGTAACAAGGACAGTAGCAAATCTCGCGCTGGCTCTCCTGGCGTGAGATGTAAAAGCAGGTATTTTGGCTGCTTAGAATGTCCGTCCCTTTTTCAAAGTGAAATTTCGAAGTCAATAACTTTCTGCCATGGAGGAACGATGAGGTACGGAATTGGAAGTACTAAGAAAAATATCCACAAAATGGTGTTCGGAAATGTGCCTTTACACCAGCAGGGCAAAAACCAAACAACACGGCAAACGACCACCAGAAAACACGCGAAGAGAAAAGAAAAGGGCAATCATTCTAACCTATGAAACCAAGGATGAAATTGCAATCAAATAGCCTAAAGTACACACCTAAGTTTGAGAGCCTGGGGTGCGAGTCTGAGCTGAATATCCTGGATCAGCGACTGCTTAACGTCCTCCGCAACCTCTAACCCTCCAAACACTTCGTCAGGGTCCAGAGCTGCTGCCTACCATTAAAAAAACGAAAGCAAGCAATAAAAGAGAATATCATAAGTACTTACCGACAGATGTAATTTTAAGATTAGTGGGTCGGCATGAAACCATGAATGTAGGACCCTCTCAGGACGCGCCCACGTCGGAACAACTGTGGGAGCGGCAGACAGATGTCCCTCTTTGCTTCCGCTTGTTTACCCCTCATATTGACACGCGACTATTAAGGGTAGCAGCACAGGGCAAGGCGAGTGCCAGCACACCGGACAGACGCGTAACACGAAAGGGGAGATAACGGCATTATCGCTGTTATGATTTCTTGTCGTATGTACTGTTCGAGCAAGACCTGCAAAATAGGCTAAATGGTAATTCCACTGCGTTTTTTTGTCTCTCTTTACCTTAAGGGCATCCAGCGCATGTCCATATTTTTCGTAAAGTGGCCAAATGACTTTAGCATTAAGCTCGTCGACCCTCAGCTTATGTTTGAGAGCGACGTGACGAACTGTTTGGTGCACCTTTTTCCCTTTCGAATATCGCTCCTCGCACTTGACGATATCCTCCGGAGAAACTCTGCAGGAGGCAGAAGAAAAACACGAAATTGAATAAACCCTCTGCATGCATACAAAGAGGGGAGGAAGGGGTGGCAGCTTGCAGCTATGAGGTCTACAGTTTAGACAAAAATCGTATGAATTAGATCGACGGGCTGTTCGGAGTTTGAAGCGGAATGGCTCAACACAGCGATGTGGCCACACGGAACCTGGTGGAATTGTCCAACTTTTGTACAATACCGGAAGTGCACCAGCCAAATACAAGCAAGGTCTGGTAATCGATGCAGTTTAGTTGGAATAAATCTACGATAAAGTATATCATTGGTGGAGGAGAATGCGTTAAAGTCGCCGTAAAAACGATGAAGCCGGCCAGAGCGGGGCGTTCAGTATTTAAACCGCCGGCCAGGAATAATAATTAGCTCATTCCAGTTCCGTGCAATGGAAGACAAGTGTTTGCAGCGTTACCCTTCGGCTGATGTGGTACTTTCAATCGAAAATCATACAGTTGGTCCATTAGGCAACACTTTTACAAAAAAAAAGGATCGAGCGTTCTAGAACAGCTTCATCGATGTTTTCAAGTTACCTGCTCTTGCTAAGGTCTATATATCCCTTGACAGCGTCCACTCTGAGCACCATGACTGCTTCAAGTCTTCCGACTTTGACAAGCTTCGTGACACTCCTGAAACGCCTTTTGCTCAGCTCTGACATAAGAATCATGCCTTCCATGTTGTTGTACTCCAAGAGCGACACGTAAGCCCCCATCTCCGCAATACGTTGGACCTTAACCATCACAAGTTCCTCCAAGTTAGGAAATTTTCGCTCATAGAACCGCAAGTCGCCCAAACTTGAGCGCACTTGGCTCCCCACCGGGTCGGACCCACCCGGCTGCTGCGCCATCTTGGCGTATAACGCTATTGAGTGGGGAAAAGGGGCCTACTCCGATTCTATACGGTAAATACCAGCGAAAATAACCCCGAACTTTGCATAAGGTGCCAAAAGTCGACGGACAGGCGGTAAAAAGTTCATGGTACCCCTGCGCATTTCAAGAGCACGTGGGGCTGCGGCGGTTGCAGGGGTGATTTACAGGTACCTAAATAAAATTTGGCAATGAGCCGTAAACTGTTGTCTTCGAAGCTCATAGCTCAGCCATTCAGTCCAAATTTGTCTGCTAAACGGAAAGGCCAGTACAACTTTCTAGAGATTTGAAAACTCAAGCGCCCTTAGCTGATGCCGCCAGTGGGGCTTACCACAGGAGAGAAGAATTAACAGCAGATGATTCAGTTGCATTTATTTAATGCAGCAATAACCGCTTTACTTGATCGAGCATCACGCTGCCAAGGGCCGCCTGTAAGCAGGGAATTGATACTCCCGCGCCAGGGTTCTGCCACTGGAGCAAACTGCTGCATCCACATATGGGCAGCGCACACCTACACTGGGTCTCCCAAAGGATGCTGCCCACCTAAATATCAGTCAAAATTCTTCAAGGACTTTTTGTGTCCTTTCATAGAAAGAGGCTTGTCTTTCCCTAGCCCGGTTTCCCTATTGGCGAGACGCGGGACTACGACTAGTAGAGGACCGAGACACTTGCGACAGGCAGCGGCACCATCAGAGCACTTAACACATTCGCATTAAATCACTGGGATCCACATAATTCACGGCAATAATAAAGATATGCGCATATTCTTCTGCGATACAAAAAGTATGTGACGTACAGACATACACACCAGCACTTAACTCTACACCAATTATTTACTATTAGTAAAGAACTAAATAAAGCGCTTGTATTCGTATATCGTATTGATTACAGGGAGGCGTCAATTCGAAGCAAGAAGGTGCAAAATTGTGTGGGGGCGCTAGATGGTGTGTGCAATGAGCTATAATTGCTTGGAATGCCCACAGAATCAGCTACGCGCACCCGAGCTGCCGCCCCCCCTTCATGTCGGAAACTCTGAGTGTCCCCAAGTGAGCAGATAAGCTCTTTTGCAAAATACTTAAAAATATCATTCCAAGTTTTTGCTAATTCTGACTCCAAGTGTCTCACTAAGGAGGCCTCCAACAAAGCTTAAAATTGGCAGGAGTTGGGTGCAGCTATTTCGCACTAGTGCACTGGCTGTGGCTGCGAAGAAGCGTCAGATTTCTTCAAACGATTGTCGGGCCTCGATTAGCTATCTAGTAATCCAATACTTGATTTGCTGTGGCAACGGAAGGGGATAAACCTGTGCCAACGGAAGCAAACGAAGGCAGAACGCCTGTTGGCGCGACAGAGGCAGACATGCAAGCTGATGTGAGTGCAGTAGCTAAAAAGCAGGTAGAGATGCATTTCTTGTCAGCCTATGAAATGTAAACGGATGTGTGGATGAGAGCATGCCGACCGGAAGAAGACTGGCAGCTGTGACGATAGGCAAAGACTCGGAGTCGTGATTAACCTTTTGGAGAACTGCAGCGCTTTGCACCCCGCAAATAAAGGTAAAAAGTGATCCTTGCGACCGTTTTGTGAATATACAGACACTTTGATGGTCGCCAATCGATACACAGGAATTTGTCTGCATGCAAGGATAATTACATGCCAATCCATCATACAAGCCCTGACTTGTCGGTGTTCACGAGACCAGATTGATAGCAGACTTTGGGAGACTTGAAATCTTAAGTAAGGGTATCTATCAATAGATGGCATCTACTAAAATAGGCAACCTTGGCTTGCGAAAGCCATAATGCTGACGAACTGCTGCTTTACAAAGGCTTACCTACGATTTACCCGACGTGTCCCGTCAGATGGTCGCAGGATGGGCAGTGACTCAGCGACAAAATAACTAGCGCTGACGCCCCTGTACGTGATGGACTGCTTAAGGAGTATCCACTTAATGCAACTCCTGCGCCGTTGGTTATGAAGGAAAAGCCAAGTCCAGATCTCGGAGCCTATGGATGTCGGGACTGGCAACCCGCCGTAGGCTACAGTTTTAGGTGAACGGGAAGAAAAAGCTAGAGTGAACCAGCGTACCAGGACAGCCTCCAATACTTTACGACAAAAGCCCTCCTGCTTTACTTGCGGGAGACTGGGTCATATGACCCAGAACTGCCAGCGAACATAAAAAGCCATAGCAGGTGGGCAGCGAAACTGGGCCTAGCGGAAGCAGGTTGCTTGGCGAGCAAAGAAGCTGAACCACGGAAAAACGACGGCCCCTTCTAGGCTGCGGTGTAATGAAGGGGGGTACAGAGGATAGAATTGCATATGGAGGAGCACTACGGGCATATTCTTTGCTGATACGAATTCACAGTAATAGTCATGAATTCCTAGCGTTACTTGGTACTAGATGTGCAGTGAATTTGTCGTCTGCGCTGTCTCACCTGCGGCTAAATATGAAGCTATTACAGCATAGACCTTACCTCAACACACCAGCAAGGAAGCTGCGAAGATATATAGGCGTGCACCTTGCTCGCATACTTTCACTGCTCAACTTGCTAAGAGTGCTGCTCCTTTGACACATCTCCCTCCACATCAACTGGCAATATGAATATTGGAGGAGTTGGGCCTGTAAAGGCCCTCGCTTCAGCATCAGTTTCCTGTGTGTGACCTGGACAAGTTAAAGGGTGTCGAGGCGGAGGAGCCTCAGTCAGCCGTGGAACTGCCGGAGTCTAGGACCATTGAGAACCGAGGATACACTGGTCGGGAGCTTCTAGTGTAATGAAATGGGGAAAGCCAATATTGACGGATGACAAAGGACTAGTTGCTGGCTTCGTTGCCTGTGAGAGAGTCTACGAACGACTCTGTTTGGCTAGCAAAGGTATTCGGCATGAAGGGCATTTCTCCGTTCCATTGGTAAGTGTCCTTCCCCAACACATGCTCTGCCTGAGGTGGCTATCTTCATCTGCGGGTATTGCTTGAAGCGTTCTGGATATCTGGTTTCAAGGTGGCCGCTGCACACAGATTTATTCCCAGCCACTCTTAGGTATGTTGATGCATCCTTCCTTTTGCCTATTTTAGGAATTAAAATAGACTGTGCTGTGCGGAACGTCTGTCTATGTTAGCGGACTTTGCTCTAAGGAGGCGCGGCCATTCTTCTGAACTACAGTATATTTTGTTTGCCTTCACATCTTGTACTTGTCTTGCTTTTTATTGTCGCAGGGGGGTTACATATATAAGCTGCTGGACGATAGCAAGCCATTACGCTGCCGCTTTTGTGGGGGTATCGTCCTTCGCTTGTTGTTGGTAGCTGTGTGTGCATGTGTCCTTCTTTCCTCTTGTATCACTTTAGCCGCGGATGAACTCATTTTTTTCTCATGCCTGTGAAGTAGCAATAGATGGGAAACTTTTGCGCTGTCTTGCATGCAGCCAGTTGTTCTCGACGCGCATGTATGGAACACGAGGGCGTGTGCTTGGAAATGCGCGAAAGAAGATTTAGCGGACTATGTTTTCTTTTACAGTGGTTATATCATCAACACGAGTGATATACAACAAAGAGAACTAATTTACGATTTTGTCTGTTCGTATGTAGTACTTATCGTAGAAAACAGTTAGCCCGGTACAAAAAGGCGCTATGTTGTGTGCGGTTGTGCCGAACGATCTGTTCAATTAGGTGTGACTGCTTGGAATGTGTGGAGAGTGCAACAATGCACACACAGGCTACCTATCACTATCCTCGCATGCGGCAACCTAGAGGAGATAGGGTAGGGAAAGGAGGGCACACTTCTTGAAAGACGCTCAAGAACTTCCTACAATTTTGCATTAAGTTGGAGAATAATAAAGGCGTCTCCTTATAGAGATTGTAGATGACCTGTTACAGAGGGGATGCACGGGCTTCAGACGCAAGGGTGCCTGCGTCTTTTCTCGCCAGACTAGCACCTGCACGAATCTGCTTACCGAAGGCCAGCCAACACATAGGGGGGGAAAGACGAGCGCGTTTTGTCATAGTTTATATGGATTAGATTACAGTTTCGTCTCTCGAGGCTTTTTGACGCCTTAGCTTCACGCATACCAGAACGCGAGGACTACGAGTTAGGTCCCGGCCTTTGCGCTTGCTGGCCTGCAGGCCTAAAGCTCTAGGGTAAAATGGGAGCAGAACAGCAGCGGCAAAAATGATTGAGCTCTGAAAGCACTGAAGCTGAAGCTGTAAGGGAATATTTAAAGGGGGTCTCCGCCTCCCCCCCAAAGTGCGTGAATATTTCCGACTGTGCCTCATCCGGTTCTTCAGGCCGCTGAAACTAATCGAGTCGAGTTATGCCAAAATTGACTGCTGAGACACCGTCGTGAAACCGAGAAGTTGAGCGAGGGGCAAAAGCTAGGCACTGCAAAGAGAAGATATCTTCTCATAGGCGCACAAAACGTTGCCGTCAGTTGATACCCCCAAAAGAACCCTAAATCCTAAGATATCACCGGCTAACGTCACAAGCTAACTTTAGGGTGAAAGAAACAGAATATTCAGCGGATCGAAGTGCATTGGCATCAGAGCAAAAAGTAAATTACATGCTAGTAGGAAACAAGATTTCTACACTAGCAGTACCCGTGCAACAAGTTTCTATCGAGTGAGAGGCGCAGAGGAGTCTGCGTTTCTTCACACACCGCGCTTTGTAGTACACTCGAAAGTGGGTGATGCTAAACGCCCTTAAGGCCCCAGGTCTGAAGTTTATACAAGGCTTCCCGCCTTAGTTCGTTTAGCCTAGGCTTCATGAGTGCTTTTGATGGAAGGACAATATGGCGCATTAGGCTCAGCCGGTGAGAATAGGTCTCTTCGCTGCAAAACTCTGACAGCGATATTTCAAGAGCCTCTTTTGTGCATGGGGGGGCCAAAAACGTCCCCAGGGGCATCCAAAGGCCGCGTGCCAGTGGATGAAGCAACTTAACCAGAAGAGGGGCGACACCCTGTCGCTCTAGCCGTACATACACTTTGTCAAGGGGCTCAAGAGGGGGGCCCTACACTGCGCACACAGCCAGGGGGCCTGGTACAGGAGGCGAAGGGGGAATTCCGCTGTCCACGAAATGCGCCGATCTGTAGGGGCAGCATTAGCTGCATGGCTTTGAGACTTGAGGCTGCATGGAAGTTTGCACGGCCTCGACGCAACTGCTCCAGCGTCGCACTTGCTGAGAGGTTGAGAATGCGTCCGGGTGCTTCGAACCCAGCGGACTGCAGTTCCTATGACACTCCAGAAAGGCCGACTAGAGCCGAGTTCGCAGCACGATTGATACGAGGGGAATAAGCGAGGCAAGCAGGGTGCGTCCTCGGAAGGCTAGAGCCCTTCAGATGGCCTCCTGTCAGGAATGAGGGGCCCCCGCAGTCTGCGGTTGCCGCCTTCTAAGTCCCTCCGCTTCCGTGCAGGAGGCTTTGCCCTTGTCCTTTTCGATACTCTCAACGCGTGGTACTGCCTCACTGGCTGCCTGGACTCCCGGCGATGCTGCTGCCTTGGCAGCCTCAGAGGATTGCGCAGCTGTGGATGGTGCATTAGCTGCATCATCTCCAGCTGCTGCAGACTGCTGAGAAGCCGCCTGGAGTTGCGCGCCCATGGTACGGCTCTTGTCTACACGGTATATCCAGCGCTGGTAGAGGTAGACAATAAAAATGATGTCTGAGAGGCAGATACACCCAAGGAGTCGATGAGGAAAAGCACTGGTTCGGGACTAAGTTGAAGGAACAGAGGGTCAAGGGCGGCATCGGCAAAGGACAAAGACTCCTCAGCTTGTGAAAGGAAGAGGAAATAATATTGAAAAGAAGATTTAAAAAACATCTGCGCTTGAAGTGCTCCCTACCGTCACGGAAGCAGGAGAGCCGGTGCATCCAGGGCATGTCAATTAGGAAGGAAGCCACATCGTCAACAAAGGTATTGAGGGACCTAAGACGCAAAGTGAGGCAGACGTAATTCGACTGCCCTGAAAAGACTGGAGGAATGTATTCAGGGTGTTGCCATGTCTTGTTTTTGTCGCTGCTACCTGCACATTTAGACCATCTACAAGCGAGGGCAGTGTAAAAGGATTGCTGCTGAAGGGAAGGCGAACGGCTTGCCTGTAGATCAGGGCACGCCACGGCAGGTGGTCTACAGACTTCAGTTTGTAGTTAATATATAGCTGAGGCGTCATCAGCACAAATCCTGGACACGACACAAACGGCAAAACACCCACAAAATCAAAGATGAGATTGGGCATATATGCGAGCAGGGCGCGTGCATGTAGCATGCGAACGGCCGAACCTCTCGCCTGGGGAAGCCTGCAAGGGCACGGGTAGGAAGTGCAAGCGAGTAGAACCACTGTGGAAAGACATAAAAAGAAGAAATGAGAAGGGTCAAAGAGGCACTGCCTCACCAAAAGTGTAGACGGAACCGGCGAGGACCGAAATGATGTACGAGTACCAGGACTTGTATTTGTTGTTTAGTAGCGCGTACACCGCATACCCCACAAGCTGCAGCACCATGCGCCTCAGAACGGCCAAGCAAGAACCCTGAGAGGGCCTAACAGGCAGCTTCTGCTGCTGCTCTTAGCCCCCCTTCCCAGCAAAAAGACTGCCTTGTGTGACAAGTACACCCGATATTCGCGGCTTGACAGTAGCAGCAACAGCAGCAGCAGCAGCAGGAGGGGTACAACGCGCTTCGTGTTTTTGCACATACACAGGGCGCCAGTGCAATGCTGGCGTAAGTAATGGCGGTGCGGTCATAGTCTTTTGTTTGGGAATCCGAATAGCTCCGAGTAAATGAGAATCGCACAAAAGGGAAGTCGTGTCGGCGCTCGAGTTTGACGGCTTTCGTCAGCTTCCACCCCGAGATTGCTGAGACCGTCAGGCGCATGCACAAAACAAACATGCTTGTATGGCAGCGGAGAGTGCAGGCAGCTGCTGCAACGAGCGCCTACATAGTGAGGACAGAGACAAAGAGGGCAGAACGGCCTACGCGAGCGGCACGGCAGCAACACCTCGCGAGACACAGTGTAAACATTCTGTCCCTTCCATTCCGGGTTGGGGCACGACGACACATTGCATGCATAGACCGTGAAACGCGCAACACATGCAAAATAAACACACGAGGTAAAAAGGAGGAGTTTGGCCGCTAATGAAGGAGCTGCGGACGCTCACCAATGCCAATAAAGACTTCAAAAAGGATGAGCCAGGACGTCTCCTGGCTGTCGAAGAGATAGAGTCCAATGATAAGCTGCGACAAGTATAGCTAGGGCACATCGTCATGCGCCTTCGAATTGAGCACGTCAGCGACACTATGCGTAAAACGCACTGGCAGAAAAGCAGCAACTGCGGAAACTCTGCGTGAGGGCTTTTGTTGACACAAGAGACGGGGAAGTCGCTAACCTCACAAACAAACCCAAAGATGAGCGACACCGCGGAGAGTCCCTCCATAGACTCGTTTTTGTACCAGAATTGCATGTCTGAAAATAGAAACGCATGCGTCTGGACTACTGCCGAAACTGCTCTTCGCCGTTTCCACATGAATTCTCCTACTACGCCTTACATGCGTGCTGCTTCGCTGCCGCGCCGAGGCAGGAGCAGTTCATGCGCATCCCAAAGCCCACTTACCGTTCTTGAACGCAAAGAAGGAGAAGACGGAGTGACAGAGGATAAATACCGCGGAAAATGCGAGCATGAAGGGGTTTGTTTCCAGGAGGATACGCTTGAGCATGAAGCCCTCCCGCGCACTTTGAATGCCCATCTGTACCTGCTGCTGCTGTACCCCCGTCATTTGCGACTGCAGGAGCCATGCGTGGACGCTTCCAACGCCGAAGGAGAGTGTAATGTTTTGCGGAACGTCCTGTGCAAGCCGTTTACACACACAGAGAGACAGCATTCGCAGCGCCGGGGAACGAGGCGCTGCACACGGAGAACCTTTAGCCAGTGGTGCAGCAGCCGATTACCAAGGAAAGCCGCGTGTGGAAAGGAGAGAAGAGGGGGTTTGGTGGAGGCAAGCAGCGGGAAGGGCAGACGCTGACATGAGAACTTACAACGAGGGTTGCGTTGATTGGAACGAAGTGCTTCTCGAGCAGCCAGAAGTCCGAGATGTTGACCATAGGCTCGTATTCTCCTGCAGCTAACCGCAGCTGAAGGCCTGCATCAGAAAGCCCCCAACACCCCTTCCCCTCCGAGCTCCATGCAGAGTTTGAACAAGAAAGGGCTCACAACCCAATGCGCTGCAGATCCATTAAAGGGCGGCAGGCAGGCCAGGTCCCTACAACTTGCAGACAAAAGCAAATGACGAGAGCGAGAAACAGACACACGGCGAGACGGATAACACGGAAACAGACAGACAGACAAACATATACACACAGACAGGCAGAGAGAGGAAAGGGAAAAAGGCAACAAGAAATGCACGGGAACGCGGCAGTGCGGGTGACGGGAATGAAAAAAAAGAAATCGAAAGATGGCAAACGAACCCTGCAGAGGCCCTGTGGAGAGCGTGGCGGCGCTATGCACGGAAGTATCGTATACGAGGGAGACGTCCAATCGGCTCTTGAGATGTCGGATGGGATCTGTCTGGTCATCCTGCAGTGCAGCGGACGCGGAAAAAAGGAGGGAAGGGAGCATGCATACAACAGACGATGAGGAGAAGGGTTTAAAGATGGCGCAGGGAGGAGGAAGAACGGGCAGACAGCGACAGGCGGGCATCCACAAACGCTGCCTGCCAAACCAGAGAGCACAATAACGAGAGAAGCGGGAGGATGAAACACAAGATGCAGATCAAAAAGACTCGCAATGCGGAATCAGAGAGACAGACGGACAGACAGACAGACAGACACGAGCACGACGGCATGCGGCAAGACGAAAGGTAGGGAAGGCCATGGACACAACGCAAGGAGCATCCATGGCAGAGCGAAAGGCATCAGGATCTGCGGATTACTGGGGCAGTTTGAGATTCATATATGCAAGAGAGACGCTCTCGCAAGCCCGAGGAATGTGTCAACGTTCAACTGGTTTTTAGTTTCTCTGAGAGGAGGGGAGTGCATGCATGTACCGTATTCGCGGTGTCCTGATCCCCGCCTAGCAGCAGAGAGTGCTCCTCCTCTTCATTCTTAAAAGGCTTCATCTTTTGCACCAGTGAAGTCGTGCGCTGTATCAGCCGTTCCTCAGGAAGTGCTGCTGCTGCTGCCACTGCCTCCTCGGGACTCATCTGCAGCAGCGATACATCCAAGCTCTTCCACGCCAACTGCGCTATTAGACACGGTTTAGGCTGGACGGGGGAGTGCAGTGACAGCGAGGCGCATGTGCATTACAGAGATGAGGGATAGAAAGAATGTGGGGGGAGGAAGCTGTGTTTTGCGCAGGCAACAGAGGGGCAAAAGGCAGGGGTCGCTGCTGCAGCACAGTGCGTAGGTAGAGCAGCAAGCACAGCTAAAGAAAACGCAGAGAGGAAGCACACAAGAACGAGCAGACACAAGCAGCAGCTAGCACCAGTCAAAAGCAGCAGCTAGAAGCAGACACAAGCAGCAGCTAGAAGCAGTCAAACGCAGTAGCTAGAAGCAGACGCAAGTAGCGGCTAAAAGCAGACACAAGCAGCAGCTAGAAGCAGTCAAAAGAAGCAGCTAGAAGCAGACACAAGTAGCAGCTAGAAGCAGACACAAGCAGCAGCTAGAAGCAGTCAAAAGCAGCAGCTAGAAGCAGACACAAGCAGCAGCTAGCACCAGACACAAGTAGCAGCTAAAAGCAGACACAAGCAGCAGCTAGCACCAGTCAAAAGCAGCAGCTAGCTAGCACGGTGTGGGCGCACTTCATGCCTATTCGCGTCGTATGCACTGTAAGGAACCACTGTGACTGTTAGGGCAAGGACAAGATCTTCAGAATCTAGAAACTCGGGTTGCAGTGAAATCTGGAGGGTTTTTTCTTCGCTTCGACTCCACCAGTCATAGGTGTATTTGGCAGAAAGCACACGCCAGGCCTCTATGGGGGCAGGTAGCAAGCGGGGTGAGGCACAAGACTCCTGCGTCGGTGGAGAGACGGCCTTGTCTCCTAGGGTCGAATTTTGTGCTGAGAGTGCTGCTTGCGTTTCTGCAGCCTCGGCGGATATGGCTGCTGTGTCAGCTTCTGGCTGTCTGTCTGCTGTAACCGTGCCAGAAGTGCTAGGGCAGTAGTAGTGGGAAAGGCGAGGAGGTGACATGAGCGTTTGCAGCGGCATGCGCCCCCAAAAAGCAAGTGCAGCCTCATCTGCGGGGGGGGGTTGCAGCATGCCAAGCCTTGCCTTGTACATGTCTAGCAATCCGAGTTGAGGATTCTCGTCTGCAGGAGCCTCCCCCAGAGCGCCACTGGAATTTTCGGGGAAATCTCTGGACGGCAGCGGAGGAGGCGAGGGAAGGTAGTGCAGATGCATGAAGACGTCCTGAAGAAGACAGAAAGAAAGAGACAGAGAGATAGAGGGACAGGGAGATAGATAGATAGATAGATAGATAGATAGATAGAGAGCAAGAGAGAGAGAAGCAGCAGCACGGGGGGCACCCCCTCCTTCCCCCACAGAAGAGCGCTATGAGCGGGGAGAACAGGACAGCCAAGGAGGTTGGGAACGAAAGGAACATGCGTTTTAAGGTCAGAGATTTTGGGTTTAGAGGTAGCTTTGCAGGGCGTGGCAATATGCGAGCTAGATAGAGACTTGAGGGTAGGCTCCTTCCAGCGTCCTCCTGGGGAACCGATTGCAGCTACGTGTGTAGGGGGTCAAAGAGTTGGAGGGTTACAAATTGAGCATCCGGGGTAAGAACATTCCGGAGGGGTGGGAGATGCTGCAGCTGCTGCTGCTGCGGCTTTGGGGAGAAGAAGGAAGCAGCCAAGTTCATGAGAGACTGGAAGACCATGATTTTGAACAGCATCGTTCCGATGCGCGCTGCATGCATACGGACAGTCGAGCCACCCACCGTGTAGCATTCCACCTGCGGCAGGTGCTAGAAGAAAGGGCGATGTGAAGGCTACCCTTTGCTGTAAGAAGAGGTGTTTCGCGAGGAAGGCGGAAGGACTTACACAAAAAGCCTTGCTGGGGAGCTTCCTCTGCCGCGGAGGCAGTAGCAGCGCCTGGTTCCGCCATCTTCAGGGCTCAGTGCCAATGCAGAGGGAAGGGATAAAGTGAAATGCGATGGCGTGGAAAGGAAAGCGGCAGAGCTCGGGACGCTTGCGCAGGGGAATGTCTCTTGATCCTGCGGCTGCTCTGGTTGCTGGGGAGAAAAAGCCTTTTAGCGGGTGTTACAGCCTCCCTTTCTTGCTCCGGCGGACTTGAAAATTGCGCACCTCGGCTTGGCTCGTTGCGTGTCCGGTGTCTGTACAGCTCAGAGTAGCCCAAAGTCCCTTCCTAACCTGGTGAGTCTTGGGGGGCCCTCCCTGTCTCTGGAGTAGAGGGGACTTCTTGAAAATTCCAGCAGCCTCTGCCGAGTCAAGAGCAGTAAAAATACAACAAACGAGCGACGAAGAAAGCAGGAGAGGCTCCAGCCTAGGCGCTCCGCGGCATGCACGAGCAGCAAGGCTGCACGCTGTTGGGGGTTCGTATTACAGCGGTCCTGCAGTATTATGGCTGGGGCTGTACCGACATCCAGGACACTTTTCACTGCAAGCCAGAAAACTCAGAAATGCTCTGCTTATCAGGCTCTCTCCTTCGACCGACCCTAAGGATTCGGCTCAACACTTCAAATACCGAAGCCTTCCCACTGTCTGCACGCCACGGGGGGCCCCTCGGAAGGCATCGGGAGCCAGGGAGGCCCCCTAGTAACGCAGAAGGTTGTTGCGCTTTTGCCTAGGAACTCGCAAGCGTGAATTTGTCCTCTCAGGCCCTGTAAATAAGCCTTTTTGTTGATCGCAGTCCTCCCTTTGAGCCTATACCTTGACCTTCCCCTTTTTCAGCGAAAAGGGAAGGACAAGAGACGCGAATGCAGCAACCCCTACCCCAGCACCAACAGCGGCAGAGATAGTGCACCTACAGCCTGAAGCTGTATCGCTGACTGCCTCAGGGGGAGGGTGACGGATGGCGCTGTGTATCCCCTTGGTCAAAGATGCCCCAGTAGGCTGAATTGTTGCTGGTGTTGTTCCTGTTGGTGGTGCTGCTACTCTTCTTCCTGTACTGGCCGAGACTCTAGCGCCTCGGGTACTGGAGGGGATCTGGAGGGGTTGGTGGGGGGCAGGTTGTGTGCTTGTGAGTGGGAGTAGATATCTGGCCCCTGTACCGCCTCTCGCCTGTGTTCCCTAGTCGCTTTGCCTTTTCTGGCTTGTGGCTTGACGACGCGTTGCTAGCCGAAAAAGATACATGGGGAACCTTCGATGCTGCTTCGCGGGGTGTGCGTGCGAGTTCTGCACTGCAGCTATACGCAGCAGCTTTCCGCTGCAGTGTATGCCTTGAATGCCGCGTTGCAGCCAAGGGCCCACCAGCACGAGCTTAAAAGAGTCTTGCTTCAAGCGTATGCCTCTCTCAGTCGACGCTGCGTGCTGTGCTCCCCTCTCTGCGAAACTCGGATCCCTTTCAATGAGGCAGTTTTTGCGTACTCGAAAGAGCGATCTGCGCTTGCAGCGTCCTGCAGCAGCCACACTGCACTTTGCTGCTCTTTGCTGCCCGTCTGCGTGGTGTCTGCAGACTGAGGCCCCTGCTGCAGCACCACTTGGGAGGCTCTCTTCAGACATTTGGTTCTTGCAGTAACGGATTTTGGTGTGTCTCTCTTTCGTGCAGTCTTCACCTGCCCTCATTCCCCGCCAAAATGAGAGTTCGTGGGAGGATCATCAGCCGGCGTTTTTTTCTGCAAGTTTGGAATGCGGGCAGTCGCCCTTCGTGAGCGAGTCCGTTTCTGCTGCAGGGTAAAGGGCAGCGACGTAGACTCTTGCTTGGTCCTTCCTGGCGTAACACAGAAGGCGGAGCAGCTCGCAAGGCTTCGCGTGGTAGGGTGGCCCCCCCCCTTGCCGTGGGCAGCAACACTTAGGCCTCTAGTAGACGCGCTGCTTGACAACGGATGGTTGGCATGCACAAACAACGGGGAGTTTTAGAGGCAGGGTTAGCTCCGGCGGCCTCCTGCTTAGCCCTCTCCCTTTATTTTTATCCTCTGGAACCTCCATCCAGCGACGAAGATACCAGCTAGTTGTGTGAGGGGGAGGGGTGAGGGCGGGAGGCCTTCATCAAGCTTTCTGCTGAGATACAGCACACGCGGTAAAGAGAGAGCAGCAAGATGCTGCCTCTCTCAGTCGATCTCGTGCTGCTGCTCGTCTGGCGATGGGTGCAGCATTGCACACAGGGGCCCCTTTGATGTGCAGTTCCTGTGCGCTGCTCTCTTGCTTCGCGCTGCGAACGCTTTTGCTCCTTCCATGCAGGTAAAATATCTGGTAGAGCTCTACGCCTTCGGATCCGCAGAAGTGATCCCTGCCCAAGTACCAATTGCAAAGGTAGATTTGTAGCGGCAAAAAGCAGCGGCGAGAAGGCCGCGGTAATTTAAACAGCGGCGCTGCGGGGGGAGTGGAGAGAAGGACAGTTGGACTGCCAGCAGCTGCAGACAGTAGAGCAGCAGCGCGAGCAGCCTCCCGCGGCGCTGCGCCGCTGTCTCTACACCAGACGCGGCCCCCTATATGTGTATATAGCTGCATCTTGCTGTTGCGTCTGCAGGTCGTAGGAACCGATGGCTTAGGCCTGCTGGACGTTTCGATTTGCAACTCTGCTGCGCTCGCGAATTCCGCCTTCGTGAGGGTATTTGGAGAACTTGATCCCCGCGTCTTGCAGCTTGGTCGCGTGCTGAAGCATTGGGCAGCCTCTCGAGGAATCAACAACAGGCAGGCCCCGATCTCACAAATCAAACAAGCAACCGAGCCGATTTTCCGTCGTGCTTCTTTCGTCATTCTGCTGCCCCGTGATTGCTTTTGCTAGGGTGTACGACGCATGACATGCCGCTCTTGGAGCCGTGTTTCTACGTGACACACAGGCAGCAGCAGCAAGAGCAGCAGCACATTGACTGTGTTTGGCTTCTTGAGTCTACGGTGTTGCAGGGCAGATGGAACATTGAGCACTTACACGCTAATGCTGCAGCTCTTCTTCTTCCTGCAGACGCGCAGTCCACCGATTCTCCCGCCTTACAAGTCCGCTTTCTTGAGCGCAGGGCCTGAGTGCTGCCTCACGTTTTTAAAGGGTTCTGTGTCTTGCTGCTTCTTCTGGCTTTTAATTTTTTCCTCCGTCTGGCCCCTTCACTCCTGCCTCGCACGCGTCTGTCTGGGCGCTCGAGCTCCTTGTGCGTGAATGCACACAGTGGCTGTAGGCATAACTCTTGCCGTTTCTGTGCGCGAAAGAGATCCTCCTCAGCGCGCCTCGTGCCACTTGCGTTCTTTCTAGGTCTCTTTAGAAGGCCCTTTCGCTAGCGGCACGCCGCATGCACCTGCACGCTCTGCTGAATTGCTGCTCAACACCTGCAGAATTTTGTCTACGCGGGGGTCACCCCCTGCGCCTCCGTGCATCACCCTCTGTGACGACACATGGGGATTCCACTTCCTGCAGCCCCTCCGCAGCGGGTTGTTTATTGTTGCTTTTGCAGGAGCATCGAGCTTTATGACGCGCGGTACGAGAGTCCTGAAGCCGCCGCAGCTGCAGCTGCAGAGACTCCCGACGCCTCTGAAGAAGCCATGTTTACGCAGGGCAGTGAAGCGGTCTCTGCAGGGAAGAGCAAGCCTTCTGGGGCTTTCTTCGGAGGAGATACACTGCGCCCGCTGCCATTCATGTCGGACTGCACGTATGTTTCTGTGGCGTTAATAGTAGGAATTTGTGGCAACAAGACGAGGGAGGCTGCGGTTCCTGCCTGCAACCTCCATGTCGATGAGGGAGATGTCTTGTACAGCGGTGACAGCGCTCTCCTGTGCTTTATATTTTTCCTTTGACGGTCTTTAAGCCTGGTCAAAAACACCATGCCAAGGTCCCTTGCTTGCCTCGATTTGCTGGTACGTATGCTTCTTTTGCAGCCAAATCCGTAAGGAGGTCATGAAGAACTTCGCGGTGAACACGGAGACAGTGGGAGAGCTTTTGCGTGGCTTTTTTAACGTAAGGGCAGACACAGACGCTATTGGCGTCTCGGCGCTCCCGTCAGCTGTATCACGGCGGCTTCTGGGGGCCCCTCTGGACGCTGGTCTGGACGTCTTGCAGCACACTTCTCCTCGTGCCCTTTTCTGTGGGTGCCAGCCCCTCCTCCCTCTCCAGCACAGCGTAACTAGCAGCTTTTTTCTGCATCTACGGGTGCTGGTTCTGCCTGTTCTTGACCATCTGCAGTTTTACGGATCCGCATTGCCGGCACTCAGCACCGAGGCCCCCGTAACGGTAGACTGCTATGACGCCTCCCTCCACGTCGGCACGACAGACACCGCCCCCTTAGACCCCCGGGCTTTGCACGGGGAGCAGCCTGCGCGCGCATGCGCCGCACGGAACGAACAGGCGGAGGGCACGCCACCCGGAGTTACCATGCAGACACCTGGGTGGCAGCCTGCGGCCAAGTGGGGTGTCTGGGGCCTTCCCCGCAGCGCGGCTCTTGCCCAAATCCGTTCCTGCAGCCCCCCCATCAGCACAAGCCAAGAAGGCGGCAGCAGCAGTTGTCGCCCTCCCTCTGTGTTGATGGTGCGATGTCCTCTCACGAGATGCATCGTAAATCGCTTCAGCCGTGCCGCCTGGGCAGCCATCGCGGCTGAATTTACCCGTGCCGAGCGCCTGATGCAGCAGCAACAGCCGCTCACTGCCCTGTGTGCCCCCCTAACGGCCTCCCATCGCGAGCGCAACAAGACCGGTAGGGAGAGACTTCGATATTCCCTTAACCTGCCTTCCCCCTCCCCTCTCAGACACAGACCAGCACTATTAGCAACCCTCTGCAAAAGGCGTCGAGCAGTCGGGACGCGGCTTCCAGTGATGCAGGTCTGGCGGCGCGTTCCTGACCCTTTTCAGTGCGCTCTCATCAGGAAGAGGGCTACGGTTTTTGTTGTTGCACATTTTGTACCCCCTTTATCGCCTTCCCGCTGCCTGCTGTCCAAGTGCGATTTTCTCAATAGCCTCTATACAAACTAAGGATGCGTACACGTGCTGGGCTGCCCTCAGACGTCCTACGCTACAGACGACTCGCGGTGGCCCTTGCTCGCAGTCAGTTCCTTTTGCCACCCCCACCAACCCCGCTGTCTTTCCTACATCCCTCATCGCCTAGCACGGCAGTGCCATCTTTCAGATGGCGTCAAGATGGAGGAGGTGGGCGCCTCAGCGCACCTCCCTCTTCTCCCTTAAACCCCGAGACTCCTCAACACAGCCCCCCCCCAAAACTCCCCTCTTGACAAAATCCGTCTTTGCACCGGTACACAGACGCATGCGGGCGGCATGCTTGACCCTATAGCGTCAAGAAACCAGAGCCAGGAGGCACCTGCCCAAGGGAGTCGCTGCAGGATTTTGGGCAGGCCAGGCGACGACATAGCGCGCCCCTCTCTGCGTCTCTGCCAATGGGGAGAGGCGCCTCGAAGCATCCACACGGCGAGGCTCCGTAGAGCTCGTGGCGTCTCGCGCGTGCATTTTTTCAAAGGAGAAAGCCACGCTCATCCACCCACTGTTCACCTTGCTGGGTCGAGGCGGCAAAAGAGCTCGCAGCGAATCCGCCTGTTGTTCAGCCTTTTCCGCTGGTGCACTGCTCATTCTGCCGCTTTTTCGCTTGCCTGCGGCTTCACACTAGAGGGGACCCTTTCGGTCTCGTTCGCTGCCCCCGACTTGGCGAGGAGCACATGCCACTCTTCCATGACGCTGCTAACCATGTTCATCTGAGAGCAGTCGCACGCAGACAGCGGCACCCCATGGTGTGTAGCTACACTTGAAGGAGAGGGAATGCGCTGCAACACGCGCGCACGACGCCCCCCTCCACCACAGCCAACAGCTGCAACAACCGCACACGTACAGTGGTGTTGTACAGGGCAGCAAGGTTGACAACCTTCTCTTCTAGCCGCGCAGTCTGCACCGCAAGGGAGTTCCCCTGCGCCTCTAAGATGCGCATGCGTCGCTTGTAGTCCTCCAGTTCTGCGAAGCCCCAAAATAGCAAGAAGCCTCATGTATCCGTTCATGCCACGCTCTATGCCACGCGTAAGTAGGGTGTCACTGCTGCCGCTACTGCCGCCCTAGTTCCTATTACTCCCACTCATCGGTCATCAAGGAATACTTGCTATCCTGACGGCGCTCCTGTTTCTGAGAAATCGCGCTTCAAAGGGGCCTCGCCACATACCGGAGAGGCAAGGGGGATTGACAACGTCTTCGAGACCTTGAAGGGTCCTGAGCTGAGTTGCAACGCTTAGCAACTGCTCTTCCTGCTGCAGCACAAGATCTCTTTTCGCCCGTAAGGTTAGCAGCAGCCGCGCCGCAGACACGTGTCCTCCCTCGAGCCAGACTTTCAGCTCGGAGTCTGCAGCAGTAGCCGCACCAGGATCAGCAGTTCACAGTCCACAAAAGGAGAAAAGGGAGCTTCATCCTAATAGGAAAGCCCCCAAACGGCACCAAGGCACACAGACGTTTCTCAGCACCATTCGGCAGCGGCGGCAGCTCGAAGAAGGGCTTCAAGAGTATTGCAGCAGCAGCAGCAGCAGGATACTGCGCACATTTCCCTTCGATGTCTGCCAGAGGCCCCCTCATGGCCGCATTCGCTTGGTGCTGCAGCCGGCAGAGGGCAAGCACGAGAGATGACTCATATTCTGCTGGACTGCCCGAGGCAGCCGAAGTCGCTAGGGTATCTGTAGCCGAGGAGGCGTCTAAGCCTGCAAGAGAGTGGAAGAGGCACATAAACACAAAAGATGCATTTAGCAGCAGCTACAGCTGCAGTCATCGCACCCACTACAGCAAACCAAACTGCATGAACCCACAGAGCAGACAGCAGGATGCAGGGTCGCTGAATGAAGAGCAGGCGCAGTTGTTGTGAAGGGAGCAAAAGCAGCTGTAGGGAAGGGATGTGCAATGCAGGGAGTGAAAGGGTTCAACATCTTAAGTCCTGCTGCTGTAGGGATGTTGTGGTGAAGGACCATGCAAATACGCATATATGTGCGTATATACGGGTGAAACATGCTCACCTATCGCCGATTCACAAAGCGCAATTCGCCTCTCGAGCTCGTCTAGTAGCAATCGGCTTTGCTCAACAGACACAGCCTCCTCATCTAGCTGCTGCTGTAGTAGCTTGGCAGCCTTGCACGTCTGCTGAACCTGCAGCTGCTGCGCATTCACTTGTTCATCTGGCTCTTGATTGGGTAGGCGCTCTTCCGTCTGTTGTTGCTCGGCCTCTGCTGCAGCAGCAGCTGATGTATCTGCAACGACAGCCTCTGCTTCAGCAGCAGGTGCTGCATCTGCAACGACAGACTCTGCTGCAGCAGCTGATGTACCTGCAACGACAGACTCTGCTGCAGTAGACGCTGCATCTGCAACGACAGCCTCTGCTGCGGCAGCAGGTGCTGCAGCTGCAACGACAGCCTCTGCTGCAGCAGCTGCTGTATCTACAGCGACAGCCTCTGCTGCGGCAGCAGGTGCTGTATCTGCAACGACAGCCTCTGCTGCAGCAGCTGCTGCATCTGCAGCGACAGCCTCTGAGGGTGTTTCCTCCATGACAACAATAGCTAGAAGTTTCTCAATGTAGGAATACCTGCGTTTGCTGCTTGCGCCGCAAAATACTGTGCAAGGCTGGTTCACTTACCGGCACACCACAACGCGGGTGGGAAACGGCGCTGCACAATGAATCAGCAGCTTCTGCAGCTTTTATTGCAACTCAAGGCGCTAAGCAGAGAGTTTCAAGGAGTGACCTTAAGTGCGCTGCGCAGTTTCTCATCCGCTACGTAGGCGGGTGTCTGGCGGCCCCTTTTCACTGTCCGAGGCTGCATAAACTGCGGCAGCTAGCTCCGCTGCAACACAGAAATTCTCCAAGTACGCAGAAATAAGCGTCCGTGGCCTGCTTCAGGTGTTCTCGTGGTAGCAGCTAGCGAAGGCACGCCTGGTTACCCAGTACCCGCAATCACGAGCCCTGGACCGTGGAGTCGAACGAAGCGTGTCCATACAATAGAGGAAACATAGACCCTCTACAATGTGTTTTTAAATACTATTTCCATAGAAGTTCGCAGACACGCCTGCATCTTCGTGGTTCTTGCCTGTACCGGCAGACCGTAGAGAGCAGCCGCAGAGCGAATTGGGGATGGGGGCCCTGCCGTGAACACTGTATGAGACTGGGGAAGGGGGATATTCCACTTCCTAGCCATTTCAGATTTGCTTCTGCTCTCCATTCTCTAGGGATCGAACGGGGGCTTCTGATTTTGCAGATTTCGGCTCGTGGGCCTGGTGACCGATTTGTGGTATTCTCAACAGCTCATGGGACGTGACAAGTCTGCTGTCGCGCAGTGTAGCTCTTTTTATTGTCTTATCTGGGCCAGAAGTATTGTAACGATTGTTACACAATGGGAAATGTCGTATCCACGGATTCGCTCCCTTTTTTCTCTCCCTACACCCTTGGTTGTTCCCTGCTCTGTTGCTTCGTCGGGTCCAGCTGGGTATTGAACCGCTGGCCCCATATGCTGCACAAACGACGCGGAATCCTCACAGGGGGGCCCCTGGACGGCCCTATGCCTGTCTGCATAGCCCACAGGGGCGGCCAAGCGGAGGCCCCGGAGAACACACTGAGTGCGTTCAAGTATTCCATTGAGGAATGCGGGTGTGAGATGATCGAGCTGGATGTTTGGGTCAGCAAGGATAAGCAGCTAGTCGTAGTGCACGATGACAATTTGTCGAGAGTTTGTGGCACTGACACGCGAGTTAAAGACACAGATTACGGGGCTCTGCCTCGGGTTCGTTCCTCAAAGGAAATAGAGCTAGGGGCGGCTGCGGAACCAAGCACCCCTGAATGCTCGCATGCAGGCTCGTTCTTCGAATTTTTCCCCGAGTTCAAGTGCTTTCCAAGACAGTTCGAGGGAGAAAAGATGCCCTTGTTGGAAGATGTCTACAAAGCCTTTCCGTCAGCTCTCATTAACGTCGATATGAAGGGGCCTCTAGACCATCAGGCCATACGCGACGTAGTTGCACTCACACGGCGATATAAGAGAGAGAAAAAAACTGTTTTTGGAGGGTTTATGCAGCAAAAGCTAGATCTCATCAAGAAAGAGTTTCCTGAAGCTGTGATGGCCGTGGGTCCCCGTCGTACTTTCCTATATCTACTGTCCTACTACCTGGGAATCCTCCCTTTCATTCGCATTCATGAAGACATCTTTGAATTTCCGGTGTCTTACGCATATGTCAAACGTGAGGCTCTGCGTATTGCAGCAAAAAGGCGGGAGAGGGCACCCAGGTGCCTCCAGTTCCTTTTTGCAGATGCTGTAGCACGGGCAGAAGCCTGGCTCACCTTCTCCCTGATTACAAATCCAGGATTTGTAAGCGCATTGAAGCGGAGGGGTCTTCTCGTCTTAGGCTGGGTGGTAAACAAGGAAGAAGAGTACAAGGACGCTCTTGACAGGATCGGATGCCACGGTCTGATGACCGACAGGCCCATGCATCTCAGACAGTACCTTGATATGCGTAACAAAAAGTGCAAAAAGTAAGCGAATCCAACAGACTCTTCTGTAAAGCGATGCATGCAAGCCTCGTCTTGCAGAAGTCCCCTGCTACGAGGAGGAAAGTTGTTTTGCCTTGGGGTTCGGGCAAGTGGTTTTTTATCTGTACATACGAAAGTACAACCAGCGGACTTTCTCAAAGCCTGGGGGTACAAAAACCCTCTCAAGAGAGCTGGAGGGCGCTGATCATTAATGAAAGAAGCTTCAATCATCCGTGTTTTTCGTTACTTCTGATGGAGTGCCCCTCACGTGCTGGATATTGAAGGACCGTGAGACTGAGAAGGCGTGCAGCTTCCATGACTACATCGTCAGGGTTTTGCGTGCAAGCGAGAGATAATTTTATCCAGGTGGACTGCTGCAATAAACACCACCCACCTACTGGCCATTTTTGCGGTGCGATACTGGAAAAACGGTGGCTGTTCGGCCTCTTGAATGGAACCGGCTCCAAGAGTTCACATAATAAAAGCTTGGGTAGGGAACTGCAGTAGATTCTACTGAAATAGGAGCTCTACAAAATTTTGCAGTGCAGTCTGTTACTGTAAGGTTTCTCTACACTCAGCACGGGACCGAGGAACTACAGGATTTAGGTGATGTGTCCATCACGATGTGCTGCACTTCTGCGTAGCGTAAAGAAAGGAGCTTATGGCCGATTGGAGATTGCGAAAGCTTGTCTCCATAATGCTTATTCGGTAGTTTCAAGGCCGATGAGCGGTTACCGCCATCAGAAACGAAACTGGTGCGATCAAGTTAAATCGCCTCCTCCTGAGCAGCCAGCTGCTGCCTCTGCCGCATATCCGCAAGAGAACCAACACATTCTGTAACACTGTGCATGCAGCATGTGTTAACATACACTTTTCACATTTGCGCAAATGTGGGAGCATTGATGGAAGCACGGCGCTTTGGCGACTTCCTCCATCCGCCCATTTGCGTAGACATATTCGTATACTCCTCCAAGTATGCACGCGTTCATACATATCCATATATAATAATTTACAATAAACCTGCACCTCCAAATTTTAGCGAATCTCCCTGCCGCGGTGGTCTCTTCCCGAGGAGGTCCGCTTGGGTTCAGTATGTGGCGAGCAAAAACCACGAGTATTTAATGAGGAAATAAGATAAAGGCGCAAGAATCATCATACCATTGCATAAATTGAGCTGCATGCTCGCTATAGACTCAGTGGCTGGGCGGTTTGTGCTGCTTCTGGGGGTCACGATGCCACAAGAACACGGAACCCTCCTGGGGCCCCTAGCACCTGCTGCTACCCCCTAGCAAAAAGACACACTGCCAGAGCGCTACGCTGCTGCTGTAGCTCCTGCAATAAAAATGGCAGTCACTACAGGAGCAGCAAGGAGTGCATGCGCAAGAGCAGTAGAAACAGCGGTGAATGCAACAACTGCAGCAGGTGCCAAAAAGTAGGCGCCTCTAGCTGCCTCGGACAGTTGCAGCCGCACTTGCAGCCGCTAGAAGCTCAGGAAAAGAGCAGCTTCTGAATCCCCAAGCTTCGGGGGGTGGTGCTGTTGTTATGGGGGTGTGCGCGCCCTCGAGACACTGCAAAGGTATCGCAGCAGACACCACACACTTGTACTATCCTTTATAGTTTTAGTGGGCCTCCTGGGTGTCATGCCAGGTTTTGCGCGCATGAATAAGTACATCATGGGAAGCATGCACATATAAAATGCGTGGAACCGACAGGTGTAGAGGGTCTGAACACGCGAAACGATCGCCAGGTAGCAAGGCGCATCTACAATTCTTGAATGGGCATTTCGGGGCATATCTCATGGGACAGTGCCTGTCCTCCCCCCCTTCCCCCGGAGGCGCACCCGCGGCATGCAACTTTTGTACTCCTCAAGGGCCCTACTGGGGGGGCCCACGCATATGCACAGGACATAACCGGGGGCCTTCTCTTCTTCGAGTCTGAAGTAGAAGTCCTGTAGACACCGCGCATGAACAGACGCCCTCATCATGTTGCTATCCTGTGGGGCAGGCGGCCTGCAGGCTGCAGGGGAGTCTGGGAAGCTCGCTCGCTGTATCCTCGAGCTTAAGAGTCCTTCTAAGCCACCTCCGAGGTCTAAAAAAGGCCTCAGTCTCTCTGTGCAGGAAGACAGGGGTCTCCAGGGTGCCCTGCCCATATATACGGTCTCCCTGAGGCCCCAGTCGCATGCAGCCACCGCAGAACATGCATATTTTTCTCCTGCTTACGGTTTGGGGGGTCCCATCAAGGGAGATTCGTGGGGGGCAGGGGGGGAAGAAGAAGCATTGGAGTCTCTGCGGATCGGTGTACATCCCTGTACATACACATACAGACACACATACACACATACAGACACATACACACATGCAGACACATACACACATACAGACACATACACACATACAGACACATACACACACACACACACATACAGACGCATACATACAGACACCACCCGGTATGGGCGCTCATCACACGCAAAGATAGGAGGCGGGCAAGGGGGGAGAGACTCCTCGAATGTTTGTTGGAAGGCCACAAGGCCTTTGTGGTTCCAGAGCATCCCAGGCACAGCTGTGGCCTTTGCAGGCAAGGGAAAATGCGATTTAGGGGCCTTTCTTTATGGCAGTTGTGCTTGGGGCCCCCAAGGCCCCCACCTCAGACCCTCCCTTCTACGAGGCGGCACCCTTGAAAAGAGGCCCTTGCAGAAACGCGAGCTTGCCTGTGCCAAGCGCCTTGACGAAGGACTCCTTAACCGTCCAGACCCTGCAGCGCATGCAGCAGCAATAACAGCGCTAGGGGGCTTGCCGCGCGCATGCCTTGTAACTGCGTAGCGTCCTCCTAGCACCCCAGTTCTGAAAAAAGGCCATGTGTTGCGTGATTCTGCAGTTCGACGGCGGGCAGCAGCCCTCCACAGTGGAGATATGTAAGCGTGTTTCCCAACGTTCTGACATGACGCATGATCGTGTCAGGGGGCATCAATAAATATAAAAACACACACACATACATTCACACATACATTCACACATGCATTCACACATACATTCACACATACATTCACACATACATTCACACATACACACACTGCCCAATCCAGACCCCAAAGCTGAATCCTGTCGCGACTAAGCACGTCCAGCAGGGGGCCCCCCTCTGCTGAAAATGCTTGCCTCATGAATCTTCTCAGTTGCTGCTCTGGATCCGAGACCTCCATTACGTAGGCCCAGTCTCCTGGGGTGCAGTGACCTCGCATTTGCCGCAGGAACTGCTCGGTGTCTCTGTTGCATGGACCACACATATACACTCACATGCATACATGAACACACATACACACATTCACACATTCACACATACACACATATACACATATATAGACACATGTACACATATATAGACACATGTACACACACATATACACACATATACACACATATACACATATATAGACACATATACGCACACATACACATATACACACACATACACATGTACACACATATACACACATATACACATATATAGACACATGTACACACACATACACATATGCACATATATACACACATATACACACATATACACACATAGATACACATATACGCACATATACGCACACACACATACACACACATACACATGTACACACATATACACACATATACCCATATACAGACACATGTACACACACATACACATATACACATATATACACACATATACACACATATACACACATAGATACACACACTCACTCAAGACAAAGATGAGGCCAAGTCATGGCATGGAGGACTGTAAAAAAGGCACAGTGTCGCTAAATTTCTACGCAGCTGGTGAATCAAAGATTATTTTTTCTCCTGCCCTTGCTTCTGTTGCAAGCTCAGGCCAATAGTGTAACGGACCTGCCTCTGCAGGCGCAGCGCATGCAGTCCACGCCAACGAGGTGCTGAGAGGCCCCAAACACTACCAACCCCTCATCATGCTGTACGCAGAAGCAGCAGCAGCAGCAGAGGCAGAAGCAGAAGCAGCAGGAGAAGCCCATGCACACGACTTAGAAGCAGTACGACAATTTTAGGTTCCCATTCATCGCGCGACTTGATTAGGAGAGTACATCTAGACTCTCAGACAAGCCCCGAAGACGCGCATGCATGCGTCCAGACCCACCGAAACATTAAAGTGCAGGAAGGCGGATTCCAGACTCGGAGAAGGTCTCTGCAGCACAGCATCAACGACACCACGCCCTCCAGATCTCCCCCCTCGCAGCTTATTGGAAGCTTCTGCCACTACCGTCACACGAGTATTCTGGGGGATCTACAGGAGATCTCCTGTCTCTCTCAAGCCTTGCCCTTGCATGCGCTGAAAGCTTGCAGCGAGGCCCTCCCCGAAGCGGCCTCCCTCCCTGAATAGGGGCCCCCCTCCCTCCCCCCTTCCCGCCGACAGAACCTCTTGAAGGCGACAGCTCTCGCTCGACATGCAGCCATCCCTGTCCCTTACCCAGATAGGTTTGCTCCTCGTAGCCTTCCGCTCAATTATGAGGGATTTAGAGTCGCAGCAGCAGTACGCAGACAGCAGCAGCCGCTGCAGCAACCTGCTGCTGAACGCTCGAAGGCGGTCAGTGGCACGCCGGTACCTCGAGAAAAGCACAAAAGAGCAGAATCGTCAGCGAGAGCAGATGCAGCGTCAAGAGGACGGGACAGGGGCTGTACAGACACACCACATGGTACACACAGCGCATCCCAGCAACGGAGCGTACCGCTCGCTATCGAGGATTTCCTGAGCAGGAAGAATAGCGCCTACATGAGGCCATAGCGCCTTCAGACGCAGTTCTGCCTCGGATTCTCCCAAGGTGAGGGCACCCAGGTCCAGCACGACAACATCCGCAGCAGCAGCAAGGTGGTTCGGTTGGAGGCGGGGAAGGCGGGGGGGGGGGGCCCCCGTGGAGGCTGTGCAGGGCCCCCAGCAGGGGGTCGCTACGGGGGGGGGTGGCAGGGGGTAACAGCCAACCACAGACGGGTGCGGTGGAGCTGTAGAACCCCTCGTTGCTGTTTGCATTGCCTGAGCAGGGGGGGGCCCCCTGCAGGCGGGTCGGGTATGGACGAAAGTTGCGCTCCCTTCCCTCAAAAATGAGCTGTCTTCTGACCTGAAGCTGCTCAGCAATCAAGAAAGGGGGCGAAAATTGGACACGGAGAGAAGGGCAGCTGCAGCAACGCGCCGAAGAAGAAATGCGGCACATAGAACGGTCGCAGGAGAAGCGACAGCCGCATGGCCGCTGCAGCGCAGGAAGCGACGGCTCATGGAATCCAGAGCTTTAAAAACTCGGTTAGGAAGTATTTCAAGTGGCTTCGAGCGAGGACGTAGCTGCAGCAGCAGGTGACTCCGCTGCAGTCCTGCAACTCCCCTGTGCAACGCTCAGCTGTCATCGCCACCATCCGAATGCGGGGTCGTCTGAGGGGTGGAAATTCGTGCTCCCTTGCCCTCTTCGGCAGGCTTCCTCTGAGAAACGCCTTTTTACGTCATTTAAAACTCTTGCTGCAGCAGGAGCTTGAGCTTTCGCGCTCAAAAACGGAGGCTGGCGTGGTTGGGGGCACTCGAGCATTCTGGCCGCTCTGCGGCAGTTCTGTCTGCTCTTTCCGTTTGCCTTGCTCGAGGGATTCTAGGAGGCTTCTAAGACTCCTTCTGCGCTCTGGCTGCTTCTAAAGAGCAGCCTTCTCGAAAGTCTTCCTCCTCCCCCTAGGCTCCCTCTCCACGAGGAGGTGCGCTGCCTCACCCCACGCAATACAGGGGCAAGCAACAGCCGCAGCACAACACGCAGCCTTCCGTCCTTTGCCTCCTCGCAGTCTCTGGAGGCAGCAGCTACAGCGAGGATATCGACGGCAGTGGCAACAAATAATAGCCGCGGCGGGAGCACTCCACTCCCCTTGGTTCTCCCTGCAGCACCAGACATGCACCGCTTCGCTCGACGCGGATATCAAGAAACTTCTTCTCCTTGAAGGAGAGGCGCTAACGGCTCCTGCTGCAGCAGCCGCTGCTGCCGTGCCTGCTAGCACATGGGCTTGTTTGCCTGCCACGCGCAGACTCAAGATGGCAAGAGACAGCAACTTCTGGAAGTCTCTAGGATCCCCCCGGTTTGTCTTGGGACCTATGGTAGACCAAAGCGAGCTGGCTTTCAGGTAAACATCCCTCATTCTTCCTCTCACATGCCTTTTTTGCTTTAGCAATACGACTATATCCAGCAGCAGCAATACCACTATAGCCAGCAGCAGCAATACGACTATAGCCAGCAGCAGCAATACGACTATAGCCAGCAGCAGCAATACGACTATAGCCAGCAGCAGCAATACGACTATAGCCAGCAGCAGCAATACCACTATAGCCAGCAGCAGCAATACGACTATATCCAGCAGCAGCAATACGACTATAGCCAGCAGCATCAATACGACTATATCCAGCAGCAGCAATACGACTATATCCAGCAGCAGCAATACTACTACTAGCAGCAAAAGTTGTGGTGCCCGTCAGCTCTGCGGATGCTGCTTGTGCTGCAGGTTACTATGCGAAGCCGAGGGTGTAGAACTGTCTTTTTCGCCGATGCTGAATAGCCGGTAAGACGTTTTCACGGAGTTTGTCATGTCATTGTGCTTGATTGCTGCCCCAGATGCGGGAGTGTGTGGGCGTCTAATGCCTTGCAGACAAGGCCACTCTGGCGCCAATCCCTCTTCTGTAGTTGCTGGTGTGTGCAGCAGCATCCTTGTTGTGGTGGGTGCAGGCTGTTTGTCGAAGAACCTAAGTATCGTCTGCTGCAGTGGCAGGTGCAAGCGACTCCTAAGAAAACCACTCGAGAGGGCAGATCCTTCTTCTGCCGTCACAGGAGGTCTCGCCAGAGGGATGGATGCAGCAGCGATAGCAGCAGGGCTAGATGCAACAGCGATAGCAGCAGGGAGAGATGCAGCAGCAGCGACAGCAACAGGGATAGATGCAACAGGAAGGAAAGGTGGTGGAGGGCAGAACGTGGAGCAGCACAGCAGACGGATACTTCTTTCGACACACAAGTTCCTCTGATCGCACAGTTTTGCGGTTAGTGGACGAAACTTGTTTTGGGGGTTGTTTGCTGCTGCCTTTCGATGTTGCGATGGCGTGGTGTCGTGATTATTCTCGCATGCTCGCTTGTGCTTCTGCTCCAATCCATTCGGCCCTGAGGCGTCATTTTGCATCGTCATCTGCACTCTCTCTCTCGTGCCCTAGCAGCAGTGTGCCTCTTTCTTTCTGCCTTCTTGCCTCCTGTAAAGTCTCTCGCAGCACATCGCGGGTGTGTAACCATATATGCACATGCATGTGGCCTCGTAGTGGTGCTGGAGGAGCCTTCTTCTCAGCAGCTTCTCCTTGGCGCACGCCACTCGCCGCTCTACCATCTGGCAGTGCGGGTTTCTCTTCCTCGTCACTGCGAGTGTCTCTTTCGAGAGACAGCTCCACCACTCTGAGCGTCTTTTGCTGAGAGCGAAGCGGCTTCTCTCCCACAGCGACTTCTCCCGCCGCTGTGTGTGGTGTATCTCCAGGCCATACGCCAGAGCACATGGTGGCTGCAGGGCGGCTCATTGAAGACACAGTCGCCGCAGTGGATGTAAACTTGGGATGCCCGCAAGTGAGCGCATGTGCACTCTTTCTTTCGCTGCCTTTTCACGTGGTCCTATGGCTCCTGTTGCATTGCTCGTGTCTCCAGGATTCTTCTCGGTAGCGGTAGCGCTGTGTGTTTCAGGAGAGCTCGTCCTTGCTCCTCGCGTGTGTGCATTTGCCAGCTAGCTGGAACTGGGTGCCGCCCCGTCGTTCGATTGTGTCGTTGCTCCTGGAAGCCGAACTGTCGTTTTCCCCTTAGAAATCGCTCCAAAACTGGATGCATTTGACTCATAGAACTTTCGCGATGGCGTTTTTTCTCTTTTTTTCTCCAGGGCATCGCGCGTAGGGGATTTTATGGAGCCTATCTCCTACAAGAACCTGAACTCATTATGTAAGGCTGGAAGAAATTCGTCTGCGTTCCGCTTCGCGCCTTCTTCGTCAGGGCGTCTCAAAAGAAAGACGGCGCACGCTGCTGGCATGCCTCCGCGAAATACGCTCTTTTCGCAGCCTCGAGCCGCTCGGCATACTTCTTGCCTGCTCTTACGATGGCCTCTAGCCTTGCGTGGCTTGCTTGCGCTTTCTTCGCATTGCCCACATGCATTGTCTGTTTTGTCCTACCGCACACAAATCGCTCGACGTGAAAAAATGAAACAAGACGTTTGAAGGGGAGGGCCCTGTCAAGGGCGACTTTTTCTGTTTTTTTCATCTAGGAGCTCAGCGCATTCTGGGGTGTGCGCTGAGCAGCCACCAACGGCTTCCATCTTGCGTCCACCTTCCAGGATGCGTTTGTCTCTGCAGCTCTATAGTGTCTGCAATGCACCAGAACCTTGCCGTGCCAGTTACTTGCAAGATGCGCAAAGTCTCTACGGAGCCGAGCTGCACAGCGTGTAGGTTGCCGAGCGGAAAAGCTCTCCGACGCCACGAATCTGCAGAATATGTAACGCCTGAAAGCCTTAGCGCGGCATGTTCCGTTGAAAAACCCTTGAAGGAGGATTGTTCGTTTCCTCCCTGCCCTGCCTTCTTGGATGTTTTGAAGGGCCTCACAAAATTCAAAAGAGAGGAGAGAAGGGGGATTCAGGAGAGACGCGCTGCTCTATCTCGCTGTGAGCAGCCTGCGTTCATGCCTGTGTGCCGATAGACGACCGAATGCGGGATCTTCCGACAGCAGCAACCGCTGCTGCTGCTGCTGCTGCGGAGCGGCACTTAGACAGGACGTGTCAAGACACCCTGCTGCTGGCGTATGCCTTGGAGGCAGCAGGAGCCGCTGCTCTTACCCTCCACGGTCGCACAAAGGACGAAAAGGGGAGAGACACTGGGGAAGCAGACTGGGGCATTATTCGTCGAGTCAAGTCGAGACTTGAAATCCCAGGTGGATTTTTTGCGGCTGCTGGTGCTCTGTGGGGTGTAGGGGGGTTGCTGCGAACGAGCGCGCGCGTGGCGGCCATGTCTCCTGCGTGTGAAATTGCGGTTTTTCTCCTGCTTCTTGTGCTGCTTCTTGCTGCAGTCATTGCGAATGGAGGAGTCGAGACTCATGAGGACGCAGTGCGCTGTCTGCAGGTTACGGGGTGAGCATTGTAGGTTCCTGCATTTTTGGTGCTGCTGCGTCTGCCGACTCTTTTGCTGCTGCCGCTTCGGGGGGCCAGTGTCTGTGAGCATTTTTTTGAGGTGCGCTCGCCACTCTTTGCTTGCGGGGTGTCGAGGAGCTTCTGCAGCAGCCTAGTGCCGGTAGATCGCGTCAAGTGGCGGTGCGTCTCTTGGCGGCTGTTTTTCTCAGAGCAGACGCTGTGATGGCAGCCGAAGCCATTCTGGATAATCCGTCCCTCTTTCGAGAGGCCTCCGCGCATCTTCGGCAGCAGGCGCTGCAGCAGGCGACTGCAGCTTTGCAGCCTCCAGCAGTGCGACTGGGAATGCTTCCCAGAGACGTTACTGCAGCTTCGGCAGCGTGCAGCAGCAGCAGCAGCAGCAACTGTGGAGGCAGAGACGCGATCAAGAAGCGTGTGGCCTTAATGCAGCGCTACATGCACCTGTGCGGCATCTACCCGCCTCCTCACAGCGGCTGTGCCAAAGCCCACCTTTTCAGGTGTCTGCATCCGATCCTCACGGAAAACAAGCACTGGAGAGATGCTTTACATCAGGCAAGACATGCTGCTGCTGCTACTGCTTTTCGGCTGTTTGTGCGTAGAGCTTCACGGAGGGCCGCCCTTCTCAGGCAAGCATTTGCTTTTGTGCTGTATCCTGCCTCATGTTTTCGATGCTGCTTGGGCATGCGTGTGTGACACAGAGCAGCTGCATGGAGGACTTGCACTCGCTCATGAACGCAATAGTGTGCTACTACGCAGCCGCAGACGGCGGCGCTGGCTGCTTCAATGTGGATTCGCCAAGCGAAAACAACACGTGGTATCGCCGCCACCGAAGAGGCGCAGCGGGAACCACGAACGCAAATGAAGGGGCCTCAGACACCGAAAATACGGATAAGTATGCTGAGGCTGCAGAGGGTTTGGGAAATTTGTTCGGCTAGCCAGCGCAGGGCGACTTTGGATTTTGCCACAGACGGCCGCTATACACTGCAGGTATGTATATATATATATGTTTCAATGCGGCACCTTCTACAATGCAAAGACTTGCATGCACATCCTACTTGATGAATGGCTGGCTACAATGGATTGGATGGCTACAATGGATTGGCTGCACGCTATAGGGGTCCATGTAGGGTCTCCGTAGGAATCAAACACATACTCTGGGAAACCTTTTGAACGTTTCCAAGAAATGGCTCTTCTTCTCCTGCCATCGCCATCAAGCGCTTGAGCTGAAGGGTGGCGAATAGGGGGCAAGTGGCTGCATCCTCTAAATACTTGGTCAATTACAGCTACTTGGATATAGCCTCCAGCGCACCCGCATACAACAATGCGTATCGTTATACTGAGCCAGTGCGACTCAGCAATAAATAAGGTATATAGGAGCAGCATAACCAAGTAGCCAACCATTTACTGATCCCTAATTGTATAGAACTACTGCAGAAGAAATTACTCAAGTGCAGGATACCCCGGTGCAGTTAACTCCTTTGGGAAAAGCTCAAGCTAAGCACAACCCCACCCCTTCTCAGAAAATTTTTCGGTGCGTTAGCGGCGCAATGAAGATTCAGATATTGAAGTCTAGCCCTAGGCTGCCGTCATGAAAGAGCACGCCACTGTGCAGACAGTGGCGCTGCCCTCAGTTCTATCGAGACCCTTCATCAGAAACCCCCTTGACGGCAGCGCCTCAAGCGTTACAGTGGCCATAAGTCCCCTGGGCTTAGCAGCAGAGCCATAGGGCGTCCGCTGTTAGAGCGTATTGCCGATGAAGCTTTCTCTTTAAAATGGTTCTCTCGGTCAAGGCTTGGAAGCGCCGTTGGCTCGCCTGTACCTCTCCCGTAAGAACTAGCTGTTGCTGGGCTTTGCTGCTTCCGAATTGATGCCTCTAAAGTGATAGGGAGCACAAGACAGATCCGAGTGAATGTTCTTCTGTCGTGGTAATCTAGGTCTTGCGTGCTGAGTGACCAGCCAGTCCTGGTTGCGTGACGCGCGTAGGGAGAGAGACATCTTGAGGAAATGTTTTTTGCGTGTCATAAATACGGAAGCAGCTAATTTATAAACTCACCTAAATTATCGGTCTGGCCATTCCTCCCGCGTTCTGCGCCACAAAAACAGGATGTTGCAGCACCAGCAGCGGGTGTCCATTGAACAAACTGCATGTGGATCTAATCCAGACCTGAGCTTGGGGCTGGGAGCGCATGCAGCTGGTGTCTCCTTCACATTCTGGGGATTGCAGCGTCGCAAATAATATTTTGAAAAATAGCAAACGAAGAAAGAGAGCATCGCATGCGCTGCAGGCCGCAGCTCTCATTGCTCATGGGGGCCAGCGGCTGCTCGGGCTCTCGCTGGAGCCACTACTGAGGTGTCCGTACACCTCAATTGTTCAGCTCTTCTGGCCCCTCTTTTCGCCGCTTCGCTTTGCATATCAAATACTTTGGGTCTCTTTGCGCCTCGGCGGCTACAACAGCCTGCAGCGGGGGCTGCCCAGCGAGCGCTCTCTCCTCGTCGTTGAGAGGGCGCCTCTGTCGGTACACCCATTCTTGCTTTGTAGCGAAGGGAAGAGGGCCTTCTCGGTTAGCCTCCTGACAAGCAAATGGATGATTCTTCCCGTAATGCAGCGAGAGCTGTTTCTGCAGGTTCCGCTGCTCCCAACCACGGCTTGGCGTCCTCGGCAGCGGCAGCATACTCTCTCGCAGAGGCGTCTCGCTCAGACCCCCAAGAGCATGCCGCAGATGAGGGCGCTCCTTCCCCGGAGATCCCTCATATCGCCGTGTCTCTGTCTCCTTGCGCAGTTTCGGCCAGTGGCACTTCTTCCAACGCCGCTGCCGCTGCGCCTCACAGCTCCGAAGAGAGTTGCCTGCATTGGGGGGGAGCAGACGCGGCGTCTGTCGCCGCATGGCTGCAACAAGAGAAGCTACAGGGGGTGTACAGACTTCTCGTCGAATCGCTTTTGACGCCAACTCCCAAGACCAGCGCAGGTATGAGGCTCCATAATACCCCAAACTTTGTAATACACATATATGTATGCCCACCCCTCAAAGACGACAAGCGCTCCAAGCAAGCTTTGTAATACACATATATGTATGCCCACCCCTCAAATACGAGAAGCGCTCCAACCTCGGGTTGAAAGTGTGTTTGTGTGTCTATCCACGTCGCCATCTGGATTCTAGAGCCGACATGTGCCTACACACAGGCACACACCACACCGTCGCTCGCAAAATGCCTGCATACTCTCGACCCATGCCATGAGACAGCCGAATTGTTTGGCTTTACCCTTCGCTGTTTTCTGTCTGTCCAGGTTCACGCTTAACTTCCTTGGCCTCTCGTGCTTCTCAGTTGCCTTCCGTCCGTGGAGTTGTGTACGATCCGCATCACTATCAATTTCTGGCGCGATTCTTCGAGACTGAAACGAGCGAAGCTCCTACCACCAAGCGCTTTCCCCTTAGGCGCTGGGGCTTTCAGAAGAGCTTCCGCTTTGCATGCGACGCTGTACAGCAAGCCTTTAAGCCTGGGGAGTTCGAGGAGAGCGAGATACCCCCCGTGGAAGAAACGATTGCCGTGAGAAGCCCACCCCCCACCTCCCCCTGTATATACGACTCCTTGTGTTTTGTTTTTTCGAAACTCCTTCAGCCTCCCTATTGCCATGCACCTCACTTCGTTATACGGCCTTTGCTGGGCCGGAAGAATGCGTTTTAAACACACTTGCTCCTCCATTATCCTTCTCCCCCGCGACTTTTATCGCCCCTTGTGCGGTGCCTGTGAAATTTGGCTTCTGGGAAGCCTCTAAAAGGCGTGCCAGCACCTCTCCTTTAGATGTTTGTTTTGGAAAATCTTGTTAACTAGATCTCACGCCGTTTTTTCCTGCTTGCATGCGTATATACATATATATGTCGCCTCTCCGTGTTTTCCTCCGCTTTCCGTGCCTTCACCCCCTCCACTGGTGCTGCAAGGGTTGCTGCCGCGGAGCTAGTTTTACAGGGATGACGACACTGCAGCGAGGCGTCTCTTGAGTACATTCTGTTTATTCGGGCCCTCCCTCCTGCGCTTCTCCTGCGCTGCTTGGCGTGGCTTTCCACAAGGTTCCATGTGTTGAGTGCTCTGTTGGACTGCGCGTGTTCAAAGTGGCTGTGCCTTGCTGAGGTGTAAACTTCTGTGCGTTTTTCCTATTCCCGTCTGTAAGCGAACGGTGTCATGAGCCTCAAGTGCGCAACAAGAGGGTTTTTTGGTCTCCTGCTTCCAGGAGAAGGGCCCCACAGGCTGCGCATGCAACAGATTAAGGCCAAAGAAGGCACCCAATATGTGTGTGTCTGAAGGTGCAATGTGCGTGTGTCGGGCTGCTACTCTCTGTGTCTTTACGCCTGGCTGCAGCGCGAGCCTCGCGCGTCGTGTGGAGGGGCCTCTTCGCTGTCTACTGCATGCGGGCCAGAAATGGTAGAATCGTATGTTCTTTTGGAGCATCCTGAGCTCGTTCTACCCGTTATTAAGGGGGTTTCTAGAGACAAGAAGAGCAGGCGATGGGCTGTCTATTACAGAGGGCAGCGCCACTACTTCTACGACAAGAACTGCGGAGGGTGCAGGAAGGCGTACGAGCTCGCCGTACACCTCAGAAGGCAGCAAGTCGAGGAGGTGGAAATCTCTCAGGTGTATGATGAGCAGCTGCAACAAATGCAGCAAGGCCCTCCAGGAACTCCCGAGACACGAGGGCCTTGCCCAGGCCCCTGTCTCCGCGCTCTCGTCGCGTATCTTCTCTCCGAGCTTTCTACTTTTCTCAAGGAAAAGGGGGGAGAGGCTCTAGGTGTAGATCCGGAGGTGGCAGCGGCTGCTTCCACAGTGGCTGCTGCGCATGCAGCTGCAGCCAAGCACGCGGCAGGCACGAGCCCTATATTGGATCATATTGCGCTTCTAAGGCACTGCATCACGGAGCAGAAACTGCCGTCACAGCTGCAGCAACAGCAGCTGCTCCTCCTGATCAAGCAGCTGCTGCTCCTGCAGCTGTCATCGGTCAGAGACTTTTTGTTGCAAACGGGTTTGTGGAGAACGATTGCGAACCAGGCAACTGCTGGACAGCAACAGCAGCAGCAGCAGCAGCAGCAACAACCACTGCATGAGGACTCTGGCAGCAGCAGCAGCTGCTCCCCAAAGCCTGAGGTAACTACACCCGCTGCAGAGGCAGCTGCGTCAGCTGCTGCCTCTCACGCAGAGGCCGTATTAGAATCGGCGGATGACACGGCCATGTGCGTCGATTGCTGAGGGCCCCAAAGGTATTTCGCTCAATATACTCCCAATGAAAAAAAACCTCAATAACAAACGCCAGCAGCAGGAGCAGGCATGGCTGCAGCTGCATCTTGGCTACGTATCGCAGTTAGGCTTAAAGCGCGTGCTATCCGCGCAGCAGCGCAGCAACAGAACTGGCAACAGAAGAAGCTGCAGCAACAACAGGGCACTCTCCCAGTGATGGGTTGCGATCCCTTCTGCTCCCTGCAGCAGAGGCGAGGCCCTCTTTGACTCCTTTACATGGTCGCTCAACGCGTATATTATACATACAATGCATTTGTGTTGCAAGCGCTTGGGCACGGTGGCTTGCGCATTCCGATAGATAAATAGATATATGTATATATTTATTTATTTAAGAAGTATCGGAGCAACTGCTCATCTGCATATGCACACAGTGCGCTGGAGCGCAAACCCGTTGAATGTCTGGCACTTCAGAATTCCCTCGAACTCAAACAATTGGGGATACACCACAAGTGCTGCACCGTGTGCGTGTGTCATCCCGACCGAGGAGTTGCGATGGCGTCGGCGCGGGAAGGGCCGTGCAGCAGCTGCTGCAAGCGGCTGTGGCAGTGCTCCTCTGGCGTTTTCTTTTGCTAGCCACCCCCCTTCCCGCTACCTGCTAGCTAGCTAGCTACGGCGGCCCCTGCTGAGCCTCTTTGTTGGTCAGAAGGAAGCACTTAGAGTGCACTGCAACAACGGCGTACAGTAACGCCGACACCAAGGGCCAGCAGGATGGAGGCGCTTGCGTATTGGTAGCTCCTAGCTGTAACAGGTGCATGCTTAAGCTCAAAGCAGAATGTAGACATGGTACTGAGGCTCCCTGCGAAGCCAGCAGCGAGGCCTTTGAGCATTCTGAAGGGAAAAGTGCCCTGTGGGGCGGCTTCCCGCAGCAGGACGCTTGTGGCAAACACCGAGATGCCCGTGGCTACAACGTTGCACAGCAGCGTTCCCACGCATGCAACTTCCTCCCGCAGCCGCAACAACAAGACGAGCAGCGCGCGTGTGGCGCCAGTCTTGTTGCGAAGGCTGCCTGCGCTGCTGCTCTTGGGGCAGTTCAAGGGAGCCAGCCAGTGCCTTAGCCAACAACCCGAGAAGGACAGCAGAGCAGGAAACCTGAGGCAGGGTGTGCACAGACACACGCCACTGCATGCACCGACCCTTAGAAAAAAAAACCAAGAAAAGGGGCCTCTCTCCGTGCGGCACACGGACGACACACAGAGCATCTGCAGTAGAGGGGAAACGGGTTGCAACTGCGCGTAGAGAGGCACCATAGCTCGACGATATTCTCGTCCGCGGGATCGAGGGCTGCCAAGACACCCAACGCGCCGTACACCGCAGCTGCCGCGGCTGCCGCAGCAGCAAACTGCAGCAGCTGCCTGCGCTGATCCTGCTGCAACTGGCCCTCCGCAGCCTGCATGGCGACGCTGTTTCTCCCTACAGGCTCTTCGACTTCGGCGTCATCCTCGGAAAGCGCTCGCAATCGACGAGCCGCTGCGTGCTGCAGATTCCCTGGCTCCAAGGAGCAGCAGCACTCTGCCGAGAGAGAGTCACGAGCCCTTCCCTCACCAGCAGCCTCCTCTCCATCGCGCGACGTTCCAGCCGGCGCAGCTGCGGCGACGACAGCGGAAGCTGCATGCACGCCACAGAGGCAGGCGGCCATTGGAATACCAAATCCAATGAGCAAAAGCCACAGGCTGGTATCGATCGCATTGGTGTGGATTTCCATCTCGCGAAGCAGCAGAAACAGCTGCTGCTCCTGCTGCTGCTTGTGCTGCTGCGCGGGAGGGAAGGGCAGCAACACAATCTTGTCGTAAGCTACAAACACCAGCAGAGATAGCCACGCGCTGAAGCTCGTCAAGCAGCCGCAAAAGCCTGTTCCTAGAGAGAGGACGAGCAACGGCGATGCGTAGGCTTTTCTAAGGGGTCCACAGCAACAAGCAGCACAGCAGCATGAGCTAAAGCAGCAAATTTTTACGAGAAATCTTTTCGCATTTTTATTCGCCACGACTTAGAGTCCGTGCATGCCCTAGAAACCCCTCATCCCGTTGGTTTGTTCGAAGCTCCCCGCGGTGCCAGCTGTTTCCCAGACACCTTGTTCGAATACTAAAGCAGCGAGAGCCACAAGAAACGCCGGGGCAGCTTCTGCAGCTGCCGCTGCTGTGTCGGCTCACGGCAAAATCTGCGGAAGGGCCTTAATGAGGGGGAGCAGGAAGCAGCCGATAATGTTTGCCCATAACTCGGGGAAGAGTGGCAGCAGTCTCGTGGTGCCAGCGTAGCGGCAGCAGAGCCTCACAATTGCCTGTCGAAGCAGCACACCTGCGGCTGCAGTAACTGCAAGCAGCAGCAACGGAGTCGCATGCATCGCCCCTGCTGCGGCTGCCCGTGCAGCTCTCGAGGGGATCTTCCGGCAGCCGCCTTCATGGATATGATCCTTCCTGAACGGCCACCAACAGCTGAGTCTGCGACTACTCCTATCCGCAGTTTGCATGGGCTAGGAACCCTGCTGGAGCAGCAGGAGGTGCGCACAGGATCTGAGGTCACTTCCAGTGGCGCGAGTCACACTCGCGAGCAGCGGCGACAGCGCAAGACAGCTGCAGCAATTGTTGGCGGTAGTGGCATCATAAAAGTCTCTTCGATGCATGTTTTCTCGGGAGAAAAAACTCTGCAAGATGCGTCTCGGTGAAGCGATTCAGGGCACCTCCCCCTGCTCCTCCCTTGCTGTGTCGAAACCCCCCTAAGAGAACCGCGACAGCCCTTCACGTGCAAGCCACGACCTGCAAAGACAGTGTACCGCTGATATGTATGAGAGAGGCATACTACATCCACATTGGAATATAAAATACCATTCCGATTGCTGCTGTTGGCGCCTCATTTAGGGTTAAAAGGACAAAAAAGCCAAAGGGTACCTACCCCAGGAGGGCACCAACGAGGGGCCCCTCCCGTCTTGCCTTGCCATGCGCGCTGACGTCGCTGCCGATGCAGGCTGGCTGCTCCGTGCAGCAGCCGTGGCGGATTGTTTGCTATCAATGCTGCTGCGCTTCCTAAGGTGAATATAACACAGACGATCAAACAGGTCCTCTCTCGTCTTCTCTGACAGGGAAAGAGAGCACGTGAAGGGGTGGCAGAGCTGCATTGCTTGGCAGCAGCGACTCCAGCGGCATGTGCGCAGAGCATCCATCCTGCTGCTGCGTATACACCGACCGAAGCAGGGTTTGCAAAGTTGTTGCGGCAGGAAGAAACCGAGTAGGCTGTGCGCAAAGAGCCGCAGATACACCACGCAAAAGACATGAAAGCTGCCGCTCAACCCCGTAGTGCTGCACTGTATAGACATCGCGGCGTTTACTCCCGCCCATGCGGCTGCTCTGCAACCCTTCTCGGTGGTCTTAATAATCCTTCTTGTTGTTGTTGCAAGTAAAAAGGGAAGCCTCGGCCTCTCCTTTTACTCGCGTCCTTGAGCGTGTAGAGCCGTAAGGGAGAAGGTTTTCCACGGGGAGTCTTAGACATCCGGGTAGTGCAACAAATCATCAGCTTTCGCGGCTGCGTTCGTCCACAGCAGCAGTATCACCGCCATCATTTTATGGCCTACTCTTACCCTACAATTCCTACGATCCCGAACTCCTCTTCTTACCACCAGCAGCAACACGACGCCGACATCACTCCTCAGCATCGCCAGCGGGGCACCTTGCAGGGAAATGCAGAGCCAGGCAGGCAACAGTCACACCAACAACGCCGACGTCTCCAGACATTCCGACAGTGCCAGCAGCTTTCCAGACAGCACTTCCAACGACAGCGCCGCTATTGCTCTTGCCGCAGCTCAGAGAAACCCGCGCTGTACAGACACCCCATGCGCCAACAGACCAGAAACAGAAACACCGGCAAGCCAGCTCCCCTTGCAGCCTAATGGCTATACACAAGGCCCCTTTTTCAGCACGGCCAACACCGGCAACAACAGCTCCACGCATGCAGCTGGAGCTGTAGCAAGGTCAGGCGGAGCCTCCCCAGCGGCAGACACCCAACCTCCATCCTCAGGTGTATGTACACCAGCCGCCGGGGCCCTCGCGAATCCTTCCGTCCCCGCAGCGACGCCGGCAGCAGCAGCTCCTTCCTTTGAAGCACCTGCTGCTCCAAAAGAAGGGGCACCGTATGCGATCACGGAAGCAGCAACTGCAGCAGCTGAACCTGCATTTGTTTGCACGCCGATTGATGCTCCTGCAGCTCCCCCCACGGCTGCTGCATCGCGGGCAGCAGAGGTCGCGCTGAGCGTCCAAGAGATTCCAGGAGAAGGAGGCTTCGTAGCAGCAGCAACATCTGCCAGGATGGCAGCGGCGGCTGTCGCAGACAAAGCAGATCCGAGACACGTTTTTACACGTCTACAGAAGGGCGATGGAGGGGATTCTGGAGACTTCGGAGACAGTGCATCGGCAGTGCCAGATTTTGCGGCAACTGAAGCCGAAGCAGCGACGTCCGAGGCGGTAGCAGCTGCTGTGCATGCCGATGCAGCAGCAGACGCAGCGATAGCTTCGCTTCGCTCTCTCTTGGAAGTGCCAAGATCCACCCCAGTAGCGTCTTCTACTTGCCTTGAGACGGCAGTTCGAGCTATGCGAGAAGTGCAGAGGACGGATGCAACGCAAGTGGCCTTGCTTGCCGCTTTTGCCGCTGCAGAGCAGCAAACAGCTGCAGCAAGTGCTTCCCGGCACGCAGCAGCAGCAGCAGCAGCCGCAAGACGCGCCGCTGCAAACCTCGAACATGCGCTCAACCAAAGGAGGCTTGAATCTTCTGAGCGACGGCAAAGCCCTAAGAGAAGAGGCCTTGTCGCCAAGGAGCTTCTCCCAGTCACAAGACTTACCACCCCTGCTGCATCTGCGGTAGCTCCTGCTGCATCTGCTGCACAAAAAACTGCCGCAGATGCAGCACCGCAGACAGCGTCCTCTGTGGAAACTGCTTCTCCAGCAGAACTCCCTGCTCCTCCAGTACATGGTGAGCCTGCTGCTGATGATGTAATTCCAGCTGCAGCAGCAGCTTCTGCTGCTGTAGCTCCGTCAGCAGCAGCGGGCGCAGCACCAGCCCATTCGGCAGGTGTATCGACACCAGCCGCTGCGCCACCTCGTAACTGCGGAGACGCCGGAGGAGGAGTCCAGGGAGACGTTCCATCGGCAGAAGCTGCATTAGACACGATTGTAGATGGATCCACAGAGGCAGCAGCCACCGACGCAACAGCTCCCAAAGCATCACCCCTTCTGCCAGCAGCACCAGCAGCACCAGCAGCCTCATCAGCGGAAGCGCATCTGGAGGGCAGAAGGCCTTTTCTCTTCTTCTCGCAGGGTTTGAGCCTAACTGCCTTTCTTTCAGGCAACAGGCAGCAAGAGCAGCAGTTGGTGCATCAGCATCCGCATGCCTTTCGGCAGCAAGTGCAGCCGCAGGAGAGACAAGCCATTGCGGCTGCGTCGAATGCGTTTGCAGCTGCGTGCGCCCACGGGCCGCATGCAGCAACGGCTCAGCAGCAAGACGCTAGCAGCTCGAGCGCGGCGAGATGGGCAGAGGAGGAGAGTCAGCAGGGAAGGCTGCACTCCGCCGAGGAGCAGGCTCCGCGCTTGACGAGCGTGGAAGTGGCTCAAGGAGACTCTTCTGAGGAGGTCGAAGAGGGGGAGGCCTCCTCAGCAGCGGAGGGGGGTGGCTTGGCGGCTTCGCACCAACTGTTGTATGCGGTAGACCGCATAGTCGGTGCACGACGGACTGTTGCGGGTGACATGAAGTACAAAGTGCGTTGGGTGGGATATGGAGCTGCTGACGATACGTGGGAACCGATGCAGCATCTGGTTGGTCTCGAGCTGCTGCAGGAGCAAGCGCAGCAGCAGCTCGGTGTTGACTGCTTTCTGCCTTGGGGGGGGGAGGAGGGTGAGGGGCGTGGGAAGCCTCCTGCAGCAGATGGCTCACAACAACCGACCACCAGCGGCGTGACGGACGGAAGAACAGAAGGGCATGCTGCTGCTGCTGCACCGAATAATAGCCTGCCGAACAGTAGCAGTAGTAACAGTAGTAGCAGTAGTAGCAGGGAGGTGGTACAATGCGATAAAACAACAATCGCAGCTGACTCTGACTCCCACTCGAGCTTAAAGAAAAGCAGCAGCAGCGCTGTGTCGCCGCATGCCAAATCCTTGTTAGCCCCTGTTGTCAGCAGCAGCCTCGAGAGCGGAGTGCTTACTAGCGTATCTCCGCCGCCTCCGGTGTTGCAAAGCATTAGCCGCTACAGGAGTAGGTTTGGGAGGGGGGAGTTTAGGGTCACTTGGCGGGGAGCATCCTCTGGGGGGCAGCAGTGGATCCCCGAGCAGCAGCTGTTTCTGCTGCTGCACCGCGCATGCAGCAGCAAAACAGCGCTGCTGCGGCAGCAGGCAGCCACAGCCGTAGCCCAGTGGCACGAGACGATACGCGAAAGACAAGGGATCGATAGTGCTTGGTGGGGTTGTGTCTAGGGCAGCATGCAGTGGGGAGCGGCGCAGCGGCAACAACGCTACAGCCGCAGTTTCATTCGCCCCGAAAAGCAACAAACACGAGATGATGCTGCTGCTTTAACGGGTGTTGCTTCTGATTTTGATGCCGCTGTTGTCTCCCTGATCTGCCGTGAGGAGTAGTTGCTCCGAAATGCATTTTGATTGCTTTCTTGCCTTCAAGGGCCCACCACCACCTCTCCAGCAGAGGCTTTTTTCGGAGAGCAACAGCTACTCCTTCCTGCCTATGCCCCTGAGCCTGAGGCAAGTCCATTGGTCGGAAACTCTTAAGGAGTTCATTATATAACCTCTGAGAGTAGTGTCTCGTCGCGTGGTAGCTGACGTATGTTGCGAACAGCGCTGCTCTCGCTGCAGCAGCAGCTGCCGGTAGGAGTAAGCAGCAGATTCGGGCTGTTGCGAGGCTCAGTGTGAGGACAGCAACCGGCACACAATACGGCCTCAGGGGGACGAGCGATCCAACCAACAGCAGTATTAGCAGACACCCACCCCTCCCCCAGCAGTAGAGGCGATGATACGAGTTAGAGGGATGCTTGTTGCTGCCTCTCGTGGCCTTCTCTATGCCGCTTTTCGCTGCCAATGCTCTGTGCTGCTAACGGCGGGCTCAAGGCATCCATCCCCTACGGTGAGCACTGCCTTCTGGAGTTGCTACGGGGAAGCGCGCTTATCCTTCTAAGCGCTGCCACCGTTCTGCGCGGCTTTGTTTGCCGTCTTTCTTGTGAAGCGATCTTCGCCACAGAGATTGCAGCACTCGCGTTCGAATAAGTGCACAGCAGCAGACGGGAGATAGTGGCCCACTGCCCTTTACACTCCAGCACTATGTGCGGCAGGCTGACATGCCTTTCTTTCAAGCACTACTGCCTGTTTCTTCTAATGGCTGCTCAGCGATAGCGAGGGGCTGCAAAGAAAGGCCTCCTCTCTTCTTGAAGCGTTCCCCCTTTGCTTTCGCATACCCCTGCAGCAGCTCCTCCTGCTTCTCCGGCGACAACTGCAGAAACTCCTCTTTTCGTAGCGCAGCTGCGCACATACACCCAATCGCAGCAGAGCACAGCACAGCAAGCGCAGCGTTTAGGGGGCCATAGCCTCGCGAGGTTCACGCTTTGTGGCAGAGATGGGATGGCCGTCGCTCTTGCCGCCTGTGCGGCTTTTAACTTCAAGATTATTGGGGGTGTGCACTTACACGCCTCCGCTGCCTCTAGAAGCTCCGCGGAAGAAAAGAAGGGAGGACCGTCCTGAGGCCCCTTGTACAGTCCGCAGCCTATGATTCTGCGATACCACACCCCCGCCAACCGTAGCTAGCCGCATAGCGTGCGTGATAAAATGCTTGCACCATCATACCCAGAAAAGCTGCTCACACGACAGCAGCAAGCGCGCCAGCAGCAGAGGAACCCCTCACCTCACGGGCTCCATAGGAGCTCCATTCTTAGTGCCAACATCCTCAATCTGCGACGACACACCCGCAAAAAACACCCACAAAGCAGCAATAGCAGCGTTCGCATATATATATATATACTGACCAAGTTTTTCGGCAGTCTCGCAAGTAGAGGCCCTCTATGAAGACATTAGTCGCCTTCCAAAAATTTTATATACATATATATATATATATATATATATATACATACATACATATATATTTATATATCCCCTCCCTTCCTCCCTCCACGTACAGCACACACGCACAGCCTCCCTCCCCCACTTCTCTCTCTCTACTGCAGAATCCTTAGATATTGAGCTGCACACCCACGGCGCTTGCTACACGGGACGCTTCCCCGAACGCCTCCAGACTGCGCCTCTTTCTAGAAAAAGGCATGAAGGGGCACGCTTACTCTGCGAATAACCCGCATCCCCTTCAGCACGGTGCCAATGACCACATGCTGTCTATTCAAAACTGGAAGCGGGCAGAAGGATATGAGAAAGAGGCTGCTGTTGCTGTTCGGCCCCCGCGATAACATGGCCACATCGCCGTCCTGGACGAACTCCATCGCGTAATTCTCATCCGGAAACCTGTACAGCACAGCCATTCAGTTCGCAGTATCGCGCACACACACGCCACCAATGCCCAGTGAGCATGCTACGAAAGCGCCTTCCCTTGCAAGGGAAGGCGCTTTTCGCAGCTGAGCCTCCATCGCTGCGGCTGCAGTCCCACAGGTCACAATGCAAAATCGCTCTCCGGAAGGCTGTATCGAGAATGATGACACCGGCAAAGACCCCTTTGTCAGCTTTCAGAACGTCTTACTTCTTGCCGTATATGGAGAGGCCTTCTCCCCCGCACCCTGTCAGCACATCCCCCGCAAGCATGGCCACTCCCTGCTGCACCTTGTGAACCTGCAGCAGCGGAGAAGAAGGAAACCACAACGCAGCGAAATCTCTCCGCGTTTCGCTCATCGCGCTTTAACGGCCCCAGTGCAACTTCGCGCTGGCCCCCCATTCATGTTGTACCTGGGTGTTTCTGTATCCAAGGATCTTGTCGTGCACTTTGAACCCTTGGCAGAGCTGAATAAAGTTCTCGGCGCTCAGTGGAACGGCGTCAGTGTAGAGGCCAATTAGGACGCGTCCTGCGTATTTGCTGCCGATCGCAAAGTCCATGTACACCAGATCCTTGATGCTTCGGGTGTACAGGCTGCTCTTGGCTGCCGCAGCGCGACGGTTGCGCTGCAGAAATGCCAAGGGAACACCCACTGCTGCACCGAACGCTACTGCCGCTGTCAAATAGCGTGTGCCACGGGGCAGAGATCGCCACCGCTTGGCGGCAAATAAAGACAGAAAAGACATCGAACAAGCCCGGACTGCCCCCGCACAACCAACGCTTCTGCTGCTCGTGCTGCTGCCGCGAGTTCTGCTGTTCTTTCTGTTCGTATCCTAGCGGCGCAGCGTGCTTGGACTGTTGGTGCCGCTGTTCATGCTGCTGCCGCGTGGCGTAGCCGTAGCGGGCTGCTGGACGGTAGAAGGCCCACCCACTCCTTTGCGAACTGCAGACCCCGTCGCCAGAAGCAATGTGGATTTCGCCCTAACAACCCCCGCTTCACGTTTGCCGGCGGAGGGCGCAGAGAGGGGCATCCGCTCAGCTCAGTTCAATCATGCAGGGTTGACAATTGACGAGTTTCATGAAAGGTGCGCTTTCCAGAAAGCTGAAGGCCGCCTCTTGACAGCAAAAAAGCCGGAGTTCAGCACTGAGTGCTTCGCAAGGATCAACGAACTTCATGGGGGCGGCCTTCCGTACCTCTGACGGAGAGAGCGTTTTTCATAGGGGCCCCCAGAGGGGCCCCGTGGGCCTTCATCATGTACCCTCGGCGTTAGTGCAGGGAGATGCTATAAGTTGAACACTCCCGAAAAAAAGGTCATCTTATAGGGACTAAGAAGCACTCTACAGGTCTCGCATTGGAACTTCTCCGGTGTATGTACACCCCGACCCCGCTCTATTTCTTGCAGATACTGCTGCCGACGGGACGCCACGCCGCTGCACCGTTGGAGTTTTAGGCGAGCTCATGAGATGTGGCCATTCCATTGTTGCACTTCTTGTGGTTACGGGAAGAAGAATGCTGGCGAGCTCTTCTTGTGGTTACGGGAAGAAGAATGCTGGCGAGCTCTTCTTGGGGGCAAACTCATTGCTCTCTTGCATGCCCGCAGCAGTAAGCAGCTGTAACAGTCCCTTGGTTCAACCGTTGAAAGCGAGCGTGCATGGGCGAAGTGGTATTGTATGACGAAGAGCAATAAAAGTTTCTAGTGTACCTGCCAACGCACATGTGCTCGGAGTTAGTTCCCCCAGTTGCTCAAGGGTAGTCAAAAACACCTGGACTTGGTGGCGCTATAAAACATAACCACGCATTAAATGCTAACCTCTCTCGTATTTCAGCTGGATAAATATGAGGAAAGCGGCAAAAACACTTCTTCGGAGCAGCATCTGTCGAACTGCTACAAAGCAAACACATGTTAAGGCGTAGCCCCAAGGCGAGTTCCCTCTGCTGAGGCATTAAAGGCACCTGAGGATGCACATGAAGTGAGATGTAGAGATCGCAGCTGCTGACAGTGCCTACAAGTGCACATAGCGGGGACCCGAGGAGTACCCAAATAGATGATACAAGAGGAGCCGGGTGGAGAGGTTGGCTCTAGGCATCTTTCCGTGATGCCATGTACTGGTCGCTATATTACTCCCATGGTAAAAATACGCCGGTAGACATCAAGTAGAAGAAGCAAGCAGGCCAGGGAGACAGTAATGGGACAACCTGACTGGCTGCGAAGGGTTTTGTGTGACTTGGCTACACTTTGCCATTTCCCACGACACCTCACGTTTATTTCGAGAATTAGTAAAGAATTGGCCTTAATTTGATGTACTTGTCAGTACATTTTGTTCAAATATGTAATAACGTTGGCTCAGCACTGTAAGAAGCAATGCTGCGCCTGTATGCTAGTTGCAATATACAATTTCATGTAAGTGCCGAGATCAGCAACGCGCCCGTATGCTGGCACTCCCATTCCTTCATGTCGGCACTTTGGGGAAAAGGTACAAACAAGCTGGCATTATTGTAAAAACTTCAGCAACTTTATACAAAATCTTTGTTACGCTTGGAGCTGAGTATTCCCTTGTCTCCTCATATGAGGCGTACCAGTTTAGCTGAAACGACTAGATTATGGTATAAATAGAGAGGAACAAAAGACATCGCTTGGATGTCCGCATAGAATGAGACCCCCAAAACGCTGAAGATGACGAATGCCAGCACCAGAGACCAGCGGAAAGCGGAACGTCGTGTGAATGTCGCCGCCTTCTCCAAGCCTGACGAACTGCGGCGGGTACACAGTCCGGGGTTCTCGGAGGAAGACGTGTATGGCCTACCCCCCCGCGGCACGAGTGCCCTTTAGTTCTTCTTCAATCCCAGAGCTGCGAAAGAGGCCACTCAGAGAATGGTGCGTTCAACTTGTAGCTTTCACCGCTTGCACACCCTTGGGGCTAAACCATTCCCTCCGTGCCTCCCGCCACCTTATAGAGCACCCTCTCGGGCGAGGAAGCTGGATGAGAGTATTTGCATATGGGATTCACTTCGAGGAGGCAGCATGAGGGACGCTCACTAGCTCCGCTCTGCACGGCCAAGTGCTCACAAACACTTCTTGCAAGGTAAACTCGCATGCATGGCCCCCTCTTTGCACGAGAGCTTCCTGCATTCTCGTTCATCCACAGGACCACTGAACTGAGCACCTGTGAGTACTGCCCAGCCGCTGCACAGAAGTGGCCATTGCTAGGGGGTGGAGGCCGAGGGACTTTGAAATCATTGACCACGCTAGCTGGAGGAATATTCCGATGAATTCGCTAAAAAGTGCGCATTTGTTGATGGCAGGGGTACGCAGACGTGCTCATCAGCACACTGTGCAAGACTCAACCAACCCTAAAATCAGAAGACCAAAGCAAGGCGACGCGCATGCGCACGCAGGCACAACAAATTCGGCGAGTCGCAAAGAAGCTATGCGAGCCTGTAGGTGCTAGCGGCCGCATACGCGTTCTGTAGCGCGTCACCCTCTACAAATGCAGGAGAAGGCCTAATTAAACAGGAGCCTGGAGGAAGGTTGCAGCAATAGTAGAAAATAATCCTATGAGTGCTGTTTTTAGCACCACGTCGGCTTTGGCAGGTGCTGCGGAACCTTTTCGACTGCACTGCCTCACACCGCTCGAGCAGCATAGCTGCCAGGCGGCGTTTCTTCACGCGCATTATGCTTCCTCCTAGGCTGCATTCAGTTTCTCATGAAAACGGCCCCGCTGAGTTCACATATCTGTGCCCTTGAGTGGCCATAGCTGCCCCTATCGGCTACGAAAACTACCTCTGCCATTCGCTCTGTCTATCTTTGGGTAAACGCTGCGGCCTTTCTTTTCCCTACTGATTTCGAGGCCTCTAAGGCGACCTGCTTTAAGGTCCCTCTTCCGGAGATCAGCACTCATCACCGTTGCTTTTTGCATCTACCCGTCTGCACTCGCCAGGAACTATCCGATGTTTCCTTTGTGCACCATTTCTGCAACGCCCTGCGGACTCTCCCTAACCTTGACTCTGCTACCTGCCATCTTCAAGTACCACCCAACCACGCCACAAGATAAGTGCCCTCTCAAGTCTCCCTTGGACTGTGTTCCTTCCCCAAGGCAAGTTCGCCGCTCCGCAGCCCAGATATATACATATATATATCCCTTTCCAGAGGGCCATGTAGCTGGCTGGCCAGCTAGCTTGCTGGGGAGCAGTACTGGATCACCAGGATACGCAGCCTTTAGTGTACGCCCATTTGGGGTGTGCGTACAGCTAAAAGGCAGCTTGGGGCTTTCGCCGATCTCTGTTCCCACTCGGGCTGTCCTGCTGCTGCTGCTGCATTGTCTGTAGTTGTGGAGCAGGTGCAATAACAGCATGCTGGACCGCAGAAATGAGACTCTCCGTCCTCTCAATTTGCTTTACGAAGTAATCGACAAAGACACGCTGGGTCTGCTGATTCTGCGATGGCGAAACACCCGCAGGCACAAATCGTACGTACAGATGGATCATGGTGTAAGCAGACACCCCTATCAGCATAAGCAGACACCCCTATCAGCATAAGCAGACACCCGTATCAGCGCAGCAGCATCGCATGCGTCACACGACATCCAAGATACGCTTGCTGTGCAAAGAGTCTTTGCCTCTGTTTCTGTAGAAGCAGGCCTATCTCTCGAGCCACTATTCTCTCCCTCCTCTCTTGCAAGCCTCAGCCTCTGCCCCTCCTCAACGGCTTTCCTCACACGCCTCTGCCCCTCCCCCCATTCTTCTCGTGTATGTAATGTACCTTGACGTGGACCATGTCGCCTTCGATCTTGAAGTCCACCGCGCCCTCTACATGCGGCTGCTGCAGATCTCCGGAAAGAAGGGAACCATTCTTCCACACCCTCTGGTGACTTCGCAATTTCGCCGTCATCAGATCGGCGCGAACACGCGATTCTGGCTCCTCTGCATTCTCGTCCATCAAGCGTCCCAGCTTCTGTATCGCATGACACACCCCACACCCCCAATTCCAAGCGGCTCGGGCAGGCTACCTCGTCGAGGTGTCTGTGCTTCTCTGCGAACGCACTCTTGTGCCTAGCAGGCATGCAGTTCTGAATTCCCGCAGCCGGCCAGCTTGGGAGCCAGTAGCTACGGCGACTTGGAGCTTAAATAAAAAAACCGGATTCTCCCCCCTCCCCCCCGTGCAACGCACAGCGAGAGGAATGTTGTGATACAGCTTCGTGAAAGAATTGATCGTGTTCACTTTGCGACGGCTTTCCACATCCTGCGGCAAACGCAGCATCCCCACCCCAAACCGTCAGCATCGAGTTCTGCCATCCTGAGAGGAAGGTGAAGCTCGCTTCTGCGAGGGCTTAGCTCATGACAACCCGCGTCAATCCGACTGGGTCTAAGTACTGGTAAGGAAGCGCAAGTCTCTCTCTCTCTCTCTCTCTGTCTCTCTGTCTCTACGGGAGGGCTAAGGTGAAGATTTGCATATAACCTTTCTACAAGGACACACGGATGCCCCTGTATAAATGCACCAAAACATACAAGAAGGCAACCGGGGGAAAGCCTGCTCGCTGACCTTAAGGAAAAGCTTGCAGACGCGGAGTCTGATCTCGGCTCGGCCAGAAACAAACTTCTCAAAGGCCTCATCGTCATACGTGGGAGGCGCAGCAGGGTCGATGAAGCGGGGAGCCGCCCATGTGAAGAGTTCACAGTAGGCCTCCTCAGTTTCCTGCTGCAATCTTCGAAGAAAAACGCCACCACACACACCAAAATACGCCGAGCTTATCGGCCTGCTGCTGAGCGGCCTGGCTAAAGGAGGAGGAGGAGATTGAGCACGCAAGCAAGCAAGCAAGCAAGCAAGCGCAGCAACAATAAGCGCAACACACGGCCTACTTGTAGAATTTGTCGCTGTATCTCTCTTTGATCGCTTGGTGGATGGAGTCGTCGAGCTTTGTGCCACTCAGTTTCGTGCAGAGCAGCAACAACACGTGCATGCGGTCTGATGCCCTGCTGACGGAGGAGTTCAGAAGGCTAGAAGCGGAGGCAAGCTGTCCTCTCTGGCGAGACAGACTCAACAGCGCCTGAGACATGACACGGATTGCATCCTGATACCGCCTGTGAGAGACAAACAGCACAAAAAACAGCATGGTTGCAGAGATCGATAGATACGTCTGTGTAGGGGTACTTCCGCACATATGTGCCTGCGGCCGATAGCGCTCTTGGAGACTGGCCGCTGAAAAATCCGACGCGCGTGCTCTTGCATCTCTTCTTGAGCTCCCCGAGCATCCCCCTACATGCCCCCCCCTAAAAGCATTCCCACGCGCGCCGAATGGGGCCAGGCCGACAGGTAAAGAGACAGATAGATGGATGGATAGCTGGATAGCTGGTCGGCTGGCTTGGAGGGTACAGTGACCTTCTCAGTTGTTACCTGAGCATCATGTAGGCGAAGCCTAGGTGGAAGAGGAAGGAGGCATGCGCCGCGGGGACCCGCCAGTAGAAGGCTTTCGTGCTCAATTCGATATCTTCTACGGCAGCCACGCCGCTGTAAAACAACCCCACCTGAGAGTCGAAGCGACACAGAGGCGAAGGCACACGCGTACAATAAAATGGGCACGGCACGCGGACCGGAGAAGAAGGGGGTCCACAGGCGGTGCATCGACAGCAAAGCGTGGTGCCGCGCATGCATGCATGCAGGCTCAGCGGCTTGTTTAGAAGAGCCTGCTGCGCCTGGATAAATCACGAGGCTGACAGCTACCGATCAAAAAACACCTCGGCCTCTCCTTTCTGAAGACAAACCTGAACGTGAAGTCTCAGCTGGAGAATAAGCGCGAAGTAACCCAGCTGATAGCCCAGTTCTGACTCGATGCCTTTGGTGCCGATGGGATCTTGACGCTGTTGCTGCAGCATCTGCTTAATCCCACTCTGTTGAACCATCTTCTGCAGGAGCTCAAACACGCGAAATGCTGGCCACACCTCCAGGTCACCTGAGGGATCACAAGCGGAACCAAACGAGATGCCAGCGTCAATAGCGCATGATGTAGGAGAAGGCAGGGAAAAAAAGCCTCTCAGGACGCCCCCATTCTCTCCCCTCTTCCTTCCTTTCCCCTCCACTTCCTTCACAGTTCATCATTACCAAACACACAACACAGCTATCGCGTGTTCATATACATATACACCTATGCACGATACGCACACTCCGTATGTAGAATATATCCATCTCTCTAGACATGCATACACGCTACCCCTACCCAAGAATACGCTATGCGCGGTGTATCCCAACAGCGATGACCGAAGCCACACAGACACACACACAGATACACAGATATATATATACATATACAGATACATACACAGACACACAGATACACACACAGATACACACACAGACAGATACGCAGACAGACACACTAAGTTGACGTAGCCAGATGTTACCTTCCAGCTCGCTGAGAAGCTTTTTCCGATCCGGAGAATCTGCAAGGGCCTTGCACCGCCTCTGTAGCCAGCGACTGGCATCCTGAAACTGATACACGAACTCGTCTAGCATATCCCACAGCCATTGAGGCGGCAGCATAATCGTCTCCCGTTCCTTCCTGCGCCGCAAAAGAGCAGATGCTGGCCATGCGCGCGTTCTGCAGAGTAGTTAGTCTGCACGAGAAGCGGTGGACTGAACCGTTCGCTGTTGAGCCATGGGGTAGGCGGGCACCACGGAAACACAGCGCGTCGTGAGGAACCGCAGAGAGTGCACACAAAGCGGGAGCAACTCTAAGAAACAGTTTTTCTCCCTTTATTCCAAGAAACTTTGTGCAGCACTTTGCCACTTCACTTACGAGCAGGTGGTATCCGCAAGAAACTCCACAAGAAGGGCATAATTATTCCAAGAATCGCGACGATGCTCCCACGTCGCCAGATCTGGACAGCTACAGCCACGACAAGCAAGCCAACAGCGACCAAGGGAAAAGTGTTTCTAATGAAACTTTCTGGCTCTCGATCGGAGGCTTGAATGGTCGAAGCGCTGACAATTAAAGACTCTACGCACATGACAATGTCAAGGCTACAACCGCAGCAACACTCCCTGCCTTTTCAATGGGTGGATTCGCCTTCGAAACTCCGCAGGGGCGCCAGTCTCCCATGCACGCACAGCCACACTGCCGCCTTACCGGAAAAACAGATGCCTATAATAGAGCTCCGTGTAGAGCGTCATGATGAGTGAGTGATACCGCTGGTACTCCCTGTAGAAGTCTCCCACGAGCTCGACGGAGGGCCATGGGGAATTTGCAAAATACTTCTCGCAAATCGCTGGATAGTCCACTTCATACAAGCGGCGGATGCTGTCCATACACCGAATGTAGAGCTTGTCGTAGAGCTCCCGCAAGAAATTCTCGACCTCGGGCTCAAAGGCAACCTGCCGACAGAGGCGCAAAAACCAGAAGCTCGTTGAAAGCAGATCGCCAAGGCAGGCAAGCCTCAAGAACCGGCTTGAACGAATGCGGCCATCGCAGTGAGAAAGGCAAGCACCCCTGCAAATCGGGAGACTACAGACACTCGGCATCAGCGCAGTCAGCACAGGCAAGAACGATACACTATCCGGAGGCGCTAGGTCCTATATACAACCCATCATATATGCTGGCGTGACGGACCCTCTCGCCCATCATCCTGTCGAGATCCTCATCTGCAAGTTCAGCTTCCACTTTATCGTGCGGATGCTGCTCTACTGCAAGAGCAGCATCCTGTGCTTCTGTTGAAGGATCCATCGCAAAAACAATCCCGTATTCTTCCGCCAAACTTCGTCAGAGGGGGCGTGCACCTGCAGCCGGGTTGCCCGTCTACAGTCCGGAGCTGCTGCGTAGAGCTTCAAACAGAGTGTCAGAAGCAATTAAATGGGGTTGCTGCAAACCTGCTGCCTTGCTGCAGTAGTCCGTGCCGCTGCTGCTGCCGCTGCCACTACCGCTGCTGCTTCAGCACCAGACACCCCAATCGCTCCTGAGAACTCTGTAAGGGCCTAGAGTTTGGGGCTTTCGTTGGGAGGATTAAAACGGCTACAGAGACGCAATAACAAAGCCACGCCAGCAGCAGCCCCGCTGGTGCTGCTCGAAGTGTACATACACCCCACTGTACCAGCAGCTGCAGCAGCCGCCGAACGGGGCTGCAGCCGTCGCGCTGCCGAACGCTGTCTGCTGTAGAAAAATAGGTTTGCCACGTGCTCCTCGCCAAAAGGAAGGGATCTGCATTTCCACTCATCTTTAGTAAATAGACATCACGACTTATCGCCTTTAACGCAACGGGCAGCAGTGACGTTGGCAGAAGCACGCACGGTACTGCCGTTTCAGTGTAGAGAAACCTCACGAGACGTTGCAGCACCGGCAGCTGAGCGCCCGCCGTGGCCGTCTGCAGCGCTTACTTGACACAGTACGTGACAGAGCAGCTCACACACACACGCCTCTTCCTTCGTCCGGCGCGGCTTCTCGTGATGCTGCCGCCGCTGTTCAGTTCTCCAGCGGCAGCGTCATACCAACACAGGAAATGAACCGCTTGGTGGTCTCTGGAGTAAGCAGAGCCCGCATGAGGCTGCTGCACCGTCCAGCCACAGCTCTCCGCTGCCTGCAGCTCACACACATCGCAGCCTCACCAGCCGCAGTAATTTCAGCAGCTACGTCATCACCTTCACCACCATGCAGCAGACATCCATGCAGACCCCCCCTGACTGCTCTCTACAAACAAATCTCCTTTCGAAGCCTCAGGCAGGACAGTGCAGGCTCTTGCCTGAAGGCCACTAATAACGGCGGCAGCAAAAGCCTCAGCAGCGACAGCAGGAGCCTTGAGGCACGCATGGCCGAAGTCGAGAAACACCTCGAGAGGCTCCAAGGTGTCGTGGAGGAGCATGAGCGGCACTTGAAGGAGTTCGTAATCGAAAAGGTTTGCAACCTCCATCATCCTGCTGGCATAGACTCCGCGTGCAGCTGCTGATACACGCTTTGTGTTCAGGCGGCAGTTCTGCCACTCGTCCGCTGCTGTGGTGTAGCGTCCTGCTCCCGGTGTCACTGAGTGTTGCTTGTGTCTTTTTGCACTATTGCTGCTGCCGGTGCAGACAATAGATCTAGAGGACGAAATCCGGGAGCTTGGCCAGAGGTGGAAAGCTGCGAACGAAGGGCAGCAGCAGCAGCAGCAGCAAGACAATGCGGATGCAGCATCGCCATCAGGAGCTACCACGGCACCCAAAGCCAGTATTGTAGACACTTCTGAAGGAGGCGATGCGCGACAACAAGGGCGGCTGCAGCAACGCCCTTCGGAGCGTCATCAGACTTCGACAGCTGCCTCTGACGGCGACTCCACGTCCCTCGATTTCGAGACGATTGATGTAGCCATTGTAGAGAACCATCCAGAAACGACAGCAGGCGATACTGCATGTCCAGCAGCACCTTCTGAAGAAACGCGAGATCCGCTTAAACAGCAGCGCTAGCAGTGCTGCTGCGTTTACAGAGGGTTTCTTTGTCGTATGAGGCCCCCCGAAAGCTTTCCGTAGCGGCTTGCACACACATTCTGCAACGCTTTTTGCGTCGGGTTCCTTTATTAGACACCCGAGAAGTCCCCTCAAACGCGTGTACATATGAGACGCCTGATGCTACAGCGCGCTGGCGGCGAGCGGAGGCCTCCATGGCATTATTTTTACGCTTTAGCACATGCGGTGTATGATGGACCTTCAAGACGCTGAAGTGCGCAGTGCAGCACCAGCAGTCGCCTTCACGTGTACGTACACGCACCCCAGTGGACTGGCACGCCTCCTCAGCCGAACCCGACACCTGCGAATCGCTGCGGCTAGTCCGAGGAAGGGGCAGTGAAGTGGTAGTAACATAGGCTGCGTCTCCAGCGCCTTTCCTTGTACACCTGAACACAAATTTAAGAATAGACTCAGGGCTGCCGCAGACGGCATGCATACAGGTAGCGGGAGCAGCCTTCCGTGGGGGCCTCCGTACACTGCATGCCTACTGGTGCACCGTCATCGGCTGCATTCCTTCTTTATCGACGCTTGAAAGTCATATCTCCTCTTCATCTCGGTGCCGCAGTGCGCCAGCAGATAGGCCTTTTGTCGCTGTGCAGCGGGATCAGAGCGCCGCATAGACTTTCTCCTTACCCACATTTATGTTACGACCAGGCATTGGGAATGCCCGTACAGGTGTGGCTTTGTCGCTACCTGTGATGTTTCCTTTACGAGAATTTATGGGAAGGTTGTTTTTAGCCCGTATCCAAATGAATCCTGAAGCGGACCCTACTGTGTGTGCGCTCCAAGAGCCTGCTTTTCTCCTCTACCTGCAATCCAAATGGAAAAAGGGTCGGACAGGATGGCCTAGAGGGGGAAGGGCGACAAGGGTGGTGCATGCGTGTTGCTGCATCCTGTACACACTGACAGAGCACGCATCTGCGCCCAGTTAACGGCTGTGTGCTGTACGTTTCTCTGCTTGAAGTAATTCTCTGCTTGACAAAAGGGCCTGCACGGCGAGTTTCAAAACCAATTAGTCGGTTACGAACCGATTTTTAATATAAACGGATCCAGTATAGTAGAAGATTCCGAAATCTGCCTTGAACATGTTACCTTACACAGCCCCTTCCCATCAAAAAATGGTTGGGAGTGTTCGATCAAAAGGATCCGTGGACTATGGTATATGTAGCGGGGTAGGATACACTTCAACACCTTCTAGTATACTACGCATATTTAGTACAACTCGTGATAGAATTAACTAGTTCGCTCGTTTCTTCCGTATATCTCACATGGTGCAGGGTTGTGGTAGCTTGGTAGTACAAGAGGACACACTTCCAACGAAAATTTGGGTGCACAGCTGCATCCCTAGGCACTCCGAGTCTTCACAGCCAGTTGCGCAAAACATCTGGCGCACACGCTCACAAACATTTGTCCCCTTGTAACCAGCTAAAGATAATCTGCAACAGAGAAGAAAAAGCAACTGGTCTATTCTTTATTTTTGTGTTGAAAGGCGTCGTTCAGGTATACAGCCATCCATCACTCCTCAAAACACTGAAATCAACTCCAATGAGCTTTCGTTCCAGCTCAGCTGGGACAATATTAAATCCAAACAGAATACAGGTGTACTTGAGGCCGCGAGTGACAGTTTGGCACGCCTTTTTGTGCTTGCCGTCAGGGTGAATGAAAATTTGTGGGAAGGCGTCTGTGAATCCAAATGCGGGGTGGACTGTCGAGCCGTGTATCTTGTCAAGTAATTTGCCGATGTTAGGCATCAGTAATTTGTGCGAAACAGTGTGGTGGTTTAGGGACTTGAAACTAAGACAGATGCGCCAGCTTTCCTTTTTTCCTCCACCAGCACTGGGTTCTGCCCAAACCACTTTCTATAATTTGGCTTTGTTCAACATATTATCCACCTGCCGCTCAATCTCCCATTCATGCCATGAAAGCTTTCGATACCGTGGAAAACAGCCTGGGCTGACTGGGATACTGGACGACCGGCACGTGCGCCAGCCTGCTGGCAGCTCGCCTTTGCTCAGCACATCCGCAAGCTGTTCCTTGATATTTGTCCGTTCCTACGGTTTCTGTAAAAGGCTATCGAATTATCGTATAAAGAATGAGTAGCAGTGCAACTAACACTGTATGTAT